TTTTACAATATTAGTAGCATTTTCTTATACATCAAAAAAGCTGTAGGTTGAAACATTGTCTTAAAAGGTTGATGTACCTATGTGCCTCTTACCTCTTCTCGAGTCATATTATGGTTACTCTCACAATTTAACTCCAGCTAGTATAAGAGTTTCACTTTGGATTTATATTTTTCATTTTCATCTTTGTAGTTGTATCGCTTTCAACGTTTCCAGGGTTTTAACAAGTAAACGTTTTTTATGTCCACTATCATTTAGCATATCATTTTATCTTTGATTTTTTTCACTGTAATTAATCCACACATAGCTAGGCAAAGTGTGTCCGATTCCAACCCATCCGAACACAGTATTTCATACATCTGCACTGTGTTATATAACCAACAAATTACAGTGAAAAAATCAAAGATAAAATGATATGCCTCAACTTCACACTCGATGCTACGCATCTCGAAAAGGTTGAAATAAACCTTATTTTTGATAAGTCCAGATTGCACGAGTCAAGTTAAGTTATCCAAATGACCAGCGATTGGGCGGGGGGGGGGGGTTGTCCAGAGCTTTAAAGCAATACAAAGCTACAGTCAGCTGACGATTTCTTAAAGGCCCCGTGCAAAGTTTGAAAATTTAGTTAATTATTCAAATATTACTTCTTATTTTTATGACTTGTAATGATCTGTTTAAGACTTTTTCAGTAATGATGTGACTTTTGAAGAAAGTTGTTCATCTTATATTAGCCTATAATTTTCAACAAATTATACAAAATTATTTCTGCTTGCAAGGACAGCTTCAATCTTTAAGACTGAAATAAGTGATTTTCCATTGAAATTGGATATTTTAGCTTGGTGCTTTCAATTTGAGAATACTTAAATAGCTGCATAATAAACAACCGATATCTTTTATATAGCCTAGCACTTGCTAATAATACCCCATGGTTAATTAATGAACAGATTTAGAGAATTCGGCTTATCTATTTGTCAAAAAGGTACTTTTTTGGGACCGGGCCTATCAAATTATGGTCCTACTATCCATTGATTTATATGGTGACCTAAATACAACCCTTTCCTTCATTATCTTATACGCAATAAGGGCCACTAAGGGCCGTTAAGAAAGGGGACCATAATCCCTGGGGGACCATCATTTCTTTCACACCGGTATAAACTTTTTTAAAACTATTGTGATGACACTCTACTAAGTTGTGATGACATTCAAGTGGCAAATGTTCTGTCATTGGGATCGTCAATTTTTTTCGTTCGGTATTTCCTAATAGCTAAACTTTTAATACGCAAAACTTTCATAACAAAGCAATATTGTTGGCCTATCTATGTTTTAAATATATATATTTTATATACAATTGGATTCAATCCCGGGATTCAATAAACACTAACATTTTACAAATGCTTTATTCTGAATCAGTTTCAAGGTAAGTTTAAGCTTAGTGTGTATGTTAGGAATGTTTTGCAATTTTGAAAAGTAGATATAGACCACTGCATATTCTAGTTATTCATACATTCTAAAGAATTATCAACCCATTGCACAAAATTTGTCCAATATTTCACTGCGCATGCGCAGAACCATTACTTCCGGTTTTCCAAAGCCTATGGGATTTATAATGGAGACATTTTTCGAACGCTTACTGTGCGAATGATATTGATTTGCCACCTTAGTCATCTCAGGTTTCTATAACTAGACATCAACCTTTACTGATTTAACATGTTTTAAGCAATGTACACATGCACACTTTTCGGCCAATTTGTTTTGAAAAAATCATGAGGAATTCATGCATGACTCCATTGAAATCCATTAGAAATGGCGTCAAAATGGTGAAATGAGGATATTCAACGGTCTGGTAGAGGTACTTAAAATCATATGGTATCTTAGTCATCTCAGGTTTCTGTAACTTTGAAGGTAGATCTGTTTGATTCCGTTGAGATTAGAATCCTCATACCTTTAACTTTTCGGCCAATTTCAAACAAAATATGATAACTTTTGGTGATATAACTGGTTCATTACATTGGAATGACGTCAAAATAAAATAAGACAATCTCAGTTTCTATGGCACTGACGTCATGACGTCAGATTTATCTTAAGATCTCAAATATGACGTCATGTTTAATCAATGAATGACATCTATCGGCTATTCGACCAATTCTGTGCAATGCCCCAATTCAATTCTAGGAACACTAACTTCACTGGCGGATCTGGTGGGGGGGGGGCTGGGTTGGGTGGGCCTAGAAAAAAATTTTGGGCCAAAAAGGCCCAATGAATAGCAAGTGCCCAAAGGCAGCGATGTCGTTGATCACACGAAAACTGTCATGAACTCTTGAAAGCCCATGGTGACATTTACGATTTTATTTGAAACGAATTCATTATATTTGTGAAAACTTTCAAATAGCAAATTTTTAAACATTGGGCAAGACAATACAAAATTAGCCAAAGTGGTAACTTTACATGGGGCCTTTAAATATTATTCCCATGAAGACATATTTTGCGATCTCATTTTTAGTGCAACATAGTCACATGACCAGCAACGGAAAAACGGTGAGTTGAAATTTTCCACTTTGACGCTGATTTCTGCTGAGTTTGTGAGATTTAACGAAGCAATGCACTGATATCTAAAATAGCTACATATCCAAAATTGCATATCGATTGTATGAAATATATTTAATGGTGCAGTTATTGTGAAATATTAGTTTGAAAATAAATGTTGACAATTTACTCTATTATCGGCCATTTTGAATTTTTCTGATTTATTTTTCTGGTAGCCTAGTTTTAGAGAATACATTACGAATTAAATGCATGCGAGAGATCCAAAAGCGTAAGTAGGTTACAGCATGTAGAATCCAAAAGATTTAAAAAACAGTGGTGGATATCATTTGGCTTTATTTTCTGAAGTGTGTAGGGCTGCCATCGAACTCAAATGTCAGTGTCGACAGTCGAACTCTGCTGTCGAAAATATTGTCGACAATCGAACTTTCCAGGGAGAAAAAATCATCGGGAAAAAAAGAAAAATTATTTCTGTGTTGTTGGTTCGTTTTTTCCAAATCTTTCAACACAAATATCACTATCGGGGAAAAGCTTCATATAACTTATATTCATATTGGTATGTAATTGCCTAATATTGTTACTAAATGCCAAGTTAATAGAATATTATAGACGAAAATGGGACAAATACCTGCAATGTTTCGACCGGGATTTATTTCGACTGCTCGGGCGAAATCTCGTACAACGTCTCGCAAGAGAGAAGAGAAGTCATGAAGGGAACTTCCGGGTGAATTTATTTTTTGAAAATGAAATGAATGTGAACAATATTTCCGCAGAATACGCGCACATAACACGTTGAAATGTGTATTGAAATGTATTGGGGCCATTTGGATATTTTCAAGTAAGTATTGATATCGTTTGCTGTCGACATGACGGGAATTTTTGTCGACTTCGTTGTCGAACTTGCATTTTGACTGACAAGTCGACGTTCCGACTAATGATGGCAGCCCTAGAAGTGTGTGTTGGGAAAAATCTGAAATATAGCCCTACAGTCGGAGACATTAATAAACCTCAACCATCAGTTGTCAAAAGTTGTCCCAATGAGCTAAATTCTAAGTTTCATGTCTCAAACTCTCCCAAGCGGAAGAAAAATAATTCCCGTCCAATCTGTCTCTAAGTAGCACAATAAATGAATCCATGGGCTTCAAATAGAGTTGAAAGCCGATGATGAATCCAAAGCTTCATACCTGCAAATGATGGATAAATTCCTACCAAATCAAACGAATGTTTTCACGGATCGCTATGTTTGTGATCCAAGGAGGATGGACTCCCAGAATGCAACATCAGTAAACCTTTTTTACTCGTGACAGGTTTCAAAATGGTGGAACGGCATTTTGAAAGTTGGCACGTGTCATGTTGCATTCTAGGAGTCAATCCTCCTTGCAGTGTAATCAGGCTCCAAAATCACCTCAACATTTGAAGAGTCTGCATTAACATGTGAATATCACTTCACATTTTCAAGGTCCTATTTGTCATTATGGACACAAATTCCACTATATTTGTACGTTCCAGGACGGAGAAAATAGAGCACTCAATTCACTGAAGTAGGAATTTATGACATACATGACAGAATGTCTTTTTCATAGTGTTAGTCATTATTTATGTTCACCACTTTAATAACAAGGAATCATTTTTGATTACAAAAAATCGAGTCGAGTTCTCTATGCCCCACACATAAGGTACATGTAATAAATCTAGGGTGCCTCTTAATGTATAATATTTGGTGTTCATGCAACACACATTGTGATTTATTTCATAAGAATATGAATACAGCTGTACTGTCTTTACATAAAGTGTGTATAAGAGGTTATATCACTATGACTTGAAATATGCCTGAGTTCTCCCAATATAGGCCGACCTTGCGAGGCTCTATATTTAGGCAAGAACGAAGAGGCATATATTACGTCTTAGTGACATAATTGAATTATTACATACCTTTATTCCAATGCCTACTTTGTATCAGTGACGTCATACTGTACATCTGTGTACGAGTAGAATTTGAACGAAATGAAACATGATGTTGTGATATTGTCATGTTTATCAAAGAATCTTATATCAAAATGAGGTAAGGGGACTATATCGATGAATCGGGCAATATCGATGGATTTAGCCCGCCAACTTTCCCATTGACTTCCATACAAATGCTTCGCTAGGTATGTAATACTCGAGATACATGTATTTAGACCAAAGAGCGGCTACTATATCAACAAATAAATACTGCTGGGCTAGGCATAAACCTTAAGGTATTTACTACTGATCTGAGGTCTATATTACATGAAAACTCACCAAAATTTTTTGAATATTTGTTATGGCCCGCCATGACAATGTCCCCCAATTATGACATCACATATTACTCATGTTACCAGATGTTGAAATATTGACTTCGCTCACAGTTTATAGAAGGCGTGAATACAGTCATGTTTGAATTCTGTTTATGTCACATCTGTTTTAATTCCAGCTCCTTTCAATGTTCAGTTGAATGTAAATGGAAAGCATTACAATTAACATTGAAAAATAAGCAGGACACATAGATACTAGCTGACACTGCCATTGTATGAAGATGATGAAAATGATGGCATTGTAAACAAGATGGAAATCAGATGTGGAGGGCTACTTTTTTCTTCCAAGTTTGACTCTGGAAACCTAGCTAGAGTTGAAAAGGTCACAAGAGATGATGACGATTCAGAAGGTAACAAATCAGCGTTTTTCTAGGGATATTACGTCATAGGCCCCTACCCTATTTTGCTTTACTTGAACAGCTAAAATATATACCTCAGAGATACCTAATCCTACATGTTTACTGTACAAATCGGCTGAATCGATATAATCGAATCGATTCAATTGATACATATTGGTCAAATATTTACAAAGATTGCATTTTTGTTTGCTCCTTTATAATTATTATTGTATCTTATTTAAGGTGCTGTAACATTCATCAGTGGTTCAGATGTGAAGTGTGACTATGAATTCAATGCTTGGACAAACCCAGATTGTGGAGGAACACCCTTCGAGAATGGAAACAGGTTTGTACATGTATCTGAAAGCCGAAAAAATATTTGAAGAGAGTATTGGGAAATTTACCAAATATTTGGTTCAGGGTGTAATTTCACAGCCCTTTGTTAGATCGAAAACCTTACTTCCTCTTATGCTGTCCTCTATTATCTATATCCATTTACAGTAAAAAGATATTTATGTACATATAAAAGTAGCCAACATCAGTTTTAGATTTTGGCCTTGAAAATTACTTCCAATATGTCCAGAATAAGATTTTTAATCTGAGAGCTGATAGCATCAAAACTGTAAAATAACTGTATAATAGTGAGAGGGTAATGTGGCTGCCTTGTTGTTAACATTCAGTATAATTTTCATTCACTATTTCAGGTCCTGGTTCTACTTTGGAGTTAAAGGTGCATCTGGGGGTAAGGTGATAAAGATCAACATAATGAACATGAACAAACAGGGTAAACTGTACAATCAGGGACATGCCCCTCTAGTGAAGACTGTACCTGGCAAAACAAGATGGGAGAGGATACGAGATAAGCCTTCTTGGGAGGTACAGTAGAGCTCTTATTAAAACATGCATACAAAGAGGCAATTACAGTAAAACCTGTCATAATGAAAACCTCTCCTTAGTAAACACCTGTCTCTAGTGGACACCCTTCCTACGCACATACTCCACTGACTTCTGTATAAATTTTCCTCTCTGTAGTGAATACATACCAACACTGAGCATTTTTTCTCAGCTAAATAATTTCAATATACTCAGGTTTACTTTACATGTAATTTTTACCATATCAAAAATCAAAAGTCAATTTCACAAGTAGTAATGTTAATCAAAGTTATCACAATCAATTGGTGATAACTGTATGGACCGATAATCTAACATAGCAATTAATACTGTATTTATTCACATAGCTTTCTTATTTTATTACATTTCAGATGGTTGATGGTCAGTTTATATTGACGTTCACTCATCGTTTTCTTGAGTTCAGAGGTGCTACTACTTACTTTGCCTTCTGTTTCCCACATTCCTACAATGAGGCACAGGAGAAGATGAATGTCTTGGATTCAAAATTTGATCACTGCAAAAATTTGACTCCAAAAAGGTACTTGATTCAGATAGAGGTGTTCTTCCTTAACTTAGTACATGTACATGTAGGTACTTTGAAATTTCTAGTACATGCATTCTTTTGATATTGTGCCTGTACATCTCTACATCCTAGGACTGGTATTTAACTTAATGATAGATAATAACTTAAAGACCCCATGCAAAGTTTGAAGATATTGTTTTTAATAATGATTCAAATCTCTTATGACTTCTTGTTGTCATTTATGGTTGTTTTCTAACTTAATAATAGATAATGACTTAAAGGCCCCATGCAAAGTTTGAAAACATATTTTCATTATAATAATGATTCATGTATCATTTGTTGTGAATTAAAACCACATACAAACACTGTACGAGGTGAGATGTCATATCATGGTAAAATTATTTTCAGGAATCATTAATGATTTTAACTTCTCGTACTTGTTGCTTTATCTGTCATTCCAGCCCCCCAGACAGTATTTACTACCACAGAGAGCTACTATGTAAATCCCTAGACAATCTCCGTGTAGATCTGCTCACTATTTCCTCCTGTCATGGTTTGACAGACGAGGAGGAACCAAGATTTGACTCAAAGTTATTTCCAGATACTGATACGCCAAGATGTAAAATATTCAAGAATAAAAGGGTATGTTGACAAGGACATGTTCCATGCATTATTTTCTGAGATTGACTCAATGTCTTTATAAATCAAAATGATGTCATTGATGTTTATCTTAAACTTGATCATTGAATGTGTTTGACTTCCTTTGAAAATTTAAATTGAGGGTACTTAAAAGTAAATGGCAAATACAGTGTACATGTATGTTCAAAACGAGGGTATTTTAAAGGCAGAATCTGATCTATATGGGGTGACAAAATTACAAGCAACATGTATAATTGACCTACCAATCTATCCCTTACAATATCAAATACAATATCTCCCAAAAGATTCAAAAAGTGCAAAAATGAGTGAAAAAATGTTTAAATTCTTCCATATAATAAGAATGGTAACCATTCTTATAGAAAAATGATACATTGTTGTAAAAATCTTTAGTTTTCCTGGAATAAAGTATGCACTTTTGTGATTTTTAGAAAATAGACATGACAAGGAATGACACGAGCCAAGAATATTCTGAAATTGAAACAATTTTTTGTTTAGCCTGCTCGCTATATCTGATTCTCTCTTTAAAGTAGATGACAAAAGTATCTTGTAGTAACATATATTCCAGATTCATTGAATATAAAGGAATTTTTGTTCATTGAGATCTGCTACTTCATGGAGTTTCTATTTTCTATTTTCTATGTTTTCTATGTTAAATGTATTTCAGGTATACTTCCTTAGCTGTAGAGTTCACCCTGGAGAGACCCCAGGTCAGTTTGTCTACAATGGATTCCTCGACTTCATTCTTAGGGAACACGACCCTAGAGCCATTCAACTACGGAGACAATTCCTCTTCAAGTTAGTCCCCCTGTTAAATCCAGATGGCGTCTACAGAGGCCATTATAGAACAGATTCCAGAGGGGTAAATCTAAACCGGATGTACCTCGATCCAGACTTCAGTATATATCCAACTATTTATGCCGCAAAAAGTATAATGGTTTATCATCATGTGCATAATAGAAAAGATAAATCGCATAATCCAGTATGTGCCAATAGAAATGTAAACAATTCTGCAGCAGCTAGGAAATCACATTCCAAAAGCGAGAACCAAGAAAGACCAAGCCTGCAGGACCCAACACTAACCACACAATCAGATACGATAACTATAGCTCCAACCATGGAATATAGAGACAATGGGACCACAGGAGTGTCCTCGAGGGATAAAACATACACATATGTATACAATGATATTTTAAAGAACTCGGAAGAACAAAACAAAGAAATAGATAGAACCAAACAGACTGGTTCAGTAATCCAAAGTGCCAAACTCAATGAAACCCAAAGCATTATCAAAAACTTCTCCGATATGGCTATTTCCAATCAGATACCAACTGCTGCTACTGATTTAAAAGAACAAACTAATGCTATTGTAAGTGAAGATACATTTAGTGATGATGATGATGCTACTGAGCATCTTGGAAATGAGGGATCTGAAGATGACGAAGATAATGCTGCACCAGTGTCAACAGGTAATTTGGTACCACAGAGCTGTCCTCAAAAGTGCTCATACATTTTCAATTCATTTTCAGTCTTTCTTAATTATCTGCTCTAAATATACTTAAAAGGAAAACCTCACTTTATATCACTTCTTTAAGATTTCAATACTTGTATTGTGAAATTAATTGAATATTTTTTTGTAGCTTATGGTGCTATACCATGTTGCATCTTTTGTATTAAATACATTATGTAAAATAATTAACTTAAAATATGACAAAGGCAATACCCTTTTCATTCGTTTGACTTCGCTTCTCAGAGTAGAGCTTCGTCTTCACTCTTTCAGTTTTCCTGGGCTGTCACAGGCACCAATCTTTGGGGCGGGGCTGCTAAACTGTAATATAGTCTATACTAGGCAGAGTGTAGTTCACAACTAGATTCTGTGTGCAGGGTACAAAGGCACATGTCCTAGTTCTAGATAATATGATTGCCCTCCCCTTTGTTGGACCATTTGTCTTACCTACAGTATATACAGTAGCTGCATATAAAGTTCATATTTCTCCAATTTTCTAGGGAATGTGATTGCCTCCTGTTGTTTTAAGACCCCTAGATTTACCCCCAATATATCCAATAACTGGTTATATACATATTTCTCATATCCTCTAGGTAATGTGTTTGCTCCTCACCTCTGTGACCCTAAACTTCTTAAGATACCTCCTGATGAGAGTGGGATTGCATTCTATGTAGACCTACATGGACATGCATCTAAGAGGGGCTGCTTCATTTATGGCAACCACTTCACTGATGAGGAATCTCAGGTCAGTACTAAGAAACAAACCATGTTTTTTAGAATCAATGTATTTGAAAATATATGTTGTACCTGTAAAGTTTTGAAGTCAAGATTTGAAGAAACTCTAAATGACCACCACTTTTGTGACAATTATGGATTGATTTATCAACAATTTGTTTGTTATTGGAAGAATGTACAATTGTGGATACAATAATAATATTTCCACGTTATTTTTCCACTAGGATGCCAGTAAAGTAAACCCGACATTGTAAAAACATAACTGATGTATTACATACCTTTATTCCCATGGCTACGTTGTTTGTTGGATCAATGATGTCACACATCTGTGTGCTAGTAGAATTTGATGGAAATGAAACATGACATCATGATATTGCCACGGTTATTAAAGAAAACGGGCAATATTGGTGGATATAGCCCATTTACTTTCTCATTGACTTCCATACAAATGCTCCCTAGGTATGTAATAATGTTTCACATTGCAGATTGAAAACATGTTATATCCAAAGTTGATCTCCACAAATACAGCACACTTTGATTTCACTGGCTGTAACTTCACAGAGAAGAACATGTATACAAAAGATCGCAAATCTGGTACATCAAAAGAAGGAAGTGGGAGGGTCGGCATGTACAAATCTATAGGCATTTTACATAGGTTTGTAGCATTGCATATTGTTTATGTTTTACATTTTGTGTACTTCTAGGTTGAAAATATGCTCTACCCCAAGCTTGTGTCTATCAATACTGCACATTTTGATTTTACCGGGTCTCTGTTCAGTCAAAAAAATATGTACACAAAGGATAAGAGGGATGGGTTATCCAAGGAAGGGAGTGGGAGAGTTGGGATGTACAAATCAATAGGAATTTTACACAGGTACAGAACCAGTAAATGACATCGATAGTTAATTTTATTTATGGTAACTAACTATGATATCTTATTTAGTGTTTGCCCTTTAAGAATTAAGACTATTGTATTACACTTTAACATTTAACTGTTTCTGAGTTTGTTGTTTAAATGCAGGTTTTGATTTTTTATTGTATAAATACAGGCTTTATTTCCTTGTATGAATCCAAGCTTCAATTCATTGTAAGAAGTATAAGTTCAGACTTTGATTTATCCTAAAATTGCACTTGAAGTCATACAGCTAAACTTGTAAAGTGGAACACCTCTAGAAAAGGAACACCTCTGTTAGTGGAAAACTTTTCAGAGTCCCAAGACCAACTGACTTATATGAGCCTCCAAAGTAGAACATTTTATAGAGGTACCAAAGGTGTTCCACAAAGACAGGTTTTACTGTACTTCATTGAAGTTACACACATTATTGTACAATTTCTTGCAGTACTATAGATGTTCTGTTCCAGTTGCACATTATTTTACAATTTCTTACAGTACTATAGATATTCTGTTCCAGTTGCACATTATTTTACAATTTCTTACAGTACTATAGATGTTCTGTTCCAGTTGCACATTATTTTACAATTTCTTACAGTACTATAGATATTCTGTTCCAGTTGCACATTATTTTACAATTTCTTACAGTACTATAGATGTTCTGTTCCAGTTGCACATTATTGTACAATTTCTTACAGTACTATAGATGATCTGTTCCAGTTGCACGTTATTGTACAATTTCTTACAGTACTATAGATATTCTGTTCCAGTTGCACATTATTTTACAATTTCTTACAGTACTAAAGATGTTCTGTTCCAGTTGCACATTATTTTACAATTTCTTACAGTACTATAGATATTCTGTTCCGGTTGCACATTATTTTACAATTTCTTACAGTACTATAGATGTTCTGTTCCAGTTGCACATTATTTTACAATTTCTTACAGTACTATAGATATTCTGTTCCAGTTGCACATTATTTTACAATTTCTTACAGTACTATAGATGTTCTGTTCCAGTTGCACATTATTGTACAATTTCTTACAGTACTATAGATGTTCTGTTCCAGTTGCACGTTATTTTACAATTTCTTACAGTACTATAGATGTTCTGTTCCAGTTGCACATTATTGTACAATTTCTTACAGTACTATAGATGATCTGTTCCAGTTGCACGTTATTGTACAATTTCTTACAGTACTATAGATGTTCTGTTCCAGTTGCACGTTATTTTACAATTTCTTACAGTACTATAGATGTTCTGTTCCAGTTGCACGTTATTGTACAATTTCTTACAGTACTATAGATGTTCTGTTCCAGTTGCACATTATTTTACAATTTCTTACAGTACTATAGATGTTCTGTTCCAGTTGCACGTTATTGTACAATTTCTTACAGTACTATAGATGTTCTGTTCCAGTTGCACATTATTGTACAATTTCTTACAGTACTATAGATGTTCTGTTCCAGTTGCACATTATTTTACAATTTCTTACAGTACTATAGATGTTCTGTTCCAGTTGCACGTTATTGTACAATTTCTTACAGTACTATAGATGTTCTGTTCCAGTTGCACATTATTGTACAATTTCTTACAGTACTATAGATGTTCTGTATCAGTTGCACATTATTGTACAATTTCTTACAGTACTATAGATGTTCTGTTCCAGTTGCACATTATTTTACAATTTCTTACAGTACTATAGATGTTCTGTTCCAGTTGCACATTATTGTACAATTTCTTACAGTACTATAGATGTTCTGTTCCAGTTGCACATTATTGTACAATTTCTTACAGTACTATAGATGTTCTGTTCCAGTTGCACATTATTGTACAATTTCTTACAGTACTATAAATGTTCTGTTCCAGTTGCACATTATTGTACAATTTCTTACAGTGCTATAGATGTTCTGTTCCAGTTGCACATTATTGCACAATTTCTTACAGTACTATAGATGTTCTGTTCCAGTTGCACATAATTGTACAATTTTTACAATGTTTAATTCAAGTTATATATAAGTGTACAATTTTCAATATAGCATTCATAAACATTTTATTCCAGTTAGAGAGTAATTTCAGATTTTAACACAGGAATTTCTCTTTTAGTTACACACTAGAGTGCAATTACAACACAGGACGTATGGTGAATTCTGTGCCACCTGCTTATGGGGATGATGGGAGAGCAACACCTCCTCCAGTGGCTGGATTCCCTCCTAAATATACAATAGAACATTATGAAGAGGTAAATTTACAATAGAGCATTGTGAAGATGCAAATATACAATAGAACATTATGAAGAGGTAAATTAACAATAGAGCATTTTGAAGATGCAAATATACAATGAAGGGATAAGTTTACAAGAGAGCATTGTGAAGATCCAAATATACAATAGAACAATATGAAGAAATAATTTACAATAGAGCATTGTGAAGATGCAACAGATTATTATAAAGAGGCAAATATACTGAAGATTCCCTCCTAAATGTATTATAGAAAATGTATCATAATCTGAATGCTTTTTATTACTAAATAGTCATATACAGTATATAGACATTCATTCACTGCTAGGTTGGAAGGGCTTGTGCAGTTGCTGTATTAGACATGACGGAGACTAACCCCTGGTCTCGCCTTACTCTCTGTGAGCACAGCTGCCTGCATGGGGTGAGGGAGTGGGTGAGGCGATATATACGTAGCCTCCGAGGTCAACCGAGAAGTCTCCCTAGAAACATGGCAAAGGCAGCAAAAGCAGCTTCAAGGTATTTTCAAGTTACAAAATTTGTTAACAATGTACAACACATATTTGAAACCTATATTGACACTATAAATCAAATGATCAAACGATCAGTGATCTCTTGTATTAATTCACAGCTTTGAAATGAATTAAAATGTTGCAAATATACATATTGACAGAGAAAGTGTTTTGTTACAGCATCTGTGAATGGTGAGTATATTGTGTATTAGTGTATATGTTAACTTGTATGTTCTGGTCTTGTCCTTTAATAATCACACACAGCTCGCTCACAAAATACAGGGTGTCCAAAATAGGACTGAAGAAAAGTTGATTAACTGGGCCAATCTTGCATATTCTGTCTTGAAATGACATCCGTTCAACAGATTCAACTGTGCATAGATGGGACAGGTGCCCACTTGGAACAGGTTTTGTAACCAAGTTAATCAAAATTTTCTTTGGTCCTGTTTTTTTGGATACCCTGTACGTGTACTTGTAATTTGTTCACTCATAGTAATATTTACTATCTCACCAATATAATGTGTCTCACCAAGATTGTGTGCAACCTGCAGGCCTATGATAATGGCAAAAGGCAGGTCGTTTTATTGCAGTCTCAAACACTGTTGATCAATAACCTGTTGAGACCCAGTGAATCATTGAAGTAACTGGATTCTTGTAATTTTGTTTCACCAGAAAGTCACTCCTCCCAGTTTTCAAATAGTGTTATCTACTGTACATTAAGAATTCTTCCATTTTTGTACCTTAAAATATTGTACTATTTCATGCATGCACATTTCTGGGTAAACTGCTTGACTTGTCAATTTGTACCTATGTTTTATTGAGGGAAACAATCTTGAAAGATGAATGGATCACTTTGATCAAGATCATAGACACCCTGCCATGCAGGCGGAACAATTTTGAAAGATTTCTCAAGCTTTGCAAGTACCCACACTAGCTGTATTTTTTTTTTAAAAGTGATTCACACCAAACATTGTAGAAACTTCAGAGAGTTTCTGCTAACAGTACAGGAATTATTTTGACATTCGGACATAATGAAAACTTTAAGGAGTGACAATTGTAATATCTAATAAGTAATGATTTCTTATGTATGCAATGTGTTCATGTTATAATATTGTAGTGAATACTCAAGACTTCTGTTCGCATTTAACATTTCTCTTGTAATAACTCTGGTAGTAATGGAACAATTTTTTCAATTTTTAGATGTAAATGCATATGTATATATAAGTATGGTGCAATACAAAACATTATCTTTTGACAACAAATCTATTATACATGGCCACTTTGAGTGAGAAATGATGGCTTGCAGTCTTGTCTGACACTTGATAATTTTTATCCTATAGGATTTGCTTCACCTTGGTGTTAGTAGCCATTGCCTAGTAATGCAAAAAGTTTCAGGTATTCTAAGGGGCCCATCATGAATCAAACTTCTTGGCTTGCCTGACATCAACACAATCAGGGACGTGTTGTACTCTTTTTAATTCTTTATTACATGTATCGTGTATATTAAATCATGATTTATGACGTTGAATGAAAAACTTGTCTAATTGTAGTGCTGTTGCTGCCGCAGCTGCTTCCCATAATGCAACACGTAATTCTAAAGTAACCAATGATGCTTCTCGGTACTCCAAGTATGGTGATTCTAAATCAATTGATTCAACCAATCAGAGAACAGCGAGTCGCAAGTCAAATCTTCCACAAAGTAAAAGGGAGTTAGGCCCTGTTAAAGAATGTAAGTACACGTAAATTTTGTTCACGTGACTGAGGAATACTGTTTGTTCAAAGAATCTTATTCCTAATTATGAGGTATTGATGTACAGTATAAGGAGTAGGGACCAATTGAATATTCCTATGTTGTCTTTAACAAGTTAGATTGAAAGTTTTCTTTTTAAAAATCAATGTATATTGACAGAACATGTTGTATTTTTCCCCTCAACTGCAACTATTACATTTTATGAATTAAATATCTGTGTATTGATTGATTCAGCTCGGCCATGGGAAAGGAACAGACGCAAAATGGGTGGAACAGTGTCATCAAGTAGCACATCCTCCTCAACTAGCAACAAGTCACCGGTAGCTGCAAAATCCCCAATCACCTTGACAATGACTACAGCGACATCTATAGATATGAAAACATTTTTTCCTGACCGTCCCTCACCTAAGCCATTTCTAGTTAACAAGCAGTCTGCACATATAGGTGACACAAACAGTAATGATGTTAACAAAGTATCTGAGAGCCATACTCAGTATAGCCCAAGGTCATTGAACTCTCTAGTAAGAGAGTTGTCTACAGATGGCAGTACAGTACTGTCGTTGGAAGAAGAAAAAATTCAACAGTTGAGAAATGTAGGTTTGAACTACGATTTTGATTTACATGTATATTGTATAGTATGTTTACATGAGGGTTATAAGTACTATGTTAAGGCAGGCTTTGATTTATGAGTTCATATATGTTCGTTTTTTGTATCTTTAACGGGTTTGGGATAGATACCAAAAGAAGTGGTGATATTATATTCTTCTCCAACTTCCCAGTGACAGATGATGGCATTGAGCATCTGTAGCATTTGTTTGGAATAAATTACCATGATAGTAAACCTCATAATCACATAAATGTTTACTTTGAATATGTTATGCTTGGGCATCCCCAGGGGGGGGGGTGCTATGTGCTATGGAAATATTGTTTAATTTAATATTGTTTTAACCCAATAATTTATGGATGTTATTTTATATTTTTCAGCTCCCCATATTGCACAAGCCACCAGCCCATCTCAATGGTGCCTCCATACTAGATACTCCTAAGTAAGTTCTATGATGTAGCTTTTGATTTATCCAGTCATGAAATATAATGCATATCTAGTATACATAAAGAGTATCCTTTATAGATGAGGTTCATGGTATTGGGGTAAATATAAAATATCTGCCTGATGCCTGGTGGTACTGCTTTTTTTATTCCCATATTTTTCCCCCATAATTTAATATATCTGCCCACTTACCCAGGATGTTCAGTATAAGCCTGGCATCTTTTTCAGTTTTAGATTTCTTAGAAGTCAGGAATTTTTACTTTACTTACTGAGGTACCATTTTGAAAATGTTGATTTGCTGATCAAATAGTTCTAGAATGTGTATAAAGACTAAAATACTAGGATACTAAGATACTTCCATAAGAAAAAATAATCCTAAGAAATGCATTTTGGCAGCTGTTTGTGGGTCAATTAAATTACATGTATGCACAATTTCACTTCAGGTATACCCCAAACTCTCCAGTGTTTCGGTAATTATCCCACTGAACAAAGTTCAAGTAGGGATAAAGAGAAACTATATACAGGGTGGTCAAAAAGTGAACCCTTGCAACAAGCTATATCTCAGTTATTTCCAGCACTAATGGGCTAATCTTTTCACATGTTTTAGAAAAAGGCCTAAAGTTTTAGTTGGTACCATAAAGGTCACTCAGTCTTAAATCTTGTAGAAGTTATAGGACATCAACACACATGCCTGATTAATGGATGATGTGCTGCTACCTGGTTATTACTATCATCAAAATCTTAATTCAATTTCAATTCAATTCAATTATTTATTTCATAATTCTTATATAATATACACTATAAAAACAAGCCGCTAGACACCCTAGTGGGTATATGTTGCGGTTTAACAGAAATCATTAAAATGACAACTAGACTACATATAAAAGAAAACACTTATATTATGTTACATGTAGGTATATAAAAATGGTATTAACAATTAATCTAAGGATGTACAATGTAAAAATGTTACAAAAATCGGGTACCAGTATAAAATCAACAGTATAGTATGATATTGGTATTATACATTATCGATAGATGAGTAGTTTTTTATATGAAGATTTGAAAATATTTAGAGTGGAGCATTTTTTAATATCATGTGGTAGAGCATTCCAAAGATTAGGACCCAGATAGCGAAGGGAAAGTTTAGAGCATTTAGGGATATGAAAATAATGCAATTGTCTTGTGTAATGATGATGAATATTAATGTTGATATCAAACAAGTCTTGAAATAGATTTTTTGGAAGACTGGGGTGCTTATTAAAGATTTTGTACATGAACTGACCAGTACAATATCTGTTGACATCAAAAATACTTAATATTCTAAGATCTTTAAATAGGGGAGCGGAGTGAGAAAGTCTATCCTTATTTAAAGCTAGCCTTAAGAATTGTTTCTGCAGTTTATGTAGACGATCATAAAATGATTTAAATGTGTTACCCCAGATTATGTTGCAATAATTTAATTGAGAGTGTATCAATGAGTAGTAAATTGTTTTGAAACTGTCTATTTGAAGTAGATGTTTAATGTGATAAAGAGAACCAATGACTCGAGAAATTTTTGTTTCAATAGATTTTATGTGCTCTTTAAATTTCAAGTTTTTATCAATAATAATTCCAAGAAAGTCAATTTTTTCCCGGAAATTTATGTTCTCATTGCGTATTTTAAGATTCAGATTTGTTTGATTTTTTTGGGGTCCAAATAGAATAGCATTGGTTTTGCCAATATTAAGTGAAAGTTTGTTTGCTTTAATCCAGTCATCTATTGAATTCAAGTTTGCATTAGTTCTAGTCATAAGTTCATTTAAATCATAATCACTATCAAGAAGATTGGTGTCATCAGCAAACATAATAAATTTTAGATTAGGGGCAACAAAAGGCAGATCATTTATGTAAAGAATAAATAATAGTGGTCCAAGTACCGAGCCCTGCGGAACACCACAATTTAGAGATGATTGTTTAGATTCATAATTGTTAATGGTGACATATTGTTTGCGGTCTTTTAAATAACTTTCAAACCAGGACTTAGCTATTCCTCTGATGCCATAATATTCAAGTTTTTGTATCAAAATGTCATAATTAATTGTGTCAAAGGCCTTGGAAAAATCTAATGTTATGCCAATGCTCGTTTTCCCCAAATCAGTTGATTTTCGAATTTGTTCAATGAAATATAAAATGGCCATGTAGGTAGAGTTGAATTTCTGAAATCCAAATTGATAAGTAAAAATAATTTCAAAACGTTCTAAAAAACCAGTGAGTTTGGCGTGCATGAGCTTTTCTAACAATTTAGAAAATACAGATAAAACTGAAATTGGTCTATAGTTCGAAGGATTTGTAGTGACACCTTTTTTAAATACAGGTGTTACTTTGGCCAATTTGAGGGCGTCTGGGAAAATACCAGATTTAAAAGATAAGTTAAATATATACAAGAGTGGATCAATTAAAAACTGTCTTGCAGACTTAATAAGTGATGGTAGAATCCCATCAGGTCCAGGCGAGGAAGATTTTAGAAGACATATTTCTAATTCAAGCTCAGTTTTTGAGGTCTTTTTGAGATAAATAGATGATTGAACTTTTCAAGCTCTTGCTAGGTATTCATTAAAGCATTTTTTGGATTTTGGAATCTCCTTGGCTAGATTTTTACCAATATTGGTAAAAAAATTATTAAATCCATTGGAAATGATTTCATGATCTGTTGTTTCCTTTCCATTTATAGTGAATTTAGATGGCAATGCAGCTTTTTTGTTTTTTCCAAGTAGTTCATTAATGATAGACCAAGACTTTTTAATGTTACCACTTACTTCGGCAAACTTATTTTGATAATGTGTACGTTTTGAGTATTTAATTATGTGCTTAAGTTTATGGTTGAAGGACTTGTAAGCTTTTCCTGTTTTGCAACAGGGATTTTTCAAATATTTGGTATATAGCTTATTTTTAGTTTTGGCAGAAGTTAAGATGCCAGAAGTCAACCAGGGTCTATTAGGATCATGATTAACCTTGATAAATTTGGATTTGAGTGGAAATGAAGAATCATATTGTTCCATTAACAAGTTAATGAAGATATTAAATGCTATGTTTACATCTTGACTTTTATAGCAAGGGGTCCAGTCGACATTCGAGAGTTTCTCAAGAAATAATTGCTTATTAGAGTCATTGAAATTACGATAACTGCTTAATGTTTTTTTAGATTTGGTAGTATCATAATGTGAAATGGAATAGATTGGAAAGTGATCAGAAATGTCCTCCATGATGATACCGCATCCATCAATATTAGGGACATTAGTAAAAATATTATCTATAAGAGTTGCAGTCTTGTCAGTAATTCTTGTCGGCCTATATATTAGTGGGACATGGTTGAATGAATAAAACTGGTTCAGAAAATCATGTGTGGGTTCATGAGATTCAACCTTAAGTAAATCAATGTTGAAGTCACCCATGATGTAAGATAATTTACCCTCATCTGCTATTTTATTCATATAATCACCCAAGTCACTATTAAAATGTGACACATCAACACCAGGTGGCTTATATATGACAGTAATAATGATATTTTTTGAGTTTTGACTGATTTAATCTTAAACTGGAGAGTGATTTGATTAAATATGTTTTGTTTGGTGGCATTTGCTACTCCCTGGAGTTGCTGTTTTTCTAGTTTTGTATGTTTTATTACCTAGCATGTTGACAGATTACAAACCTTTAGGAGACCTGTTAATAGATTTTAACCTTCTAGATCTTCCTTAACCATTGTGAATTTGTTATCATAAAACAATAAAATCGGTTTTGTTATTTTACCCAAAATTAGATTTCACAAATCACATTCATTTTCAATGTGAAATGTGAATTATATAATTTACCTGAGATATCTCAAAGGTATCTTGATGATGTTCATCCCAGATATTACCAACATGCATTTTTATTTTTTTTTATTTTTAGATGTATTAATCCAAATAAACATAATACTTCAGTCAATTCTATTTGCTCACAGAAAGCTATTTGGACATATACATGTATGGTTTAGAAAATGCTATATTAGCAGTGTAAATAGCTCTCTGTGCATTTGGTCAAAATATGATATAAAAATTAGACTTTTTATTTAGATGAGCATTTAACAAAGGCAATTGAAATGATTGATCAAAATCAAATGTGAAAAAACTATGACTTTGTTTAGATTTGTATTTAACATTAAGCAATGTCTCAGAGTTAATTCAAATTATTGTGTTTCTTTAAACCTTAATAAATTACCAAGATGCTTGTATAGTCTAGTTATTTTACTAGTTCCCCCACTATAGGACAGGTTTTAACATGATGAAAATAATTGTCAGAGCATACAGGAAGTTCCCCTTGGTATTAATGTTACTGACATCCTTCTATTGTCATGCAGCTTCATAATCATCATGTGTCCTGATTAATGAAAACTTGTTATCTTGTTGTAGCAGTCATATATTTCAGTGTTAATACATGAGTGTATGATCAGTTATGAATTTTCTAATACTAGAGAACAGTAGGAATATGTCTCAAGTTTTAGAATGTTATCAGAGTATTAATTGCTATTTATGTACCCATGCATTACCATTGAAATATTCCTACAGTACTATGTATTTTTCAAAAAAAGGTCAGATCCAGTTAAGAGGAAGCTGAGACGTACATCCCATAGTTCAAGACGGAGAAGTTCCTCCCACAGTCCAAAAACTGTTGGACAAAATGGCCGCAAACCAGGAAGTGGAACCTCTGAATCTGATAATGGTGAAAGAACTTGGATAAAAAGCCGGCGTAAAAAATATTTTGGCAATAGATCTAAAAGTCTCCAGGATCCAGAGCCAGAAAGAGGTATTTTCATTTCCAAAATGATTGTTAATGCTGGATTCATCCATTTGCCTTTCCAATTGTAAACAATTTTTGGGCAAATGGAAACCGGCTATTGTCTGAACTCGGCCTATGTTGTTCATATTCATTTCATGGTAAATTACATTATTGATCTTGGCTCTAAATCCTAAATTTTGCAAAAAATTAAGACATTATTTTAGCCGTGTTTTTTGCAATATTACTCGCAGTGATTATATTTTACAATGAGCTTATTCATTATTGATCACATTAAAATTTTATTTATTTTTATATGGGTTATACTTATCCACAATATATATTTATTTTGGCATACCTTTACAATTTGACCTTCTTTTACCATTTGACTTACTTTTATCACACGACCTGTTTTTTAAAAATGAGCATAAGAAATTACCATGGGAGCCAATTAAATGGAAGTTCATATACAGCAGTTCATTAATGTTTCATCTTTTATGTTTATAGACAGTATAGCAGCTGATGGAACACTAGAAGCTACCTCTATCAAGTTTTCTCCAAGGTAAGGCAAACTGGAATAAAACTGTGTCCCTATAGTGTAAGAATGATACATAATACATGCACAAAAATGTAATTGGTGATACTTTGGTTTGTACTAGTCTTGCTCCAAGATTGTGTATTCCCCATGCACTTTAGCTTCCCAACACAACACCCTGTTGGAAAGTACAAGAGGGTGGGGGGGGGGTACGCAGTCTTGAGGCAAGACTAGTTTTGAATGTATTGCACACTGGACCTGATTTTCTTGTAATACATGTAAGGCCTTGGGCTCTTGAATTAGTCTGATTTATCTTTAGAAATAGATCACGATTGAGAAGCTGTCTCACTGATCACCTTTGTTGAGAAAAAATTGATAATCTTCCTCAGATTGATAGGCTCATAAGTATTGTTTTGAAGTACCTTTAATAAGGGGCCTTTACATGTAGCTTTAATTCGAGAAAATCTTGTACTTTCTTTCCTGAAGCCTTGCAGTTCAAAAACTTCATAAACATAAACATATTATACAAGTATATGTGTTATTTTCCCTTCTACAGTTTTATGAAGATTTACCAGCCTCATTCTACAGTACCTGCACCTTATACATTTTATATCTGATGTTTAAAGGTAGAATCAGTCTTAGATGGAATACTTATGTCATGTTATGGGAGTTGAAAAAAAGTTGTTCCTTTAATAGCTTCTAATCTTAGACTGATTCTCCCTTTGACTAAGAGTGCCGAATACATGTACATTTATGTGATGTCATTCAAAATGTATTGAGGATTTTATTGAGTAAATACTGTACTTAATTCTATCAGCCAAAGTCTTAATACATTTTGAGCAACCATGGGCTTTCGATATTCCATATCTATTGAAAGCCCATGGAGCAACCAAGCATATAGTTTTTGTAGAATAAGACTACATGTATAAGATCTATCCATCTAAAAGCAAACCTCTTTGTTGAAATGATAATAATTAATGTTTGGTATGAAGAATACTGAAACATTGCTTTACATTCTCTATGCCTTTCAAAGGATGATTACTTTATCAATGGTAAGTATACAGCTTATATTACCCCACACGCATCTTACAGCATGGAGCTCTTCAAATGCTTCTGCTTGTCTGCCATCTTGGATTTTTTTTCAAAAGGAGGCTCTAGATCACTTATATGCTTTTGACCTAATCAACATTTTGTGCTTCTGTAATGATAAATAATTATATCTGGATGATGTCATGTATTTCGAGAGATTATACTTACTTAGTTGCATTTTTAGAGATTGTCATGACTGGCATAATCCATGGCCAGGTTATGAATGTATCAATACTTACTCACTTTTTTATATCACTTTACAGCTGTCTTAACCTTTATTCTCAAAGAGTGAAAAAAACATCCAATTAATCACATTGGACAAAAACAATTTACATCAATATAGTCTACCTACAGTACCATCCTTCCACTTTCATGTATTATACTCTATGCATGCATGTGACATTTTGTGAGTAGGTAATTCTCTGCAACATAGATTTTTAGTTGGATTTTTGTTTATAAAAAATGTTTAACTTGTGTATGATTACTTTAACATGGTACATTCACTAATTTTGATACTTAATTATCCCAATGAACAAAGTTCTGATATAGGGATATACTATAGTGAAGCCTTTCTTCTATCCATCTTTCTGTCTCTCCGTCAGTCAGTCCCTCCGTCCATCCAGAAGTTAACTTGAATACTATATCTAGTTGATGGATTTTCTTGACATTTGGTGGAAAGATTGGTACGTGGTCCAGCCCACATGATCCGTTAAGCACTTTTGCTAATGAGAAACCACATATTAATTGGGTCTTAAGTTTCTTGTATGAACCCACAGGATTGAACCTAGTGATTGACTGTTCTGGTAGTCAACTTAATTTCTACAGTTTCAGTTGGAAAAACATCCGAAAAATATATTTTGTTTAAAGCTTTGGTGAGGAAGCTGCTTTGCCTGCCCCATGCCTGGCTTTGCCAATGTACTCATACAGTACATGTACAGCTATTTAGCTCATCTTATCTGGTACTAACATTGTCCTACTTGCAATAGCTTCTGTCTTAAATACTCTATCAATCTTATATTTGAATTATTCATAAAATATAATTTGAACAAGGTAATATAGATTCTTTAAAATGCCTTCATATTCTTACTGAATAAAGTAAGGCCATATTGTATATCTAAGAATTTTCTCAAATTTAAAAGGTTTCATTTGAGGTTTATTTTTTGCAACTTGTAATAGATGATCTTATTTCAACCCTGGTGAGCAGTTAGGAACTAGAAATAGAGGTTCTTATATGAGTACCTGTGCAAGATCGTCCATTCTTGATGAGCTTAGATAATTCTTCTTTATCGAGTCGAAGACGAGATAAAGAAACATTATCAAAGCGAGTCAAGAATGGACGATATTGCACAGGTACGAGTACAAGAAAGTTTTTCTCATATGACTCTGTATTATGCCATATTTTCACCATTTTATCATAAAACTGAGTGAAAAATAGCTTCAAATTAATTGAACTTCATCTTTCAATTGTTATGACGTCATAACAATATTGAAGAAAATACATAGATACACGTGGCAACAAAGCTCCATTGTTATGACGTCACAACTTAGTTTTGTAGAATTAGCATGGATACGCATAGCAACGATCTGTCCGTTGCCATGTTGTTGATGTTTATAGACCAGTGATGTCACAAGTGAATCTCATCTTGCACGTGTGACTTTTTAGGATGAAAGATGGCAATATCTTGCATGGGGTAAAGATGGCTGTATCTTTGTTAGTCATATGAGAAGCACTTCTCCAGCATGTGCATAACTTTGCTTTACATTTATAAGTGACCCACGTTATAGTAGATTTATCTGTATTATTGAAAATGGTTGTAATTTTAGCACAGCCTCTATTGCATTTAAAATCCTTTTTCAGTATCTTTAAGTAGATCTAAATAATTGTTACTTTTCATGCCTGAATACATGTTTATTTGAAATCTACATAAAATAATCTAATAATTGGATTTGAGAATTGTTAAGCTATCATCAAATTTTCATTTTCTTTGAAAATGTAATTTCTTGGTCCTGTAAATTTGGCGTATAAAGCCCATTTTTTAAATCATGAAAAATACAATATCTTTTCTTGTATTGGCTAGGTTATTTTTTACTAAGTAATAATTTCAAACTCCAAAGGGTAAATGATAGTTGGTACATTGAATTCAGTCTTTCTAATTTTCTCATTTCAGAGCTACCACAAAAGATCCAGAATTGGAAAGCTTAACCAAAAAACACAGTGGCAAGTCTAAGAAAAACAAGAGGATGAATAAGGTATGCATGAAAAGTGGTATAAAAATATGTATTCAATCAAATATTCCATTTCACAATAAATTTCCTTTGGAGGAAACTCCCATGGAACACATTTCACTGTTAAGTTTGTATGACTACTATCTAATTATGTCACCAACACAAGTGGTGACATTGTTATAGTCTCCAACTTTTTTGTAGATGGCGTCTGGTGGTCAGTGGTTGGTGTTTGGTGTCTAATGTTTTTAACAAATGGCAGGTGGTGACATTTTGCATGGTAATGCCTTGTTTTAGTTTGAGTTAGTTTCCTGTGTGTTTTAATGAATTCAACTATTTTTCTTTTTCAGAAAACCATTCTCAATAATTCTGGAGAAGATACTGTCATTACACAATTAGGGAGACAAGGAATTGAAGATGACAGCAATGATTCGGGACCCAGTGGCATAACAGTTAGTGACATTATTAGAAAAACTCAACCATTTAAACCAAAACAAAATACTGAAACTAACTTTTGGATTGATTTATGAGCTGATTTAAATGCCGGTAATCTGGCAAATTGTTGAGAACTGAACATTCCGAAGTGAACTTAGAATTAAAGACTTACATGTAGTATATGGTAAAGAACTGTTCGAGACTATACAAATGGTAAGGAACTATTCAGAACTAAACATGTGGTAAAGAACTGATTTGGCAAAGAACTGTTCAGAACTTAACATTTGGTAAAGAACTGTTCAGAACTGTGGAAGAGAACCATTCAGAACTAAACATATGGTAAAGAACTGATCAGAACTAAACATTTGGTAAAGAACTGTTCAGAACTAAACATTTGGTAAAGAACTGTTCAGAACTGTGGAAACTGTTCAGAACTAAAGATGTTTTAAGAGAACTGTAGTTAAGAACTAGTATTTTGTAAAGAACTGTTTAGTACTAAACATATGGTACAGAACTCTCTAGAATTTAACAGCTAAATAAGACGTATAAAACTGTTCTGAACAAGACCTGTAGAAGGGAACTGTTCAGAACTAAACATGTGTTAAAGAACTGTTCAGAACTTACATGTGGAAGAGCATTATTAATTAAGAAAAAGTATATGATAAAGAACTTTCCAGGAGGTAACATGTTGAAAAGAACTGTCCAGAACTAAGTATTAAAGAACTATTCTTAGAATGACGAATTAGAGTTCACAATTCCATGACTAGACCATTCAGTTAAACGAGTCTGCATAGGACCAGCACCATATTTTAGGCTTGTGTAAAATATTACAGTTTAGGTTCAGACTGAGCGTTTTCTGCAAGCACTATTTGCATAGGGTGATAATGTAATGGTTCCAAACCACCCATCCTGACATACATAAGGTTTTACAGTATTCATAACATTCTGTTTAATGTTTTTCAGATTTCACTTGAAAGGTAATATTGTTAAGATAAAAATGATAATTTACCCAATTTAACCTTTGGTGATGAAAGGGTTAATTAGTAAACTTTGCATCCACTGAACTTTAATTATCTAACACTCTCAATGTTCCAATTTTGTATTGAAACCTGGGAAAATTGGGTGTCAAATATTTGAAGCTAGTGTAATATAAAGGCTGCTGCAGTAAAGGAAGTCACGTAACAGAAAGCATTTTTAAAGGGTGACGCATATCGTTTAGCAAATCGAACGCTCGTTTCTGGTGTTGCTCACCGTTTAGTATAAAAGGCCCGATCCCGGAATAATACTCAAGGGTTCACAGGTTCGAGGTCGTTGTGTCAACACCTCTAACTGTTATATAGCATAAGTCTATTATAGATCGTCACACATTTATAAAAGGGTGATTTTTATTTTGACAAATCAATTCCACATTTATGGGTGAAGTTTCAGGATCTTCTATTTGTGTATAATAAGGAAAAATTGGCATCTAAATTTCCCCATAACGTAATAGCACACAGCTTGGCATATGAAATATCCTACAAATGAAACAAAGCAAGACAAACCGGTTTCTAATACAAGGATTTATATTGGCTGTTGTACATGTATTCTTTGAACGCAATCACTCTTTGGATAACGTTTTCAAAATCATTATAAACGGATTACTTTATCTCAAAGACAATTTCAATAAACTGGATTTTACAGAACTCCCCTTATTTCTTATAAATGGACTGATCCAGTTGATTCGCCTGGAGCCGCCATATTGTTTTTATACGGGATGCTAATCGGAACCCTTAAACAGTACATTAATTACAATGCTTTTTCACATCATAATTTGAGGAACAAAATAATTGAATTATCTTGACCAATTTAGACTTCCAACATTCCATTGTGCTTCACAAGATTTTTGAATCTCCAAACTTGTGAAATCTGATATATGTACATGTCAATCTATTTAATGGTGCGCACAATGTTTGAACTGCTCTCAAAATAGTTCCTCCCTTGTTTGTTAACTGCCTTTTATAACGAAGGCACTTTTCTATATTTGTATATTTGCATTTGTTAAAAATGTAGAGTTGTAGAACAACCTAAGTTTACATAGGATTTCTAAAATATCAAAGAATATTTTTATTGTCAACACACCAGGTTTCTCTATTTAAAGACCATGTGTATTCATATAAAAATAATTGTATTTACATAAGGCCTGTACAGTAGAACCTTTCTAATGCTAATATCATTGGGACTGGCTAAAAGCATTTGGATAAGAAGATGTTCAAATTTCGAGGATTTGTGTCTGTATGGATTTTGAAGAAATATAAATGCATTCTCAAAGAATATTAATATTTCTATTGACCACATAGTTTTATGGCTTACCAAAATCTAATTCAAATGAATTAAGTCAAGTTAGAAAGACCCATTATGATTGAGACCATATGATGTTTTTTTCTGAAGTTTGTCATACAAATCAGTGTCAAATTGAAAATATTTGAGCAATTTTGTGAGAAAAGTGTGATGTTTTGTGAAAAGTGTTCAGATAAGACAGGTTAAGTTTTCGAATATGAGTGTTCACTGTTCGAATTAGGAGGTGTTCAGAGCTCAAGGTTTTTTAACATGAAAGTCAATAGGAGGATAAACTGGGACCGGAAAAAAAGTGTTTGGATTAAAAGATGTTTGAATTAGCCAGATGTTCATATATAGAAGTTTCACTGTATACGGAAATACCTTTCTTATCTGAAACTTTTTTGCCATATATGTTGTCAGTCTCTATTTACATAGATGCTGTTATGTATGATATATTTGTGATCAATTTAATCATGCAGATACAAATGTGCATGCAGTGCTCTACCCAGGATTTTGTTTCTTTTGTTATTTTTTGGCAACATTTTAGAATTTTGTAATTTTGAGTGCAACATTTTAGTTTCTTATTTTCTATTGCAATATTTCATGAGGCACATTGAATTAATCGAGGAGTATTTTTAGGTCACCGCCACAAGTGGTGACATATTGTTATAGTCTACACCTTTTTTATGTACATTGTAAGGTATTTGGCAGTTGGCATCTGTAACAAATGGCAGGTAGTGACATTTTGCATGTTAATACCTTGTTTGTTTCACCGTGAGCCTTCAAGAGACTTGAAAGCCCATGGTTTCATGAAATACATGGATATTCTACACCTCTGAGAATTCAATGTGAGAGGACACCGACTTGTACACCTTGAATTTGAACTTAACATGGAAATTGCACATTTTCCAGTTCATAAACACAAACCCGTAGCATTACATTAACCATTGTGTCAAAAATAAAATGATGCATGTTAAAAACTTCTTATAAAATCTTTTCTAGTCTAGTCACTGTAGTGTCTAAGAAAGTGTCATATAAGTGTCTGTCTTGCACAGATGTATAGTGTCAACAATAGTCAAGGGTATCTTGATAGAGTTTATATATTGTCAAATATTATAAATATATTTATATACTACATCAGCGGTGTCCAATTATCAAAAGTTGTGGAAAACAGAGATAATTTCATTTTGGTTTAATCCCACCTTCCTCATTTATGAAATGTTGATTTGTCACTTGAATATTAGAAATAAAAAAACCAAGACTCTTCGCTGACGAAACGATAATTTAACTCCTCCCGCTAAGGAAACTAGAATCTAATAAGTCCATAACTGTTGAGGATTGGACACTTCCCTTACTATATTATATGTATATCATTGGAATGTTTCTCACTCCCATTGGCTAATGAATGGTAACTAGAGTTAGAAAGATGAGCATATATTTACCCAAAGTTTTGTTTTCAAGTAGTACATTCCATATTTTATATTTCACCTGCGTTAATCAGAGTAAGAAATATTACAATAACAAATATTTTGTCAAATATTCCAGTCGACAATTGACTAATGCTGAAGCCGTTTAATCTATTATCAGTAAATACATGTTTATCTTTCTCAAAATGGAGAAAATGAGCAATATCCACATCAATATAGAATGTTTTTGTCGTGTATAATATAGCATTGAAAGACATTACCATGTATCAATGATATCCTTGCGTGCATCTAGTATCAGGTTCTCCCAACCTGAATAAGTTATTTGTGTGTGGGGCGGGGGGGGGGGGGTGAGCTGCAACACAAGGACATGAAGCAAGAGCACATTCCTGCTATTGGTCTATATATTCCCCATGTATCCCTTGCAGTTACATGTAAACAGTAGATGGGGACGTTAGAACTTGAATCCAGAATATAAAATGTATTTATTGTTCAAATCTAACAAAAAATGAAAACAAAATGAATTTGAATTATAAAAGGTGTCCATAAAGTCTCTACACAGACTTTGTATCGTAATTGTAAAGAGACTTTATGGACAACCTGTATATTGTACTTGTACAATTTTGTGTATATGTTATACAATTATATGAAAATGTAGTGTCATTTTAGTCACATAGATATTGTATTATATAGTTTTGTATTGTGCATGTTTTCATATACAATGTATATGTAAATATACTAAATAATGTATGAAATGCTTCAAAAGGAATCCTGTATGTAGCATAAGAGTGAAATGTGAATAATATTGTCTTTTGACATAAAATAAATCATAAAACGTTTTTATCTGTTATATGGTATTAGTAATCAAACTATTGTCATACATTTATAAACTTAAACAATTCTTTAACAATAATCCAGATGCCAGAAGGTAGTTACCAGTTTCACCACCAGGTGGCTAATTTTGATCAGATAACATGACAGATATATACAAAGTTCCCTTAACCTTAAACTTGAATATTCATCAGTTCTACTGGATCAATTTTTAATATTACCCTTCTGTATCTGATAGTTACTGGACATTGTAAAACAAAAATAATATTTGTCCAATAAAAGAAATAAATAAAAGAAAATATCACTTTTTGTGATTTCATAACATGGAGTCTATGGGGAAATACCCTGACCTAGAAGTCTCATTAAAAAAAAAATCAAACTTTATAAACAACGTTGAAACCACATCTACACGAAATTTGATATCACTTTCAGTGAATTTTGAATATTTAATGATAATCAAGATTATTTCTACTCGCATCTAGTCTATTGGGAATCATGGGATTTCTTCTTAATCTAATTATAATTACGAACTGGAATTGGGTCATAGCTACTACAACCTGTAAATATGTTACATTGATTTTAATAAAAAAATCATTCAGTGAATTCTACACTCGTCAACCTTTTTCTTTAGTTGAATAGGGTTTGCTTGATAAGTATTCTGTTTGTTTACCATTTATTCATAGCATTCATTGACAAAGTGCAAAGGGCACGATGACTTGCAAAGGGACAATTTTCAATTCTATTTTCAATTCATTTCAATATATAGATGATTCCTTGATCAGCATAATCCTGAGCCTAACAGGCATAATCATTCAATGAAATTGAACAAGTGACACCATTTCTGATGTTTATGCTTTACATCTATAAAGTATAACATGAATATTAAGAACTAGTTATGTAAGGCCAATGAATCAGCAAACATGTCAAGATTGAGACGAAATTTGCAATTCAAAATTGAAGTACTATTAGCATTTTAGGCAGTGAAGGTAAAGGAGTAGTATTCAAATATTTTCTCTATATTGGTATTGTTCAAACAGTCCATTGACTCATGATTTCACTTATTGTCACACATTTGAAACATGTTTTTTAAATATGTACAGGGTGGGCCAAAAAGATTTTGAACATTTTTTCCATTTATTGTAACTTTTTTGTTAGTCATGTATTATCTTCAATACTTTAGGAAATTGTTGACAATTCATTTTCAACAGCTTGTGTAAATATGAATATACTAGCTTAACATTTAATTATTCAACGCAATGTCTTCCACCCACCACCTGAACAATCAGTCTGAGCTGTATTTAACAGGCATACATGATTTTAAATGGTTTTGTGACATATTGTGCCAGTTTTGAGATAAACTGAGTTTAGGTAGTCTATATTATCCAAGGGAGACGTGTCTTGCTTCTAGAGATAACTCTATATGTTTTAATTGATGGAAAGTGTTGAGACCATTTGAAGGGTACATATTGTATGGTTTGAAAGACACTGTAATTTTCAGCAGCAATATATGTCTCAAGCAGAGAAAAGAATGGGTATCGATATGGCGAACTTTTTGAACACACGTTTCTCTTAAACCAGTCATCAGACATTTCTGAAAATCTCACAAATTGTCAATTTAATGGCCATCTTTTGAATGGAACAATATAATTTGAAATAGATATACATACTTTCATCTATATTGTTTTAAAAAACACATCAAACACTTGTTTTGTTCTTGGTATCATGTTTCCAGAATGAAATGAAACATCTTTCCGAACCTCATTGGAACAAAACGACATAAACACAACATGTTTAGGTCTCTCAATATTCTTGTTAATGAAATAAAAGGTTTTTGTTGATTTTTATTTATTTTGGGGGGATTTTGTTAAATACTTTTTTAAAACCAAAAATTCCTTTGTATAACTTTAATATTGAGAGGTCTAAAAACATGTTCTATATGCTATTTTGTTCCTACAAGGTTCGGAAAGACATTTTATTTCATTCTCAAGAATGGGTAGAGAGGAGCAAAAACAATTGCGCTAAAAAAACAAAAAATGTTAACAAAAACAGTAATATAAAATATTTCTAAATAATTTTCGCATTAAATTGTTGTCAATCAGTCAACATTACATTAAATACCATGTTTTTTACAGAATGTTTTCAAAGATTGGTTTAAGAGAAAAACATTGTTGAATCCAGTTCTCCATATCGATACCTATCCTTTGTACATTTTTCACGACACACGATGGTATACAGATCATCAGATAATCAAATCTGGTAGCAAAATCATACATTTTAATATAACACTTGTTTAATTGTTCAATGAAATCCAAATCAAGGGTTGGCATACTTTGAGCCATTTTTTGTTAAGGGCAAATTATAACATATCTGCAGGGAACATATTTTTTAACGAGCTACCATTGAAAAATCACCATTCCCAATTCATTCTTTAGAGTTCATTCAAGGGTATGTCAATTCCTGACACATCCTATTCACACACTTCTAGATGATTTTTGAAAAAAATCCAAATCAAAAGAATTTTATTTGCTATTTCATTTTGTATCAAATAGAGGAGTTCATAATGACCTTATGAAGTTACAGTTAGTCACTGAAAACTAGTAAATTCAATATCAAATATTTTTGAAGAATGTAATTAAGAAATATAAACCAAAGAGCATGGGCGTATTCGACGATATTATCCCTGCTCTGAGGTCTATATTACGATTCGAACATGAAAACTCACCAAAATGTTTCGAACATTCCGTATGGTCCGCCATTACTACGACCCGCCGTTATGACGTCACACATTACACGTATTACCAGGGGTATTCTTCGCGAATATACCCCGGGTGAAATGTTGACTTAGTTCACAGTTTATAGAAGGTGCGAATACAGTCATGTTCGAATACTTATTTAATCATGGCGCACAATAAAAGTCGTAATGACTGCATGAATATTCTCAATTTGTACTGACGATAGAAGTGACAGATGACAAATATTGTATTAATGGAATGAAAAATAGGCTGAAATTCCAAAATGACCAAATTGAAATAGCAATATATCCACTGTGCTCTGTAGGCTCTAACATTAAACATCTCTTTTAAATGTTAATGCCTTGCAACAAAGAACAACTAATGCTGAAAAACCTATTTGTTCTTTCTTTGAATTGAAAATAAAAACTTTGAAAACATTCCATTTTCTATCACGGTTCCGCTGTTTTTATCATTAATGAGAATCATAAACGTTTTGAGAAATGAGAAATGAAAACTTTTAGATGAACTTGTGAATCATTATAAACTTTAATTTGTTTTTGAGAAATGAAAATTTTATTATCTTATTGAAGGATGCTGTCAAATCCTTTTTAGACACACGATTTGAAACTTGTGGAAAGCTATTCCTCTCGTCTTTCTGGCAAATACACTCCCCTCCAAAAGTATGGCAACCTTAGCTCCCTGCCTCCTCTTTATATTTGAATTTTTTTTTACATAACCTGCGAGGAAAATACTTATAATATTGATATATAATTAATGACATTAACACGATCCACTAAAGTTTGATCATATTCTTGAAATTAGAGAAAATACTAAATACACTGAAACAGCAACAATTTAATCTTAAAATGATCCCCGAGATGAACGTGCATCTAAAAAAAACTCATTTTTTCGCAATGGATTTATTTTAACTTAAAAAGTGATGGATAATAAATACCAATTCGATCAAATGCTTGCGTTTATAAATAATACATATGCTTTTAATAATAACTCATTTCAAAATGTTTCTATTATTTTATATTTGCTTTTGAGGACTTATCAGCCCCGGGGACTTAGCAAGAATTTTTTTGTTTGAAATGAAACAAAACGGAGGCGCACAGATTTGAAAGAAAATTTTTAAGACAGTTGGTTTATTTCACTGTAGATGGAGCAGCTTTTTAGTTGCATAATGTCATGATGCTCCGAGGTCTTCCCAAAATTAGTCAATCCCAACCCTGAGGTTGCCAATCTTTTTGAGAGAAGTATAAATTTACTATTTTTATCTACTGGTCATATAAATTGAATATATGTTTCTGGTTATTGCAATGAATTTTTCCACAAATATTTTTGGGGGAAATCCCGACCGGGGGTTTGCCCGAACCCATCGAACCCCCGGTCCCTACGGCCATGATTATCATGACCATGACACAAATAATAATTTTACCTTTATCTGAATTTTGTTGATTTAACTGCGATAATAAAGTCTATTGAATAAAAAGAAAAATGTTCCAATTTTTATTGGCTCACCTGTAATGTTAAATGATGTAAATAACCCTACCGTGTGCTGATGTAAAAATATTTAAATCGAACTCTCGTCTTGACCATAACATTAGCATGTTTTGGAAATAAGGCCGATAGGACGATGTTAAAATCAATATAGACACATGTTCCTTTCAAAATTAAGTAAACACTTTGAGACTGAGTGAAGAGTATTTACGATCTAACCTGTTTGGTAGAATCCATAATATTTGACTGATACAAAGTATAATACATATATTTGCAAGCAGGATTTGTGTAGCTTAGAAAGTACACAATGGGGTTCGCGAAGGGTAAATCCGACATTCAAAATGTGTAAACACACGTTTGTTCACGTGATGAGATACATCCATGTTACAAAAAGTATGTGTGGCACATTTTACAAATATTCGAATGAGAGCGACAAATGTTAAGCATCCGAAAATTTTGAACTAAATTAACCATTATTTAGTTTGATTTTCTTTTAGCAAAACAAAACAGACGGACGATGCATGCGAAATTTCCGATGATGCGAATGATGCCGCAAAGTTGTGGATGTGCCAAAACACTCACTGCTATTGTGTGAAAAACAGAGGTGTCTTGGTTCTCTTGGTCTCGCTATCTATCGATCTAAAAATAAACATCACAAGAATTAGGTTTAAATTGAAAAAAACAAAGTATCTTGCCTTGTTGCCTGAAGGCAGGACATCTTGTTGAGAGAAACAGTTACTGAGCACAGAGACGTATAAAACTGTTTTATATGTCTCTGCTTGGCAACACATGCGAGGGTTACAGTGGTAAGCATTTACACGGTGATTTAGTAAAGATATCTGGCATAAAAGGTTTAAAATACGTCAACGGCAGAATCAGAGCAATAAAGTGATTTAATTTTGATAAAGTGATTTAAAAATCACAAAAAACTTAGGCGATATATACAAAAACAAGTTTATACAAGTCTAGTGTTATCTTTTATTTTTCCAGAAGTTGATTTTGCTTTTTAGTTTCATCTAGTATTCATGTACCAGCCTCTCTCACCCTGGGTAAGTATTCAAGAGATATTTGGATGAAAGTAAAAAATGTATATCAACGAGTCAAATTGACCATGTCGTAATCTACCCTTTAGGTACCCCATCATGCATTTCTGTGCCAGGCACTTTCTCAAATACTAATTTTAACGCCAGGACTTTTTCCTGTAAAAATACACGGCCACGGATCGCATTATACATTTACTAATAAGGATATTGGTCCCAGAAGTAGAACGGTAAGTTTAATAAAATATGTAGAGGTTTCAGTTTGTTATTGTTGTTCAATTTAGTAGAACGGTTGACTCATCAGATCATGTGAGCTATTGATATGAAAACTTATAATTTATTCGCATAAAGATTTGTATATGACCCAAGGAGCGTAGCCAGCTTTCAGTCAGTCAGTCAGTCAGATCGCCAAAAAAAGTTGGTTTCCAGTCAATTGTCCAGTGCGATTGTGTTATAAACAAGCCAAAAAAGATTTATTTTGAATTTTACGAAAATTAATGCAACTTCCTTCAAAATTGAGCTATAGGCTATAGAAGCTTTAAATAAAAAGCATTTTAAAGCTCTTTTCTTTTTCTCTTTCATGGTTTTATTGGTTATGGGGGGGGGGGGGGCTGCGATTGCACCCATCGCACCCACTGGATACGCCTATGGACCCCATTTACTCTATTTATTTCCAGATTAAAATTTATTATCGCTGATTTACATCTAGACAATTAACGATGAGGAAATGCCACAAGTATGAATATGCGTTGCTGGTTATATTCATTCTCGGGATAATAGGTACATTTTTTTTACAAAACAGCTTGCTTAACTAATTATAACTATTCATACATAGTGTGATGGATGACCAAAATTTAGTAGTATATTTGTCAATGTGAGATATGTTTGTACAGGGTGTTTCATAATGACCGCCCCCCATCAACCACCAGACCCATGTATGTTATACATCATATGAAAGCTTGTTCAATTCTGGACTTATTGCATGTATTGAAACAACTTTGATTTAGCTTTGATTAAGCTAAGTTTTTACAACTTGCTACAGATCTCTACAAAAGGTACCCATTTTACTTTGAGCATAGAATCTGAAAGCCACATTTTTCCAAAATAGGCCACGTGTCCTGCAAAAAGCTATGATAACCATGCCTCAATACACATATTATCTATCGTAATTTACAACTTCTAACCTGTCTAGCCATCTAACTGATGGGCATCAGATAGTTTAACACTGGTTTATAGGAGGCAGCACTAAATTTCCGCTTGGGGTGTCTACTAATTGACTCATTTCTTTAGGAATTGAATACAATAGAGAAGATACCATATACAGGGTGGGCCAAAAAACGCCACTTTTTTTCAAAATGCCATAACTTTTTTAATTTCTGATGCAAAATCATAATTTGCATACCAAATGAAACTTGAGGTTGTTATCTAGCCATGGATCATGAATTATACACTTTTACTTGAATAAAATATGTCACCAGCGTCTCACTTAAACATGTGGTGTGCCATGAGAAATAAGCATAATTTGCAAAATGTTCCTCAACTGATAGGCCCTGATGACCGCCAAGCTAATAGCCCTAATGCAAACCCAAGTGAGTATAGGGTATGGGGAGGTCTCCAGGAGACGGTATGAAGGCACCCAATCTAAAAAATTGCTCAACTAAAGCTGGCAAGTAAGACACGTTGAAATAAATATAGCTAACATTTCATTGATACTGCTATATCAGCAAGGCAACTAAAACTAAAATCTATCATCAAATAGGGTGACGGACCAATTGAACTCCTCTTTTAGATCAAATATAATCCCAGTTGAAGAACTTGTTACATTATATTATTACTAAGAATCCTTGGCACTATATAACTGCAAAATTTGGGGTATGTAGGTTGGAAAATAAAAAAATTATAGTGTTTTGAAAAAAAAGTGGCGTTTCTTTGGCCCACCCTGTAGATACAGAGCTGTTAACTCACTTGGATCACTGATTTTAGTTTAGACATTTATACAGTATGTAATGTATATTTTACTCACATACTAGGTCCAGTGAACAGAAAATATAATTGATAGAATTGAGATTTTATTTAAGTGCAGTTTAAAGCCTTATACTTAACATACAACATAATATGAACATGAATTCTAAAATCGACATAAAGTTCAAGTTACAAGAGTATTAATCAACAAACTTTAAAAGTGGATTCATAATTCCTTACAAAATTCATACAATTAATTTATAAGGAATGCATATTATAAAGGTTATTCTCTTGTACATTAGTTCATGGCTTAGAATATGTTTTAAAATGCTGATGTGTCTCCAAATTACATTTTGATAACTTAAGATGAGTATGTAGATACTAAGTATGTAGATCTTTCAACTGATGGCGCAAGGGAATCAAATAGATATACATGTAGTTACACCTGCCAAGTCATCTTGTGCATCAGCCTGAGGCAGCTATAACCTAATGTTGAACTTGAGTGATTCCTTTGAGATGGGGGAGGTACAAACCCTTAATTTTATGAATGGAAATTACCAGAGAGCACTATATATATAATACAATGGATTATATAGTATTCCACTCCTCTCTTTAAATCCATTATGAACATCAGACATAAAATATGCAAATTGAGAGGATAAAAGTGATTACCATTTACGAGTTCAAAAATTATGCCCCAAAGATCAGGCATGCTAAGATTTGGCACATTAAGTCCAGAATTGAGTTACTTAGCTTTATTACGGTATATAGATTATGGGGGCATTTGATCTAGTATTGCTTGTGGATGGGGGACCGTAATTAAGAAACACCCTGTACATAACAAAGGTGTACTTATAGGTCAATATGGCATCAAGGCGTTATCTAACAGATAGATTTAATGTGATGGGTATAAAAATGTGAGATTTTTTTAAATGAACTAAGTTTTAATGACTCATTCAAAAATATGTCGAATGAAGAAAATATAAGTTTTTAATGATTTCCGATGATAATGAAATTGTTTTTTAAAATTGACTAATCTAACTAACACCGGGAACTATTTGAAAAAGGATAACATTAAATTGTACGATTGTTAGTATAAAGATTTTCACAAGCGATGTATTTTACTGTATAAATGTATAAGTCACGCCTAACCATCGCGTAAGCAGGCGTCACCGTACAGCGTCAAAAAATACAGTAGTACAGTTTTCTGTACGGTGACGAAAATTAACTGAGTTGAAGCAAAAACTATAATGAGGGTTTTAAAAAGATTAATTAGATGGAAATAAATACGATTTCGGGTGTAATAAAAACAGCATTCTCTTAGGAATGGTTTTAACTTTCTAATTATGATAAAAGTTTTTCGAGCACTGCTCGGATTTTTTCTGACTGGATCGGCACACATTATCGACTCGAGAGAAAAATGTTGTTTTTTCACTTTTCGTTTGGTTATTATTTTCCCTGTCGTCTGAGAGTATGGATTATTTTTATGAGAATATGTATTTGTTATCTACACATTTTAGAACAGATGAATATTCGGCAAATAATCATTCAGTGTATTTATTTAAAAAAGATCAGAACTGTACGGTGACGCATCAGCTGTACGGTGACGCTTCCTTAGATTTTATGAAGTGCTCTAAGCTTACTGTTCAAACAAGAGGTTAAGAAGCGTCAGATCTACATGTACATTATCACTGGTAAGTATCAAGCGAAGGTAACAGCCGTCACCTTCGCATTTAAGATGGCGGACAGGAAGTATTAATTTCGATATATTTAGTTTTCAGGGAATTAACTATTTGAAAGTTGACGTACATTGTAATGCTTTGGTATCATTTGAACTAAACCAGTCTTTTCTCATATGACTAACAAAGATAGCCTACACAGCCATCTTTACCCCATGCAAGATATTGCATCTTTCATCCTAAAAAGTCACACGTGCAAGATGAGATTTACTTGTGACATCCCTTGTTTTAAAACATCAATAACATAGCAACAAGAGAGTTTTTGGTTTCATGATCTTTACCGTATCATACATTTCCAGTAACCTTCCATTAAGCTGTGGAAGATATCGTTTAACTGTAGCGCCCATGCACTATATATGAACAAATGATCATACTCCGGAGTTTCCATTTCATACAATCTCAGTCTCATCTAGTTCATCAAAGCATAGCGTCACCGTACAGCTGGTGCGTCACCGTACAAATTTGATCTTTTTTAAATATACATAATGAATGGTTGTTTGCTGATTCTTTGCCCGTTCTAAAATGTGTAAGTAACAAATACATATTCTCATAAAAATAATCCATACTCTCAGACGGTAGGGAAAATAATAACCAAACAAAATGTGAAAAAACAACCTTTTTTCACTCTGGTCGATTATGTGGGCCGATTCACTCAGAAAAAATCCGAACAGTGCTCGTAAAACGTTTATCATAATCAGAAAGTTAAAACCATTTCTAAGAGAATGCTGTTTTTATTTCACATGAAATCGAATTAGTTTTCATCAAATTAATTTTTTTAAACCCTTGTCATAGTTTTTGCTTCAAAGTAGTTAATTTGCGTTACCGTACAGAAAACTGTACTCCGCTATTTTTTGACGCTGTACGGTGACGCCTGCTTACGCGATGGTAAGGCGTGTAAGTATAGTATTATATAAATGTCATTTAAATCGCATTACAGAGTGTCTCAAAAAATGTTACAAGTACAAAATGGTCAATATCTTTCAAATTTTTGGCATTTACCCTAAAACACAATTGAATACTTAAAGAGCAATCTCTCTTGGTTAATTCGATACCAGCAGATTTAAAATCCATTTATGGTTGACTACACAGGACAGATTTTATGAACTCATGTGAAATCTGACTTGCGCCAACTTCTCAGTGGTTGAACATTGTCATGCCTTTCCGGGACCTTATTCCAAGATTCTAACACCAGCAGAATGGTCATTTTCGGAATGAGTGGTGACAGCAGGATGACACTCCTCCTCACAGGTGAAGAACTGTGACAGAACTCTTTAGAAATCAGATCGTTGTATTTAATAACCTAGTCGAGTGATCCCCAAGTTCACCCGACTATAACCCCCTGGATTTCCTCTTGTGGCGCCAACTGAAGGCCAAGGTCTTCACAACACTCCCAACTGATCTGAATGAACCTTACGAAAGAAAATTTGATAAAGTCCGTGTGGTACGAGAAGAAAGGGAGCTTAAAACACGTGCTTGTAGGGATATGTTGAGGCGAGCGAATGTTTAGGAAGATAGGTACGGCGACCATGTAACGAAATACAGATAGGAAAATTGCAGAATTAATCAGGAAAATGTCAATCTTCAATTGTGAATAAAATTAACTGTTGAAGGAATGCTTTCTCCTTGTGTATGTATGTATGTATATCTTTATTGCCCTTTATGAAAAGGAGATACATGTATACAGTGTACAATGAAAATAATGCTGATATAACATTAATGTTAAATGAACATAGAATAAAAATATATACAATATATAAAACACACTTTATACGACTACGTTAGATGAGTGCTAACCATCTTCCCCAAGGTCGATGTAAGCATCTCATCTAACGAACCACAGACGATATAAGATGCTACCGCTATCTCATCGTCCAATTACAACCCTCAATGAGATCATTTGTGCAGAGAGCATAATTGAAAAAGTAAAAAAGGTTAGGTTAAGAAAGGTTAAGTATGTACATACAATTTTATACATTATATAATACACTTATCTCATTAGTTGAGTGCAAACCATCTTCCCCAAGGTCGATGTAAGCATCTCATCCACTGAACCACAGACGATATAAGATGCTACCGCTATCTCATCGTCCAATTACAACCCTTAATGAGATCATTTTGTGCAGAGATCATAATTGAAAAAGTAAAAAAGGTTAAGTATGTACAAACATTTTATACATTATATAATACACTTATCTCATTAGTTGAGTGCAAACCATCTTCCCCAAGGTCGATGTAAGCATCTCATCCAATGAACCACAGACGATATAAGATGCTACCGCTATCTCATCGTCCAATTACAACCATTTGAGAGATCATTTGTTCAGAGATCACAATTGACAGTAGATATAGATTAAGTATGTACATATGGTTTACACCTTATGTATATAAAATATATAGATAGATATAAAATACTTGACGCATTAATCAACGCATCCCAAATTATATAAGTCAGTTATGAGTTGCATTGCAAGCACGAAGCACGGAGGTGGTATTGCTCTTGCACGATAAGTGAAACCCCTCTCAAAAAATCTAAAGACCGGGGATCATTTCTAAAGTTAATCCCTAAAATGTTGTTAATATTCATCTCTATACCAAACTTTTGGCAGTGCTCATTCAGTTTACGTCTAAACGGGGTATAACTATTTGCTGTGCACGTTAACATAAAATGGATGACATTTTCCTGTTGAAACGTATTACACATATAACATAATTTTGACTTGTTTTCTCCGCCTCGATATTTTGTTCCTAGAGTATGTTCGTTTGTCAGAAGTTTGACCATAATTTTGCAACCACCGAGGGCAACAGGGAACTTTCTGGCAACACACCACCATATACTTGGACTCAAAGACCTAAAATCATTCAACCTAAATAGTTCAAGACCAGTATACATAATTGATCTAACAAACGTCCTCTGTATTTGTGCTGTCGAAAGTTCTGTAAAAACAATTTTCTTCCACCTTTGTTTGGTGATTCGAGTTTTACAGTATAGCATATCGAGAATGTATTTATCCAAGTTGTATTTTATAGCACATATGAGCATGTTACGGATAGGAGAAAACACATCAAAATTTGTTTTCATATACGACAATTTTATCAACCGTATCGTGAATATGTGTTTGTAAATATTTGAGCAACGGAGTTGTAAAATACTAAAGAAAAACATCATTCGGAGGAAATCTATGTAAAAGTCTATATCAAGTAACCCAAGAGGAAATGTTGAGACTGGATTGCTAGCAGATTGGGAAAGGGATTGAATCCTCCGTCCAATGCCTCTCTGTACTATGTTTAATTGTTCAATATCTTTTTGATGATAATTGATTACCGGAGCACCGTATGTCATACAGGGTATGGAATAAGTTTTGTATATCTGACATGCTGAAGTGGGAACAAGGCCTCCGCATTTACTTCCAATTCCCAGAAGGGCATTAAATTGAGATTTTCCTTTTTTGCATTTATCATTTACATAATTACTGATGTCATTATCTACAGACAGTGGTATACCAACGTGTTTAGCATAATTAGATTTTTCGATCGGTACACCTCCAATGTTTAGCTTTTGAGTGGCTCCCAATTCGATTTTACTGTTAAAAACAAGATATGTGCACTTTTTTGGGTGTACTTCATATCTCCATTGATTGCTATGTTTAGTAAGTGCGTCCAATAGGACTTGCATATTTTGAAATGAGTTTGATAGGATACACATGTCATCAGCGTAGCATGGACTGACACAGCTGGTGTCTCCTATGGTGGACCCGAGACTTAGTTTAGTCATGGTTTCAATTATGTCAGACATGTATAATTGATAGAAGAGCATTGACAGCACGCCACCTTGATGTACACCTTGGAGAATAGGAAATGAATTTGAGCGCGCACCACCTACTAGAACTGCGCACCTATAATGTTTATATAAATTGTACAATATGTTCCAAAGTTTTCCAACAACGCCACTTTTGTGGAGCTTAAAAAATAGACCATCTATCCAAACAGAGTCGAAGGCTTTGCGAATGTCTGTTATTGTAATGACTACCATTTTACCCTGTTCGACATTATCTGAAATAGTCTCCTGCACCAATAAGGAAGTGTGAACAGATGAACATTTTTCAACCGATGCCCCTTGTAACTTTGGTATCATTTTGTAGATCGGAACTTTCAAGTAAGTTAATAATATATTGTCAAAGAGTTTACGAAACATTGTCATGAGGGTTATTCCTCTAGAATTATCTTTTATGAGAGGATCTTTGCCACTTTTTGTGAGAGGGATCATTACGCCTACACAGAAATTATTTGGGATGTGCTCTGATTGAATAATTGAATTAAATAAGAGAGCAATGGATTCATACATTTTGCTTCCGGCATATTTTAAATGTTCAGCACTGATTTGGTCATAGCCACAAGCACGCTTACAGTGAAGTGCTTTAACTGCACTGGTGACATCTTCATTGCTAATGCTTACTGCCATACCATCAATTTTGTCATCCTCGTTACATTTAATAATTGTTCTGATTTTGTTCTCAATGGTGGTTTTAAACTCAGAATCGAAATTTGGCTTATTAAGTGGGGTGGCAAGTTTCTCAAAATGACATTTCCATTGATTTCTTATCTCGTCGGCGTCTGTTATAAGTATGCCATCGTCTGACAAAATAGGACTTACAGATCTCTTTGATGTTCTGCGATGTTTATTAACTAGGTACCAATAGAACCGTTGGTCAGTTTGTTCCGATGTATAGAGTTTTTCTAGTTCCTGTTTCTCGTACTCAATTTGGGCTGCGTGATAGGTTTTGGAGAATAACTTTTTTGAATCTTTATATTGACTACGCGCTGGATCGGATATATCACGTGACCTACCCTGAGACACCCATACACGCCATTTTGTCTTTTTATCTTTTGCTAAAACAGTTAAAGTTGAATTCCAGAACGGCTTTACATATTTTAAAAATCTCTTTTTTGGTATATGGGCGTTAGAGGTCAGTGTCAAAATATCTAATAATTTATCTATAAAATACTCAATCTCATTGCCATTCAGAGACCTTTTGGACATGATAGAATGTAGCTCGGCTACAATATCATTACATTGTAAGTTAATTGAACTAGTGTATGATTCCAAGATATCGTCATTGCTGAGCTTATCCCACGCACACCCTATAGGGGCTTGTATACTCGACCGTCTGTTTATCTTAACATCAAAATTTAAAATCGTTAAAATCGGTAGATGATCTGATGTGTTGTCAGGTTCATCTTCAAACACCTTACAGGTTAGTATATTATTAGCAAGTTGGGAAGAAATAAACACGTGATCAATGTAGCTCACATGTAGTACTTCATTCCTCATCATTTCAAAAGTGTGGGTTGGACCAGTAGTTATCTCCGTCATGTCAATTGCAGTTAAAATGGTCCTTTGTTCTTTTTAACCACTGAGAAGTTGGCGCAAGTCAGATTTCACACGAGCGCATAAAGTTTGTCTTGTGCACTCAACCATAAACAGATTTTAAATCTGCTGGTGTCAAATTAATCAAGAGAGCCTGCTCTTTAAGTATTCAATTACGTTTTAGGGTAAATGCTAAAATGCTAAAAAATATTGAGAATTTTGTACTTGTAACATTTTTTGAGACACTCTGTAGTGGGGAAGCCAGGTGTTTGGCTTGAATACAATAAATCTTAAATCTTATTTTACTGAGATGTGAAGATGTTTAGATACTAGCTTATATGGTAGTTTTTGTTGACAATAATTTTTATTTATTTGATCTTATTATTTTCACTTTATATAAATCTTTGTATAAATATATTTATAAATAAATCTTAATATTTTCACTTTATTCTATGAACTGTCTTTATTTATTACAATAAAGAATAAATGATTTAAAAAATACTACCTTTCTCAATAATTCAAGTTAAAAAAGGATATTTGATTTTGATAACAATAATTTGTGACAGTGAAAATTATCGTCCTGCAGCAATAATAACTGTTGAGGCTACGGGTTCACCATAGTAGCCCCCAGCAGGCGTTTCTACTTTCTAAACGTGAATATTTCATTTACAACTGAATATATTTACTTCAGGTGTTATAAGTTTAGTTGTGGTTCTGAAACTGGACCTAGATAGGAAAAAAGTGGAAGAAAAGGTAGTCAGAACGGATGATGCTGATAAAGAGACTGAGAAGTTTGTTTCAGCCTCAGAGGAAAAAGCTTATCGTTACGCATCAATTGCTGCAGACGCAGGACCATGCGCTAATGCAGGAATGTACGTTACGTTTATCTTAGAATTTGATGAATTTTTAAATAATTGTCCTTGTTTAAAGCTGTAAGACCATTGTCCTTTTAATCACCAACAAATCATTTGAGTGCTGGACTAATGCCTGGGTCACATTTGCTCCGATCCATCGGCCGGCGCCCAGTCGATTGAGTATTTTGTTCACAAATGAATGCAATTCTAAACAAAATACTCAATCGGCTGGGGGCCGGCCGATGAATCGGAGCAAATGTGACCCAGGCATAACTCATCTGTGGATAGTACTAATGATCTTTTAAAAACTTTAAGTTAAGCTATATTTGAGGCTTGGCGGTCGTGGAAACAAGCAAATGTGTTATTGATTAATTGCATATACTTATTTGATCACTCATTTCGAGAATCTATATAGCTATGTCAATTTCTGAGGAACATATTTTCATTTTTGAATTTTCTCTCACTTGACACATGGATCCCAAAGGTTAATTTGCCCATTTAATAATTTTGTTCACAATAACACTGAGAAATTGTATTTTTCCATTTAGCCATGCAATGGCCTCGAAGGGTGGTTCTGCAGTGGATGGTGCTATAATTACACTATTATGCACTGGACTTTACAATCCACAAAGTATGGGTATAGGAGGAGGCTTCTTCATGACCGTCTACCAAAAGTAAGTCAGCGTTTTGCTCAGTTTCATGTCGCATAAGAATAAATATATTTATTTGGTCGTACACATGTTCTCGCATGTATATCTTATTGTCGATTTGAAGGGACACGGGAAAAACTGTATCAATAGATAGTAGAGAGGTTGCTCCACTGGCAGCGACTGAGGACATGTATCTTAGTAATCCAACTGAATCTCGAACAGGTGAGGATATTTACTAGTTTTACAGCTCGGTTTAGAAAATACAATTACAACATGTATGCTTTTGATTAACTTATCCATTTTCAACATACATAAATCCGAAATTCAAATTGTTTTTGATTTTGACAGGAGGTAAAGCAATAGCAGTGCCAGGCGAACTGAAGGGCTACAAAAAGGCGCACGATCTTTACGGGAAGATGGCATGGAAAGATTTGTTTGAACCAGTCATCAAAATGGCAGAGGATGGAATTGTTATAAGTGCAACCCTTGGCTCTGTTCTGAAGAGATCCGAAGAAGCCGTCAAAGCTGATCCTGGTTTAAGGTACCGTTACCGTCTGACGTTCTTTATATGCACATGATGATCACTTAATATCCACATTTTCTAAAACATTCTTAAGGAAATCATCATGATAAACCATGGCATCTCATTTCTTCTCAGTCTTCAGTCATATTGACAGAGAAACAGAAATATGTGCTGTGCATCAGAATGCAAGGAAATAGTAGTTCATTCAATCTAGAGTACATTGTACTTCATTAGCTGACTAATAACAAACATAACTAGTAAACATAAACAACTTATATTCTCCCGAGAAAATAGCTACATGTACATGTACTTCTATTCAGAGTCCCCATTGACATTGCTTACCATTTCTACTATTTGTATCAGTTCAAAAATGCTCGAAAGCTCTAGCTGAAATAAAGCCTCAAATCATCAAGGTTATACATACACACACATATTCTAATTACAGAGCTCTCTATGTAAACAATGGTACCGGAGAATTATATAAAGAAGGTGATACAATTAAAATGCCAAAACTCGCAAGAACATTGCGTACTGTGGCAAATGAAGGCATTGAGTCCATGTACAGTAAGGCTGGAACTCTTGCTGCTGATGTGGTTGCAGATATTAATGAAGCAGGTGAGAATATCGAACATATTGGTATTGGTAGCAGTGGCGTATAGTAGCCAGCAATTTGTGACCAGGGGTTCGATTTTTTATGTTATCCACAAATCTCCCCCTTCATCGGTGTACCTCACATAAAGCATTTTTTTGTATTTGTCATACAATTTACACCCCTCCAAAAGTTTTGCAACAATTTTCTATATTGAAATAGTTTTTGGCAAATCTTTTACTCAGAAGATATTGAAATCTGGTAGCAAAATCATACATTTTAATAAAACACTTGTTTAATTGTTCAATGAAATCCAAATCAAGGGTTAGCATCTAGTTAGCATACATTGAGCCAACTTTTGTTAAGGGCAAATTATAACATATCTTTAGGAACATATTTTTTAACGAGCTACCATTGAAAAATCCTCATTCCCAATTCATTCGAATTCTTTAGAGTTCATTCAAAGATATGTCAAATTCTGATACATGCTATTCCCACACTTTTAGATGATTTTTGAAAAGATTCCAAATCAGAAGAATTTTATTTGCTGAGGAGTTCATAATGACCTCATGAACTTACAGTTAGGTACTGAATACAAGTATATTCAATAGCTAATATTTTTAAAGAATGTAATACTTATTTATAATGGCGCACAATAAAAGTCGTAATGGCTGCACGAATACTCTCAAATAGTACTGACGATAGAAGTGACAGATGACAAATAGTAAATATTAATTGAATGAAACATAGGCTGAAATTCCAAAAAGACCAAATTGAAATAACAATACAGTGTGTCTCAAAAAAATGTTACACTTACAAAAAGTTCAATATCTTTCATAATTTTGACTTTTCCCCTAAAATATAGTATGGATACCAAAAGACAAATCTTTCTCAAATAATTTGGTACCATCAGATTCAAAATCTGTCTTTGATTGGCTTCACAGGACAGCTTGGGGCCAATCCATTGAGTAATTCAATGATGTCTTCTGATTTCCAAAGAGTTCTACCAAATGAGCTGCCACAGACCTTTGCACCATCCTGTTGCCATCATACGTAACAACATTGAACACTATGACAATGACATTTTGTATTTCTATCCAGGAAAGAAACAACTGGATCATTGATCATATCACAATATCACTGTCCACAGCATTCACACCAAAAAAGAATTGATCACTGCATGTCCTCAACAAAAGATGGCTGCATCTGTTTTTTTATTGGACAGAACTTTCCACTGCACGTAATGCGTGTATCTTTTTAGCTTACACTTGTATCTAGTACCAAAGACATACTCACCTAATTGCCTCCCTTAATCCATTTATTTGCTAAACATATATAATTAATGACATGAACACGATCCACTAAAGTTTGATATTCTTGAAAATAGAGCGTATACTAAATACACTGAAATTGCAACAATTTAATCTTAAAATGATCTCCGAGATGAACGTGCATCTGAAAAAAAAACTGATTTTTTCGCAATGGATTTATTTTTCCTTAAAAAGTGATGCATAATAAATACCCATTCGATCGAATGCTGTGTTTATAAATGATACATATGCTTTTAATAACAACTCATTTCAAAATGTTTCTATTATTTAATATTTGCTTTTGAGGACTTATCAGCCCCGAGGACTAAAGCAAGATTTTTTTGTTTGAAATACAACAAAACGGAGGCGCACAGATTTGAAAGAAAATGGTTTATTTCACCGTAGATGGAGCAGCTTTTAAGTTGGAAAATAAGTTGTGCAAAATTATATATATTTTTTCTTTAAATAGGCTAATATCATGATGCTCCGGGGTCTTCCCAAAATTAGACAATACCAAACTGTGCCTGAGGTTGCCAAACTTTTGGAGAGAAGTGTAACTTTACTATTTTATCTACTGGTCATATAAATTGAATATATGTTTCTGGTTATTGCAATTAAGTTTTCCACAAATATTTTTTGGGGGAAATCCCGACAAGGAATTCGTCCGAACCCATCAAACCCCCGGTCCCTACGGCTATGATAGGCTTACTTGCTATGGGATCTATCTAAAAGTCTTCCTTTATTCTTACTTGATAGGTATTGGCATAAATGTAGGCTAAGTGCAAAATATAGATCGTCTTTGTGGTAATATTTTTATATTTTTTTCTTCTATCAAAGTAAAACGGGACATCTAAAGGAATCTCAAACAAAATATAACAGTCTATAACAGTCTGGAAATCCAGTGGTGTTGAGTTGGATCAACTTCATTCAACAATTCTCATTTTAGGCATATCAGGAAATCCCAGATATTTATGGGAGGTTTCACATGGAATAACTACCCCGTCAAAATAAAGCGGTGTTTTTTGAAGATTTTTGATCTGGTTTGAATGGAATATCACTTGTGCACTTTTGGACGGTTTAAATTTTAGAAACCATTTCTTTGACCATGAGCTAATTGTATTGATATCATTTTGGATTTGCCCAACTTGGTCGTTAGATCGGTGAAAAAATGAATATAAAGATGTATCGTCAGCATAGATATAGGTTTCGGAGTCTAGATTGTCAGGGAGATCATTTATATAGATTAGGAACATAAGGGGGCCTATTACAGATCCCTGAGGAACACCAGAATTTATGAAATCGTCATTTGAGAATTTTGACTTTTGATCATCGATTGAAATGCAAACATTTCTATTTCTCAAGTAAGAATTACAAAGATCAGCTGTTTTATCATTTATTCCATAGGATTTCATTTTGTGAATCAGAAGTGAGTGCGGGACGGTATCAAACGCAGCCGAAATATCAAGATACATTGAGTTAATACAATTTCCTAGTTCCATTTGTTTATAAATATCATCCGTAATTGCTAAAAGTTGAAGTTCAGTGTTATGGCCAGGAAGGAACCCTGGCTGAAACTTGTATAACAGGTCATTTTCAGAAAGGTGTTTCATAATTCTAGCATGCAATAATTTTCAAAAATTTTGGAAAATGTGTTTAATAAAGTGATTGGCCTATAGTTTTCAACATAAGACCGATCAGATTTCTTGTAAATAGGAATAATATTTCCTAACAGTCAGGAAATTCAGATTTTTGAAAAATAAAGTTGAAAAGTGATGAAAGTTGGTTTGACATTTCCACAATATGACACAAATGGTATATCACATCAGATGTACAAATATAAAGTTTGCAATCGATTCAGGTCATACTTCAAATTAAAAGATTTACGTTTTTTCAGCATTTTTTTCCCTACAAAATTGCTATAGAAAAATGCTTCAAAAGCAACTTTTACACTTATGAAATCCCGTACAACTTTGTAAATCCAAAGATTATACTGTTATGTTTCATTAATTAATAACATATTTGGATAAGATGTAGGGATGTGTAGTATGCAAATGGATTTTGACAGACACAAAAAGACTTCCTGGTTTGGGATCTCTACCCCTGTACACTTTATGATTGGATATTGGCCCTAATAAGTGGCCCATTCATCAATACAGTGCTGAATATAGGTCAACAAGATACTAGTGATATAAATGTAATAATAAAAGCAGTATATTCATTTCGAAAAATCAGATGAATTTATTTTTGTTCATGAGGAGATCATAATGGAGGGCGCACTAGATCCTTTTTTAGTTCTGTGCCCGATTTATAAGTGTGAAACTACTTAATTTCTAAGCACGTTGTGCAACATATTTTAGGTGGTATCATAACATTGGACGATCTGGATCAATACACAGTTACAACGAAAGAACCTCTTAACATAACCCTGGGTGATGATTCTGTGGTGTATTCTACTCCTCCTCCAGGTAGCGGTGCTGTTATGGAACTCATCGTCAACATTCTCGATGGTGAGAAAGAGTATGATGCTCAACCAGAGGCCTCATTATCATCTGGTCGCAACGCAAAATCGCATGCGAATCGCATCGCAAGACATCGCAACGCAACTATTTCCCAAAAATGTTATTATCATTCCATCGCATCGCAAGTCTGACGCAAAGTTATCGATTTTCTGATCGCAACTAAAAAAAAAGTTGCGACGACGTTTACCCTGTCGCAAATCAAATCGCAAATCTAGTTCATCTTTGAGCGTTATTTTATCTATGTTAATGGATATTTTGTGGTGTTTTATATCGGTCATTTCACTACCTGTTAAGTATTAATCAATAGTACCGAAGAAATTGTTCAATTTTATTTATTTAATATGATTAAAATATACATTTAATTGAGCCTGTAAATCCTTAAAAATCACGTTTGTTTAAATATTGCGAACGCATCACATACTGTATACGTCTTAGATTGGTGCCTGCAATATTTCGTGCTCTTTGGAGCATAGGATTTTCGCCAATTAAATATTTATCTAGCTAATAAAGCTTGTTTGGTGAATTAATCTTGCCACTACTACACTAATGTTCTGAGTATTCCTAGTGTACACAGTGTAGTGTATATGTACCTCACCTACATCGTCCGCAAAAGTTTTTCTGAATGATCTCTACCATGTTCCCAGATATAGATTAAATATTAAAGACATTTTATTTGATCGAGTTTGAATATGTAACAGCTCCGGTCTTAATCCCGAAACTGCCACGTACGGGCTGCCCAATCAATCAATTAACCAATCCTACAACAAAGCAACCCGTACAAACAAACAAACTGGACCGAACGAGCAAACAAATGGTAGCGTGGTAAGCTGAACGGTCAAAGCAACGTAGTGAATCGAATTTGAGCTGAAAGAGATTGATTGCTTGACTATATGTAAGGTGCTGCCATCTTTGAATAGACACCAAAGTTGAAAACACTAATTGAACAAGAATAATTTGGAACAGAATGAAGAAATGAAGCTAGGAAGATATCAGAAAGCTAATCATAGGGCCATTTTACAGTTATTCCATCTAAACCACCAATCAATGACTACAAACAATCAACACAACAAATCAAGTAAAGTTTTAAAGTTTAATTGTAAATAAATAATTAAGATCTGGTTTTACATCAGTTTTATCTATCAAATGAAAATCACAGGAAATTACATGGCAGAAAGATTACAAATTACTTAAGTAAGATGGCGGCTATATTAGCGCTTACAATCAAAACAACATCGAGCTTTAAGTAAAGCGATTGTCAAAAGGTGGCGCTGTGAAAAATCTCACCTGCGCGCTGAGCATATCAAAACTAGGCCAGATCTTCCAGCCAAAAATTACATAATTCTCTCAAAGAGAATCAATCACAATTGATCAACTGTTCCAAATAGCCAAATCAAATACAAACTCAGTTGAATCAAAGTCAAACAGACTGCAATGACAAAATTAAAAATGAAAACAATTCACAATATTTCTACAAATATGCTCAGCGCTGCAATGGAGTTCAAATATAAAATACAACCTCAGTTTTGCAGCCACTCAACTCTCTCCATCCCTCTGGCAGCCGTAACGATCGATCAGGCCTGATCAAGTGCCAGAAGTAATCCAAATCACCAATTTAAATCAAAACTGCCTCGTGAGTGAAAAAGTATGGCGCCAACTCTCTTCTCGCCGTCTCTCGCGAGAGATCAACCCTTACAGAATAAAATGTTAAAATACCCTGGCAAAACAAATGTACTGAATACAAAAGCTATATAGCTCTAGCAGCTATTACCCTGACCCTGCAGCGGAACTATTCGCGCTGTAGAGCAGAAGGAAAGTAGCGACACCGGGTGCCAGGTTGGCAATTTATGTAAGAGTAAAATATGACTAGCCAACCCAGGGTCGCTACATACCTCCCCTCTGAGAGAGGTCTTTAACCTCAAAATGTACAAAATGGGAACAATGCTATAATGCAACATACTATCTTAAAGGGCATAAAAATCACTACAAAATTAAAGATCAATGACAAAAATTTGGCTACGTAGCTTACAAAATGTACAGAAAATGATTACAAAGCATTACAAAAATTACATACAAAATCTTTAAAGTCAGTATGATGCTCTATGGCAATCACTATTTTTTACCCTCAGAAATGGTCATCTGCTTGGCCTGGACGGCATTTTCCTCAAAATAAAATACCAGCAAATGCCAAAATGGGAGGACCGCCCAGACCAATAACAAACCATTGTACAGAGTTTAATGCAAAAAAATATCAACTAAATTAAAGAATTCACAGTCTCTTGGCACAAAAAGTATAGGCTACTAGTAAGTCTCTAACTCCCTGTCCATAATGTTCACCTATCATCTGCTGACAGTGGTGGAAGTTCTATTCCAATCCTTGGAGGCGTGCACTCCTTCAAATCTCAGAAGTTAGAACAGCTGAATAATCAGTCTAAATACAATTCTGTCATGATGTTGAAGCACAAATGTTATGATGATGGATGCCAAATCAGAGCTGTTCATATCCTATCTTTCATCATGATGTCACAAAGCGCTATATGCTGCTATGATGTACAGGTTAACTATAGGCAGTGCAATCAAAATACACTATTTACTGGCCTTTTCAATATAATCACTAGGGCTGCCATCATTAGTCGGAACGTCGACTTGTCAGTCAAAATGCAAGTTCGACAACGAAGTCGACAAAAATTCCCGTCATGTCGACAGCAAACGATATCAATACTTACTTGAAAATATCCAAATGGCCCCAATACATTTCAATACACATTTCAACGTGTTATGTGCGCGTATTCTGCGGAAATATTGTTCACATTCATTTCATTTTCAAAAAATAAATTCACCCGGAAGTTCCCTTCATGACTTCTCTTCTCTCTTGCGAGACGTTGTACGAGATTTCGCCCGAGCAGTCGAAATAAATCCCGGTCGAAACATTGCAGGTATTTGTCCCATTTTCGTCTATAATATTCTATTAACTTGGCATTTAGTAACAATATTAGGCAATTACATACCAATATGAATATAAGTTATATGAAGCTTTTCCCCGATAGATTTGGAAAAAACGAACCAACAACACAGAAATAATTTTTCTTTTTTTCCCGATGATTTTTTCTCCCTGGAAAGTTCGATTGTCGACAATATTTTCGACAGCAGAGTTCGACTGTCGACACTGACATTTGAGTTCGATGGCAGCCCTAATAATCACTTTCCTGTAGTCAGAATCCAATGGCACAATAAAGCACATTTTCAGGATCATATAAATCAGCATCATCCATAATAATTAACTTTGTCGATATCTGGAACATGTTAATCAGCTACCACAGAATAATAATTGCCACCATGATAATTCAATGGAAACAAAGTAATCCATTTTCAGAATATCATATTGTCATTTAATCCAATAGAGCGCAGTCCATTTTCAGGATAATAATGAGGTCCATTATAAACCATATACATGACAGTTAGGGCCCATACTGCCATTGACTGGTATAATCCTATGATAGGTTTTCTAAATGTCCTTAAAAATTTTGTCACATTTCAGTAAAGATTCAAGTCTATTCCTCGGTATTCTTTTATAAGGACACAATCGGTAAGTATGGTTACCACAGCCGCACTGGTAACACAATCGCCTTTTCCGTTTATATGAGTGTGACTTAGAAGCATATTTTAAGTTCACACTACAATCAGAGTCGGGTTCTGTACAAGTATTCAGGGAACCAGATTGTTCATCCTGATTACAAGGGGTCTTATCCAGGAGTTTGTCTGCAGCCGGAGATATTTCATCCTTTGTAATAGGTGGCGCTTCACATGTTGACAAGATTTCAACCTCACCTGGGAAATCATCGCCATCAATGGTAGGTCTTGGCTCCTCCACCAGCCGAAGCTTGAAATGGTTTTCATATTTCAGCCCAATGGTAAGGGCTTCTTCAATGTTCAGTGGTTGTTTGGAGTGGATACTCCAGCACAAGTCATCATCGGGGATTGCGTCAAGAAATGTGCGCACAGCAACATCCTTTCCATGTTGGCTGTCACCAAATGCTCCTCGGGATAAGTGCTTGATGTCATGTGCCAGTTCAGTGAGGGTTTCACCCGGCAAACGTACCCGGGACTGCAGCTTCTTTAAGTAAAACTCAAAAGTGTGCTGTAGAGCATTGTCACAATAGATGGAGATATTGTGCACAATTCTTGAAAAGTCTTGTCTATCATTGGAGTCCATGGCACTCAATACAGAAAGCGCTCTGCCTCTCAAACAGGATACGAGATACACAGATTTCATATTATCGTCCCATTTGAAGAAAGACGCTATGATGTTAAACTGTATAATATAGTCCTCAAATGAAGAAGTGCCATCATATGTGTTAAGTCTAATCGGAGGTTGACACGATAATCTCTCGCCATCGAAGGAGTCATAGGCAGAGTCCATGTGTCGCTTTGCGCCATTCGCAGCAGGCGCATCAAGATAAGAATCATCCTGAGGCCTAGCCTGGCCCTGACAGTGACAAGTAGATGTCACAACATGACAAGCTGGCGCAGTCTGGCTGACTGCAACGCGGGAACTCGGGGCTTGTGTAGTAATGCGAGCCGGTTCAACCACTCTAGAGCCTCCCTGTTTACCTGGAAAACAAAATGTAGTATCAGTTGACATAGCAATGTGTGAAGTCAAATTCTGGTGTTTCTGCATAATATCAGAAAAATGTGCCATGTCTAGAAAGGGAACAAACTTCAGACGTGGCGCTCAATGACCAGTCGCCTGCTCCTCTAGCACAATCAGTAAAGCTCACTATCAGGAGTATCACTCTATCACAGTCAATTACTACCAAGACTGCACTAGAGTAGGTCATCAAATCTCAACCGCGCAAAACTAGAAACTTGCTGCAGAATTTCACAAATACTCAAACAACAATCAATCAATCAAACAAACAACTCAAAAATCCCGCCGCGACTAACCAATGTAACAGCTCCGGTCTTAATCCCGAAACTGCCACGTACGGGCTGCCCAATCAATCAATTAACCAATCCTACAACAAAGCAACCCGTACAAACAAACAAACTGGACCGAACGAGCAAACAAATGGTAGCGTGGTAAGCTGAACGGTCAAAGCAACGTAGTGAATCGAATTTGAGCTGAAAGAGATTGATTGCTTGACTATATGTAAGGTGCTGCCATCTTTGAATAGACACCAAAGTTGAAAACACTAATTGAACAAGAATAATTTGGAACAGAATGAAGAAATGAAGCTAGGAAGATATCAGAAAGCTAATCATAGGGCCATTTTACAGTTATTCCATCTAAACCACCAATCAATGACTACAAACAATCAACACAACAAATCAAGTAAAGTTTTAAAGTTTAATTGTAAATAAATAATTAAGATCTGGTTTTACATCAGTTTTATCTATCAAATGAAAATCACAGGAAATTACATGGCAGAAAGATTACAAATGACTTAAGTAAGATGGCGGCTATATTAGCGCTTACAATCAAAACAACATCGAGCTTTAAGTAAAGCGATTGTCAAAAGGTGGCGCTGTGAAAAATCTCACCTGCGCGCTGAGCATATCAAAACTAGGCCAGATCTTCCAGCCAAAAATTACATAATTCTCTCAAAGAGAATCAATCACAATTGATCAACTGTTCCAAATAGCCAAATCAAATACAAACTCAGTTGAATCAAAGTCAAACAGACTGCAATGACAAAATTAAAAATGAAAACAATTCACAATATTTCTACAAATATGCTCAGCGCTGCAATGGAGTTCAAATATAAAATACAACCTCAGTTTTGCAGCCACTCAACTCTCTCCATCCCTCTGGCAGCCGTAACGATCGATCAGGCCTGATCAAGTGCCAGAAGTAATCCAAATCACCAATTTAAATCAAAACTGCCTCGTGAGTGAAAAAGTATGGCGCCAACTCTCTTCTCGCCGTCTCTCGCGAGAGATCAACCCTTACAGAATAAAATGTTAAAATACCCTGGCAAAACAAATGTACTGAATACAAAAGCTATATAGCTCTAGCAGCTATTACCCTGACCCTGCAGCGGAACTATTCGCGCTGTAGAGCAGAAGGAAAGTAGCGACACCGGGTGCCAGGTTGGCAATTTATGTAAGAGTAAAATATGACTAGCCAACCCAGGGTCGCTACAAATACATCTTGCTTCATCAAGCTTCGGACCTATCCTAGAACGTAGAACGTAGTGATTGAGCGTGGGAACCGACGATGGTTTGAATATGAATAGAAACGTTGTTAATTCTACATAATAGAATGAATGCATATCACTGCAAATTACTAAGTTGTTAAATTTAATAGTTTAAAAATGAAAAAGCACGATTTTCTTTTTTACATAGACATGTACTCCGTATCAGTTGTTCAAGCAGCAAGCATCACCCATCGCATTGAAGTTGACTCGTCGGAAAGAGTTAGATTTTCAATTTGAAATGAGAGTTCGTCTCAAAATTGTAGATTTTCACATTTTCATCCCGACCCTGATTCAAACATGATTTGCTTTGATCACAATGCAAAAGACGTTTTTCATATTTTGTTCCAAAGGAAAATAAATGCAATGCACTGGAGACATATTTAAACATATAACGATATGGAACCCACAACTTGCAATTTTCTTGCATGTGTATAAAATGTAAAATATACACCACCAAATAGAAAACTCATTAGCTATTATCGTTTCATTGTCTGTTGAAAAATTATGTTGACAGCTTTTAGATAGAAGCATTGTAGAACACATACAACAACGACCAAAAGTTCATTTTATTTCAGTTAGTTTCAGTAACATGACAACTTCCCGTTTTAACAGTTATTTATTTTCAGTGATGTGTGACTTACATAACGTTTTTTCTTGTCCTCATTTCCACACCAAGTGAACTTATTTTTTCAGCTACCCTTGCCCAGCAACTATCCTGTGACTGTATTGTTATTTGACAGCTAAGTGGTGCCAAAAGAATATTTGCATCCTTCTCAATGAGAGATACTAATAATTCTTGTTCATCATTTGTCCAATTCCTTGCCCTCGACATGTTTCTTCGACTACCGTCTGTTCAATGAAAATCGATTTTGCATTTTGGCGCACTTGTGTCTTGCACAAGTGTAATGCATGCGCAACCAATCAAATCATATCAATTATTACATTTCTATCAATTTCAATCAATCAATGTCAAAGACTAGCGCCAGTGTCCTTTTAAATTTCGCGCCAAAATACATTCTAGACTTGCGATCGCAACTTACGTTTTAATTGTTTTGCGATTGCTAAATGCGTCTGCAATTGCGCTCAATTGATAATATCACGCATCGCATGCGTTACGAATTGCGATCGCAATCGCATCGCAGACGCAACGCAACTATTTGCGACCAGATGATAATGAGGCCTCAGTTCATTATTTTCAGTTATGACATCCATTTTCCAAACACAAAAGAGTCCTGTCAACACCAGAAACCTACTAAATGGCGGATGAATATGTGTGAAAACAACGATAGAATAGGATTCTTACAAATATAATGACGTATTTATACTCCCATTTTTGCACATACCTTTATTTTATTCTTGTTCACTAACGTGCGGTATGTCAAGTAATGTTTTAATTGGGACAGAAAAGGAAAAGTACAAATATATTGTAAGTTTTCATAGAACACTGTCCCCATCTCCGTATTTCATACTGAATGGAAATTCTGGAATACGTTTTCATTTCTAATTGTTGAATAGACTTCCTTTTTGGTTCCTTTTTTGCTAATCTTATAGCTATTTTTAGGATATGGTTTCAATGAGGATTCCATGAATACAAAGAATTCAGCTCTTACATATCACAGAATAATCGAAGCTTTCAAATTCGGCTTTGCAAAGAGGACTGAACTAGGAGATGAAGATTTCATTGAAATTAGTGATGTAAGTTAAATTGATTTACAAGTCACTCTTGATGATTAGATGATTAGTGTCATTGACACTATATACGAACGTCTTGATAGCCAATGTGCAATAATACGCTGTCAAATATTGTACCAATGATTAATAATGATGTTCCCTCGTATTTTGTTCTTCTTCAGCTTCTAGCCAACATGACATCAAGATCCTATGCCGACGCCATTAGATCACGTATTAGCGACAACACTACACATGACACATTGTATTACGGACCAACATATTACGACCAGATAAAAACGGGCACAGCTCACATATCAGTTGTAGGAGCAAATGGGGACGCTGTCTCGGTCACTAGTACTATAAATCTCTAGTAAGTTGTGAGGCCCCGCTGACATCGCGAGCAATGAGCTCATGCTAGAAGCGGGGCCTTGAGAGATATGATAAAATTGAAATATAAAACTTTCTATGAAACTTTAGGAGAAACTCAGTACAACTTTATTTCATAGAACATGTACAATAGCTATTTCAATTGAGGGCAACGACGTTCTTCAACTATAACTATATTTTTTCATATCTGTCAAGGCCCCGCTTCTAACATGAGCTCATTGCTCGTGATGCCAGCGGGAACTTGCTTGCGATATACGGGGCCTGGATAGTCACCGGTGAACCTGGTACTGTGGAATAAAATCAGTTCTTGCAAGCATCTGATCTCAATTTTCTGAAACACATTCACTTATTTTCATATAAAAGATGGATGTTAAAAGCACTGTTGCAGAATGTGATATGAGATTGTACTTTATTTAAAGGATTGGGATTAAGGGAATGCCGAATTTTGATTTAAAATTATCCAAAATATTTTGCTCGCTATATGTTTGGAACATTACAGTTTTTAATTGTTTAGCAGTGGGATGGTCAAATAATTAACATATTTATGTTCAGTTTTGGTAGCAAAGTGAAAGGATCTCGTACTGGGATCGTATTCAACGATGAAATGGATGACTTCTCTACAAGTAATTTAACCAACGCATTTGGGATCCGGCCCTCTCCAGCTAATAAAATTGTTCCCAAGAAGCGCCCACTGTCGTCAATGTGTCCAACAATAGTTGTGAATAAAGATGGCGACGTTGAGTTGGTAGTTGGGGCAGCTGGTGGCACACGTATTACAACAGCATCAGCTCTGGTATATACTACACTGACATCTATCTTTGATTAGTACATATTATGTGATTGTCTGGGCTTTCTCAGGAGAGTAATGGAGAAAATTTATGTATTTGAAGAAAACATAAATGTTTATATTTGTAAAAACGACAATGAATCCAGGCCTAAGCATTAGTGACTCTTATATACCGCAAACACTATTCCACTGTTTCAAATCTTCAACAAAACTGAATACTCTAAGAGCGAGGAGGAAAATTCTTAATAAATGGAGTATAGTTGGTTTGGCAGCATTTTCAGTTAGAAGGAAGTCTTGGATGAAAATTCTACCTAGGTGATAGCTTCACAGAGTGGTACATAATTCTTTTTTTTCAGGGATTAGCCCCCTACCCCTCAAATAGACCCCACCCTGGGAAAATAATTTTTTCATTCTCGATAACTTTAGATATCTTGATGTTTGTAAGTTACATACATATACATTATATATATGAATCATTTGCATAATAAATAATGCCAATCACTCCTACAGAATTTGAATAATAGTACAAAGTATTCATGTGAAGTGCTCAGTAGCAGGGCTATAAGCCCTGAAAGGTTCAGACTAATTGAATCGGAAGGAACCGAGAAAAAAATTGTTGAATTTTTGAAAATTTTGACATTTTTGAGAGGGGTGATTTTGGTTATGACTATAGCTGATGCCTATGGTTTCTATATCTATCCCTCTTTGATTATAAATATGGTTTTGAAGTATTGAACTAAGATGTAAAAGATAATTAAAATGGGTTTGAAGGAAGTTTAAAGTTTTAAACAAGTTCAAAATTCGAAGAATTGTACAATATCAGGTCTGAATTTACGAATTTTAGGTAAGACCTTGGAGGACCCTTATTTTTTTTACATCTGTCCCTCTTTGACGATATTTATGGTTTTATGGTATGGAACTAAGATGTTCAATATAATTTAGATGAATTTTAAGAAGGTTTAAGGATTTTAACAAGTTCAAAATTTGAAGAATTGTACAATATCAGGTCTGAATTTACGAATTTTAGGTAAGACCTAGGGTGAGCCTTAGATTTTTTACATCTGTCCCACTTTGATGATATTTATAGTTTTGTAGTGTGGAACTTAGATGTACAAAATAATTTAGATGGTTTTTAAGAAGGTTTAAGGGTTTTAATAAGTAAAAAATTTGAAAAATTGTACAATATCAGGTCTGAATTTGCGAATTTCAGGTAAGACCTTGGATTAGCCTTATATTTTTTACAAATGTCCCTCTTTGATGATATGTATGGTTTTGTAGTGTGAAACTAATAAGTAAAAATAATTTAGATGGATTTGAAGGTTAAAGGATTTTAAATGAGTCCAAAATTTGAAGAATTGTACAATATCAGGTCTGAATTTATGAATTTCAGGTATGACCTTGGAGGACCCTTATTTTTTTTACATCTTTCCCTGTTTGATGCTATTCATGGTTTTATAGTGTGGAACTAAGATGTAAAATATAATTTAGATGAATTTTAAGAAGGTTGAAGGATTTTGAAGTTCAAATTTTGAAGAATTGTATAATATCAGGTCTGAATTTACGAATTTCATGTAAGATCTTGGATGAGCCTTATACTTTTACATCTGTCACTCTTTGGTGATATGTATTGTTTTTTTGTAGTGTGGAACTAAGATGGTAAAAAATGATTAAGATGGTTTTGAATAGTGTTTAAGGATTTTAATGAGTCCAAAATTTGAAGAATTGTATAATATCAGGTTTGAATTTACAAATTTTTGGTATGACCTTGGACGACCCTTTTGTTTTTTTTACATCTGTCCCTCTTTGACGATATTTATGGTTTTATGGTATGGAACTAAGATGTTCAATATAATTTAGATGAATTTTAAGAAGGTTTAAGGATTTTAACAAGTTCAAAATTTGAAGAATTGTACAATATCAGGTCTGAATTTACGAATTTTAGGTATGACCTTGGGTGAGCCTTAGATTTTTTTTACATCTGTCCCTCTTTGATGATATGTATGGTTTTGTAGTGTGGAACTATGTTGTAAAAAATAATTCAGATGCATTTTAAGAAGGTTTAAGGATTTTAACAATTTGAAGAATTGTTCAATATCAGGTCTGCAATTAATGAATTTCAAGTATAACCTTGGTTGGCCCATATATTTTTCCACCTATCACTTTTTCATGATATATTTGGTTAAGTAGTGTGGAAATGTGTTAAACATAATTTAGATGGGTTTTAAAGAAGCTTAACGTTTTAAACAAGTCCAAAATCTTGGCGTATTGTACAATATCAGATCTGAAATTAAGAATTTAAAGTATAACCTTGCTTTGCCCATATATTTTTAACATCTATCCCTTTTTTGATGATATGGTTTAGTAGTGTGGAGCTAATATGTAAAACATAATTAAGATGGGTTTTAAATAAGTTTAAGGTTTTAAACAAGTTCAAATTTTGATGAATTGTACAATATCAGAGCTGATATTAATGGATCTTGGGTATTACCTTCTTGGACGAGCCTTGTTTTTTACATCTATCTCTTTTTGATGACATATATGGTTTAGTAGTGTTGAACTAAGATGTTAAACATAATTTAGAAAGTTTTAAAGAAGTTTAAGGTTTTAAACAAGTTAAAAATTTGAAGAATTGTACAATAACAGGTCTGGAATTTATTAATTTTAGGTATAACTGTGGATGGCCCTTATTCCTTTTTTACATCTATCCCTCTATGATGATATAATATATGGCTGGTAATATAAAGTAGTGTGGAACTAAGAGGTAAAGAAAGATAAACTGTACAATATCATATCTGACATTAATGAATTTCAGGTATATATCTCTATGATAATATATATGGTTTAGTTGTATGGAACTAAGATGTAAAACATAATTTAGATGGGTTTTAAGGAAGTTTAAAGGCAGAATCAGATCTATGGGATGACAAAATTACAAGCAACATGTACAATTCACCTACCAATCTATTCCTTATAATCTCAAATACAATATCTCTAAAACGATTCACAATGTGTTAAAAATTGATGAAGTTATAATGGATTTGAAGTGCAAAAATGGGTGAAAATGTTTAAATTCTCCCAAAATAATAAGAATGGTAACCATTTTTATTGAAAAATAATACATTATTGTAGAAATCCTTAGTTTTCATGAAATAAAGTGTGCACTTTGGGGATAATTAGCAAATAGACATGAAAAGGAATGACATAAGCCAGAAATATTCAAAAATTGCTAGATCTGATTCTCTCTTTAAGGTTTGAAAGAGGTTCATACCTTAACAAATTGTACAATTATAGGTCTGAAATTCTTAACTTCTTTGATGATTTACATGGTTTTGTAGTGTGGAACTAAAATGTTCAACAAAATCTAGGAATTTGGAGTTTTAAGGAGGTTTTTATTTATTTTTACTTATTGCTTATTGCTACTTCAGACTAGGGTTAAACTTCCTTAAAACCCCAAATTTCTAAATTATGTTTTACATTTTAGTCCTATAATACAGTACCATGTAAATCATCAAAGACGTTTAGAATGTAAAGAACATGAGGATCATTCAAAGCTTTACCTGAAATTTGTTAATTTCAGACCTGATATTGTACAATTTGTCAAGTTTTGAACCTCTTTAGAACCTAAAACTTCCTTAAAACCCAACTTAATTATGTTTTACATCTTAGTTCCATACTACAAAACCATATATGTTATCATAGAGAAATATATGTAAAAAACATAAGGCTCATCCAAGGCTATACCTGAAAAATAATAATGATGGCAGAAGAAAAAACTTGCAAAATGTACCATTTAAAAAACAGAGTGGTAGGTCAATTTGACCCCCCCCTGCAGACATTAGGGTTAAACTTCCTTAAAACCCCAAATTCCTGAATTATGTTTTACATTTTAGTAGTACAATACAGAACCATGTAAATCATCAAAGAGGTTTAGAATGAAAAGAACATGAGGATCATTCAAAGCTATACCTGAAATTTGTTAATTTCAGACCTGATATTGTACAATTTGTCAAGTTTTGAACCTCTTTGGAACCTAAAACTTCCTTAAAACCCAACTTAATTATGTTTTACATCTTAGTTCCATACTACAAAACCATATACATGTATGTTATCATAGAGAAATATATGTAAAAAACATAAGGCTCATCCAAGGCTATACCTGAAATTCGTTTATTTTAGATCTGATATTGTACAATTTTAATTATGTTTTACCTCTTAGTTCCACACTACTAAACCACATATATCATCAAAAAGGGGTAGATGTTAAAAACATAAGGGCCAACAAAGGTTATACTTGAAATCTGTTAATTTCAAATCTGATATTGTACAATTCGCCGAGATTTTGAACTTGTTTCAAACATTAAGTTTTTTAAAACCCATCCAAATTATGTTATACATATTATTTCTAAACTACTAAACCAAATACATGTATATCATGAAAAGGGATAGGTGTAAAAAACATAAGAACCAACCAAGGTTATACTTGAAATGTGTTAATTGCAGACGTAATATTGTACAATTCTTCAAATTTTGAACTTGCGAAAATCCTTAAACCTTCTTAAAATTCATCTTAATTATTTTTGACATGTTAGTTTCACACTACAAAACAATACATATCATCAAAGAGGGACAGATGTAACAAATATAAGGCTCATCGAAGGTCTTACCTGAAATTCGTAAATTCAGACCTGATATTGTACAATTCTTCAAATTCTGAACTCGTTAAAATCCTTAAACCTTCTTAAAATTCATCTAAATTATACTTTACATCTTAGTTCATTACTATTAAACCGTAAATATCATCAAAGAGTGACAGATATAAAAATCATAAGGGTCATCCAAGGTCATACCTTAAATTCGTAAATTCAAGCCTGATATTGTACAATTCTTTAAATTTTGAACTCATTTAAATCCTTAAACCTTCCTCAAATCCATCTAAGTTATTTTTTACATATTAGTTTCACACTACAAAACTATACATACCATTAAAGAGGGACAGATGTAAAAAATATAAGGCTAATCCAAGGTCTTACCTGAAATTCGCAAATTCAGACCTGATATTGTACAATTTTTCAAATTTTTGACTTATTAAAACCCTTAAACCTTCTTAAAAACCATCTAAATTATTTTGTACATCTAAGTTCCACACTACAAAACTATAAATATCATCAAAGTGGGACAGATGTAAAAAATCTAAGGCTCACCCAAGGTCTTACCTAAAATTCGTAAATTCAGACCTGATATTGTACAATTCTTAGAATTTTGAACTTGTTTAAAACTTTAAACTTCCTTTAAACCGATTTTAATTATCTTTTACATCTTAGTTCAATACTTCAAAACCATATTTATAATCAAAGAGGGATAGATATAGAAACCATAGACATCAGCTATAGTCATACCCAAAATTACTCCTCTCAAAAATGTCAAAATTTTCAAAGAATCAACAATTTTTTTCTCGGTTCCTACTCATTCAATTAGTTTGAACCTTTCAGGGCTTATAGCCCTGCTAGCTACTGAGCACTTCACATGAATTTTTCCAATGTCTTCCAGTGTCTGAACCAAAAGTGAGGCTCTAAAAAGTAAGAAAATGGGTCACAAATTTGCCCCTGGGGTACATACTTTGTACTATTATTCAAATTCTGTAGGAGTGATTGGGATTATTTATTATGCAAATGATTCATATATATAATGTCTATATATGTAACTTACAAACATCAAGATATCTAAAGTTATCGAGAATGAAAAAATTATTTTCCCGGGGTGGGGTCTTTTTGGGGGGTGGGGGGCTAATCCCTGAAAAAAAGAATTATGTACCACTCTGTGAAGCTATCACCTAGGTAGAATTTTCATCCAAGACTTCCTTCTAACTGAAAATGCTGCCAAACCAACTATACTCCATTTATTAAGAATTTTCCTCCTCGCTCTTAGAGTAGAATCATTGTTAGACAAAAAGAAAGTTATGAACAAGCTATTCTACATCCCATCATTGGGAGTCGAAATAATAGAATCTGGTTAATGTTATGGTTTATGTCCAGGTGCTGATTCGTAGCTTGATGATTGGTGAAGGCATCAAAGAAGCAATTGACGCACCGAGGCTTCATCATCAACTCCTACCAAAGGAGGTGCAAATGGAAGCGAACTTCTCAAAGGTAAAGAAAATATGTAGCCTAGTGTACCTCTCAGTTTTAAATGGTGTGGTCATTCTGGTCACCACCTTTCTGTTTTGAACTAGCAACATATTCATGATTTTGAATCGTACTGGATGGCCATGTATAACATGTCATACCATGGTGTGTCAGAAAGAAATTACTTTTGTTTATAAAACATATGTTAAATGGTTGATTTAAAAGCGTATGTACCAAATCTATGTAACTGATTGTCGTCAGCACAACTGCTTGTGACTAAGGAATGTATTTCAATATTGAAATCCAATGTTTCAGAGAGACAAGGAAGAGTTGGAGAAGTTAGGACACGAATTTAAAGTGTCCACTGGAATCTCCGTAGTGCAGGCAGTGTTAAGAGGCAAAGATGGCAAGCTATATGCGAACAGTGACTACAGAAAGGGTGGTTACACAGATGGATATTAAAAACAAATCTTTGACTTTCAACTATAGTTCTCCAGTCTCCATTCGTTTGACTTTGACGTCAGTATTAGACTCTCACATTAATTTTTAACAAGTGAGGAATTATTAAATCGACGATTCCGTTGTCTTCTGAACTATTTGTTCGCAAATGTGTACATTTTCTTAAACATATGATATTGATACACGTTTGTGATAAAAATGTCGTGGGAATTCTGCCCACAACGTGTGAAATAAGGAAAAAAGAAAGATCATACCTTCTACGTTCCGACATTTTGTTACCGAAACGGTTCCAGCGTAATCGAGTGGATCACCAGTGAGAAAATGATGACTTAAGATTAGAAATCGATAAAAGTTACCCGCATACAATTGATTTACTACTTCATTGATAGAGGAATAATTCTCAAAAGATTTTGCCTCGTCTGCATCATCCTGCTGGCCACGCTACAGGTTACACTTTTATAATAACATGCATATTATTTGAATTATCGACTAAATATATATTTTTACAAAATGTCTATGCAAATATATAAAGTAAATGTATACAATTGTTCAAACAAATTGTTTTTGTTGCTAGCATATTTGATTTCCACATAAGGGTTCAATATCACTTGTATTTAGAACGTGTTTGTGTAAGGCATCGCTGTTGCATTGTGAGTCGTAATAACTTGCATCTCTGGCATTTCGAGACCATCATTAACGGAATTGTTTTGAACTGTATATGTAGCATCTGATTTACTAGGTTTAATATCAACTGCTTCTACTTCTGCTTCCTGTTTTGCGGCGGTGTTTAGCTTGGTCTTCCTTTCGAGGGTACTCTGTGCTATTTCTAATACATGTTCCGCAGACTTCGTGTAGGATATGGCGTCTGAATTAACACTTTTCGACGAGGGCTCCCTGTTAAGAGAACCATGGATGTTTGTGTTAGCGTTTTCGATATCCTCCCGTGTTACTGGGTCCGTGTTAACATTTACCAACGAAGACGATGGACTTATGTGTGTCGAGCTTGTGTTTTGGATTAGTGTATCGATATCTGTTATTTCAACGCTTGCCATATTCACGGCTTCTTGGTTTTCAAACATCGATGGTTTTGTGGAAACAATATAGTCTTCATCATCACTAGCAGGTCGTTCATCTCTAGTGCTACCAACGACACTCGATTCGTCAGATACTGAACGCTGTCCGGATAAAACAGGTATATCACCATCATTGACTTTCTCAGCTGAGTCCACAGCTATGGGAATTTCGGAAGTAGTGTCCGTTTCAAATAATATTCGCTCTTCTGATGTTGTAACGCTTGTCTCAGATTCAATAACAATAGCTTCCTTGTGTTGATCTCCAATAATTTCCTTTCTTTCTTCTTTGCTATATTCAACATTTTCAAAATCGTACTTGCCATGCGTTTCAGACGTAGTTGACGATAGATCATCTTCGTCATCATCTTCGTCATCATCCTCCCTCACACCCCCCTCATCATCATCACTGTCTTCCTGGTCAGCACTTTCACTTTGATTATCACGTGCCTCTCCTTCGTTTACTATTGTCGACGCTAATGTTATTTCTTTACTTACGCTTGCTTCAACATCTGTTTTCAAAGTATCATTTTCACCTATATTTTCAATTTCAACGACAGTTATTTCATCTACACTAGTAACATCGTTTCGGGTCTCCTCTTTTTGTTCACTGTGAATTTCTGTTTGGATTGCATGTGTAGCCTCTCTTGTTATTTTTTCATCCAAATCAACCCGAGTGTCCTCAAATGTAGTGTCTTCTCTTATGTTTATTTCTTCTACTTTTACGTCAGAATCTATTCGGGCCTCCTCAGTTGTTTTATCGTTGGTTGTGCTCACAACACTTGTATTGACATCGAACTCAGTTATGTTTTCATTAGTTACAGTGAGCTCTTCAACAGTATTGTCTGATGTTGAGTTGTGGTCTACGTAACCAAATGTTGGGGATTGTATTCCTGTTGTTCTGTTTATACTGCTGTATATTGCGTGTATATTTTCGTCCGATTCAGCTTCACTTACAATATTGTCAAGAGGTTGGAGAGCTTTTTTAACTGCACTGTCATCGTGAAGTTCGCGATCGGGACGGGTGGATTCTTTCAGACTTTGGTCTATATCCGTCGTTGATTCACTAATAGTTACTCTTTTCCGTTCTTTCGACTTCGTTTGTTTCGTTTCCATCGTCTCATTGTGGACAGTCACATTATTTTCTTTAAGTAGTTGGGATGAAGACGCAACCTGTGATTTTGTTTGTGTCTCCTCATGATCAATCGCTTGGTTTTCGACGACGATTGTCGAGTGCGTCATGTCAGAGATAGGGGTGCGGGTAGCTTCATTTACGGTTGTGTCAAACTGGGGGATTTCAAGTACTCCATCGCCACCACTTACGGAAACGATTGTGGAATGTGGACCAATTTGTCTTACTTCCATTGGTGATTGTGGACCAATTAGTTTCGTCTCGATTGTAGAATTTGACTCAGCTGGTTTTGTCTCAAACCTATTGCTATTATAAGTCGGGTTCATGTAACGTTGATGTTGTATTACTTTCTGCCTTACAGCTTCTTCTAACATTTTGGGTTTCTCAGCATTCGGACCGGAGCCAGTTGAAGTTACATTTTGTTTCACATACGATGTCTTTGCTTGTTGTTCTTTGTTGACAGACGTGACTTTCTTTGAAGACGATGATTGCTTTTGATGTTGCAGTTTTTGTATTTGGGATTTAGTCGAAGTTGAAACGGGTGATGTTTGTGGTGTCGCAGCCCTGGCTCGTTTCTGTATCTTTCTAACTGCGGTCTGTGAACCGTTAGATGTGATAGTTCGTCTGGCTGTTGCTGGTGGAGTAATACCAACAAAGTCCAACGGAGGCTTCTTAGAACCATGGGGCGACATTTTAGACTGAAGCAGTCCCCTATTATCCAAAATGGTCGACCCGTTTACGAACGATCCATTTGATTTACCCCCGTATTGTGTGCTTCCAATTGAGGGAACCATAGAACCATTTCGTACCAACTTTTCCGTCATACGAGACTGCCTCCCTTCAGACCCCATCATTTCATTGCGGAGGTCAGTCTTGAGACTTCTACCCCTTGGGGCATACATATGCATGTGTTTCGAAAAAACTGACTTATCGAGAGGTGTTGGCTCTCTTTTTATCATTCTTTCTTTGGCTGCGGCTCGACCCATACGGCTGAAATCAAAATATGGAAATATTCATTTATCGACAAAAGGAATTATACAAGAGTCATTGAAAGAACAATATCTATAATTCTGAACCTCAACGACATCATTATAATTTAATTCATATAAAAATGTGACAATTTCAGCATCGATTGAATTTATACAATATCAAGGCTTAAATATAACTAGATTCACTATTGATGGTGCACCATATATTACTGAGAAAATACTTGTCAAAAAGTGTCTCACTTTTTTGGGACACCCGATATATGTACAGGGTGGTCCAAAACATACGAGTGTCCCATTTTTTGGACCACCCTGTATACTGTTAATAGACGTATCCAATCATACATACACATTTGGTAATTTGATATGTGAAGATATTATTCGGCACCATGACAAAAGGTGATATTTAAATAGTCTTTACTGTATATAGTGTATAAAGATATAACCTACCACCAGCAACAACAGATACACAACATACATAGCAGCGCCAACGCTGCAACACCAGCAGCCACTCCAATTATGATAACTGAAGTAAAAGGGGAACAGAATCATCCCATGTCTTTTTAGATAAGCCAAGAAATACCAAGACCAGTCAAGATGACAGAAACGTGTGTAATAAAATGACAGGAAAATTGTACATCAAATTATTAATGAAAATTAGTAAATTTTCAACACAACATATTATTTCTTGATTTATGGACTTACTTAATTCATCAGAGTCTGTCATTGTACCCCCGTTGTCTGTTGCAAATGGGGAATCTGTTGTTGATCTAGCTACTGCAATATGAAATTGAAATTAGCACGACTGATGCAAAAAGCGGAATGTAATTAGAAAGAGGGAAATCCAAAAAAGGAAATCATCTCTACTTTTTGCAGACGAAGTTTCTTAAAATCTCTCAGTTCTTTCATTATATCACCCTGCTTATACTAGAATATCAAATACGGTGAATATATCAATTCGGTACTTATATTTGTTCGTATATATTCTCCTATTCGTGTTTATACGAGGGGCGATTAATAAATATGATCGAAGATATTGGTCCATTGGAAGTGTCTGTGAATTAAAAATGTTATGGTATATTATTTTTTAATTTTTTATTTATTTATTTTAAAATATTGAATATCATCACATAATTAGAAATCTACCTGGAGTTGTAGTTGACTCTGTTGTAGAGGATGAATAACCTGGGGGTCCTGAAAACATATGGAGTAGATGTGTAAAATACAAACATTCATGTCCTTTTAACAACCAGTAGATTGTATATACCCAAGTTGAAAGTAAGATTTGAGGCCAATTGAAAAACTAATGCACAACTAAATCAGACAAACAAATTAATTTTGACACCCTTTTCATTCGTTCGACTTCGCTTGGTCTTCATCATAGTTCATAACTGCACAACGTGCACATATCAGAAAAGGAAGACAAAGACAGTCAATAAGTTTCTCATATCCAGATGAAATATGTTTGTTTGTAAAAAATCTCAAATGAATGTCTGGAACAACTCCACGGAAAAACTACTAAGGATGTTTTACAAATACTTTATTTACAACATTGATCGCCAACGACTTTATGACTTACTTATACACGTTGGTAAGGTCGACGACCACAATCCATTTAGGAGGCAAACTATTTCAGGGGAGCCATCTAATACAAACCCAGAGTTACAAGCATATACGACTTTACTTGACAGTGTAGTTGATGTATAACTACGATATCCATTCACAATTAGTGGAGGGACGCTACAGGTTGTTACTGAAACAAAAAATAACAAAATGGGTAAAGTGATATTCGAAGGCAAGGGGAGCTGGTAAATATCTTATCGGGTACATGCTTCCTCGTGTGCAATTTTTAGTAGTCAAAGACGATATTTGTTGCAAATGGGGTTTTTAATTACTATTATGTTGTTTGTTTTCACCCAACGCAACCCCCTTTATAATACCCATGTCCTGGTGGATAAGCTTACTAAGTGTATCTCTGGTTGTTGTTGGTGATATTGAGGTCGTAGTAGATGAAGATACAGATGCAGTTGTAGTGGCTGATGGAGATGGTGTGGTGGTGGCAGTAGTTACTTGTTCAGCAGTTGTTATTGCCTCCCTTGTGGTGGTGATTGATGGAACTGTTGAAACGGTTGTCGGCTGTTCACTTGTAGTGGTAACCATTTGAGTTGTTGCGGCAACTGTAGTTGTAGATGGTACAACAGTGGTCGTTGTCGATGTATCTAAAATTTATGAGAATATACCATTGTAATTTATGTTACACCTTTGATCTACTTGTTTTAAATTCGACAAAACAATTCGCAGCAGAGGTTAGGTGTAACTGTTGGAAGAGAAAAGGAACGGGCTTTTGCTGACTTTCCTGATACCATGCTGATACAAGATGGTATTCGAAGGATGGTTCTTCACGAGAAGGTTATATTAAGTATAAATGACATTCTTCAAGATCGGGCTTCACTGACTGACAGCAAGCAAACAAGCATTGAAATACCATTTGGACGATAAAGTATGTCTAAAAACATTTGGGTACCGTTTTTAGTTTTTATATACATGTCACCTCTGATTCTTCATTGAGAGCAATCAGTTACATGTACATCGGTCACATTTATAATACTAAATTCTTTGCTCACCAATACATATGTTATTAGGTATAGACCACGTGTATACATCACAACCTAATGATGGCGTAGGAAATACAACAGTGGTATTGTACTCAAATCCTTGGTCACACGTGACAGCTTGTATTGTCCCATTTGAATCAGTTGTGGCAACTCCACCTGGAAAGTTGACGTTTTCAGCGACGCAACCAACCGCTGAAATAGAAAAGAAAGTGCGTGTATGTATATAGGAATCTAAATATGAAGCACAATTGACAATAATCTTAAATGAATCAAATCAAGATATCCGTATGAACCCCCAAAACATAAGTGATGAATTGACCAATTCGTAAATGGGCAACACACATGTAAAAAGTGCCAACCAGTCATTAATACCTGTTACATTGAATTGTTGCAATACAATCCTTAATTCGCGATAGAGACTCCTCATCAAACATGCATGATCCATCTTGTTAATGATGGGTTAACAACCCCTTTAATTCAATAATCAAAAGCATGCCTTAGAATCATGCATAGCACCACTGCTCGCATGGATATACTTTGTCTTGTTATTGCCAAAGGTGACACTACATGCTGAGCTTTAATTTGTATAAAAGTTGATGGCAAATGTTATAATAATTCTATAAATGAAAGAAGTGTCTCATACCTGTTAAATAAAACCAAATGTTGTTGATGGAGGTTAAATCACTCTTAAATTGCAACAATATTAGTTTGTTCCCGTTGTATGCAAACGTTGTATTTTCAAGATCGGTTATCCTTCCGGTATACTCCTCTAGAACAGTACCCTTAGTGGGATGAATAACTTTGAGGCTGTCAGAGGAACTAAGGTCCATGTCTAGTATTCGAAGTAAGATAGTTTGACCAGGTTTTACGGAGATCTCAACGGTAACGAGGTTTGCAGCATTACTCGGGACGTTGTACAGGAAGTTAACATACTGCTCTACTGGTCCATTCAGTCGTATGTTACCATTTGATGGAAGTCGTTTTACGGTTGCATCTAATAGAAATAATTCATAAAGCATTAAAGTCGACATTGAAAATAAAAAACAATTGATCCAAAAGCTTTTGAATCAAGTATGACGGATAGAGTAAGTTGATAATTACGTTTTGCAAATATTGTTACAAAAAATGAAGTAAAGTCCAATTTTTAATTCTATATTTCGACATGAATATATCTTCAAACACCTTCACCCCTCCTATTTTGTTTAATAAAAACGTTGAGGTTATTATTACTACAGTACAGTAATTACATGAGATCTCGTGGGACCGCTCTATGTAGGAGGTAAGCCTTTGTCCCTTTGGTGTATACTCTGGACTATTAATGATGTAATCTATCAGGCAACAAATTCAACATAACTGGCACATTTAGAATTTTGGAATTCCTTGAGATATTGATATTGGTTTACCATTGCATTCTTCTCCAAGGATGCTGATGTCGTCAATCGATATGGTTTGGTCAGGCACGGTCGAGCGTTCGGCAACAAGGACAACCTCGAAATTGCTCGATGTTGCGGGGATGGGCGAGAAAGCTTGGAACCAATCTCCAGACGACGTCCCCATGGTCGTTTTCACTGCTGTTGATTTAGATGAACCTAAAAATACACACATGTAGAATAAGATATGTGATACAAATAAAAAATGATTTAGAAATTTCAAATAAGTGTCTTGATTATTTTTTTCGGACTACGCGACGGTGGTGCGAATGGATTACATTTTGACACTTGAGACTCGATTTTTCGGTCAGTCCCATTAATTTCATTCGGGCTCTATATATATTCATACCTTGTTCTCTGATGTGAACAGCTACTGTGTTTGCTTGTCCATTTGTCTTCATCCAGAACAGCATACATTTTCCAGTAGACTGGGATTGTTGCATCGCACTTATCCACCATGCTTCTGTGCCTGGCTCACCATAGGCCTTCATCAAACGACCTATAAAATACGTGTAACTACTTATGATTAGGGAATATCATCATGATAAACCATGAAATCTCATTTCCTCTCAGTCCTGAGATGTTTCAGGTGAAACAGTAAGATGCTATGAGTATAAGAATGGGAAAATACAATGACTAACATTATCCGTGCATATGACTCCAAGTTAATTTTGAATAACTACTTCCTTGTCGAATTGTATTATGGCATGTAAAACATTGATATTATTTCAACGGAGTGGAGGCCGCGGAGCTAAGGACCCCCTTTGTTATCAATTCTTAAAACAAGTTTTTAATATTACACTTTATAATTAAAGATCCACATTTAACGCAAAAGAAACATAATGTTTGTGTTACCTGAGGATGATCTGGTCGTGTGATCAAGGCCAGTCTCTGGTATCCAATCGAAGTCATCATCAGTTGCTGTATTCCTCCAGCCACATTCACTCAACTCAAAATCACACTCTAAAATTTTGTACAGATGTTCGAAATGTCATTTTAATACACATACGAAAGAGAAAAGTGTGAGGTTTTGACGTTGTCACAAGTTTGACATTGATACGATATATTGAGGTATCATTATCATTCATAAAGATGGAGAGGTAGGTATACATGTACATCGTGTGAGTATAACACCGTGACAAAGGTATCAATGAATATTATTATCAACATGTATCATTCTTTAGATAGGTATTTTGTGACGCTCATTAATCATTAGTGCTACGTAATAATTCAAACATATTTCGTACTCTGGCTACTGGGTGACGGAGCTGAAAAGGTTATGTAATAACGGTTAGGAATAAAGTAATTAACATAGTCTAACTTCATACACAGGTTAACATTTTAATAAGTTAGTCTCCGTTAATAAAACTTTAAATAACATGGTTTTAATACTATAAAAATACATACCCAATGCATTAATTCCAATTCCAAAAACGGATAAAAACACAAGCAATGATAGGAATCCCATAACGATTATTCAGTTTAATCTATACATCCATCATAATTATAAAATACAATCTGATGTCGCGCCCATTCTTGACACTAGCAAGTCATCCACAACCTAACGTGTTTTAAACGTAGAACATCGTGACATATTTACTCAGTAACTTCAAGTTCTATACATTGAAATAGAATATTGTTTGCATAAAACGTTTGATTAAGGGGCCCAGGGTGTATTGACAAACACCGGATTCTAAGGATTACTACACACTCAACTCTATGAGGCATAGTCATCAAATTGCAGTTATTCATCAAATTCAGTCTTAAATTCCAATCATTGTCCCCCAAAAATTATGTTTATGGCCCGAAATAATACTGGAAATGTAATGCATCTGAACGAAAATCGACACAGAGTCAGAATATATCCTGATTTGCTAAATAAATACATAGATTTAAGTAAATAGTAAGCTTGATTTCAATTTATTTCAATATTTACTTATTTCACGGTTCATGCTAATTTGTAATGCTCTCTCCTTTTTGATGCTTATGAAATTTATCATGGATCTATTTTACTTTTAATAGAGTTTGTATTATCATGGACGTTTGCATTCTGATTTACAATGAGACGTTTGTATTTTTGCCATATAAAGGGCGATAGAAATATTTTCTGAATAAAGATGGCAGGCAAATCATCCTTTGTTTATTTATACTTCTCCGATCAGGTCCCGAACGGGCGCCGAAGGGACTCGATTTTTAAATCATATCAAATGTACATGTTATGTCATGTACATCTACATTTACATGATAAATACTTACACTTACGTTACGCAAAATCCTTTTATAAACTTTCTGGTCCAGCCGTTTTCGACAACTACATAGCCGTGATGCCCGCCGTGATAATGGTAACCGTTGCCGGAATAGGCTTAATTCACGGGGAGTAAGTCACTCCCTCTCTCTTATACTCACTGGGTTTTCGTAAAACACCGACCGCCGACCACCGACCACCGACCAGTCACTCTCCACAGTTGGGTACATGTGGTCGGTGGTCGGCTGACGGTCTTTTACATAAAGATGAAAAAATGCAAAATTAGAAGTAAAACTAAAACTGGGAATCCAATGACTATATTACATTTACTAGGTCGTGATTTAAAAACGTATAATTATCATTTCAAATCACGATGAAAACGTTACATCGTCGTGGTGTGTAATGTCATAGTTTCAGTTGTTAGAAGACCAATTTCATCCTGGTAAGTCACTTTGGAAAAAACGCACGTAACATTGCATTAAGTTCATTCTTCATTCATATGAAACGCAATAACAAAAACACACAAACATCGTCGATGTTGACGTCGTATCGTTATGTTTGATTTCTCAGTTGTTATACGTCAACTGGTGAACTGCATTTGATATGACAAAAAAAGCTTTCTAATGGTGTACTGAAATGGTAAGTCACTTTTAATCCCGACATGCGCATTCAACTAGAGTTGAATGCCCATGATCCCGATAAGAGAACGCATGTAACATTATATCGTGTTCAGTATTCAGTAGGCTATGACGATAACAAATCATTTTTGTTTCGAAATTGTTAAATTTCAGTAAAAAATTAGGATAGATTCCCGTAGAAACGATAGGTTGGTTAATGATAGGTTAGGACCTAAGGCAGGACAATTAATCGGGAGGAGACGGTCATGCCCAATTTGTTTGCTTGCCATTCGTTGCAAGGTACAAAATCGGTAAAAACTGTTGCCTAGTCCAACGATTGACATTCAAAATCAAATTATTAATATTTTAAGGCTACAAATATGTTCGGTCTTTTACATGATATGGTCGGTCTTTTACACATTTTCTTCAAACCCTGTTTTGAGGCTACCAGTGGAAAACACCGACCGGTCGGTGGTCGGTGGGGTCGGTCTTTTGCGTAAACCCTCTCTATATAGGCTACAGATTAGAATATGAGATTAATCCACATGGCATAATTTGGTACCCTAACCCTGCGCGCAGAGTAGCTTATATTAAACTACCGACGATGAAGACGAAGCCCGGTTAAAGCCCGGTATACACCAATGGGGCAAGTTGGGACATCCATAGACTTAACATTGCGTGGGACCTCGTGGGACCTTTTGGGAATTTGCCCCATGAAGTCCGTGGGACTCCATGGGACTTCGTGGGATTTTGCCCCATCTTGCCCCATCGAGTCCCACGAGGTCCCATGAGGTCCCATGAAGTCCCACGTGGGACTCGGTGGGACTCGATGGGGCAAGATGGGGCAAAATCCCACGGAGTCCCATGGAGTCCCATCGAGAATGAACATGTTCATTCTTTCCATGGGGCATCGTGGGATTTTCGGTCATATGACGTGTTGTGCGAAGCCCGACATACACCAATGGGGCACGGTGGGATTTGATGGGACTCCATGGGGCTTGATGGGACTCCATGGGGCACGATGGGCCGGGCAAAGTCATCATGGTCCAATGGGACTTCGTGGGATTCGATGGGGCAAATTGGGATTCGATGGGGCAAGATGGGACTCGATGGGGCAAGTGGGATTTTGCCCCATTGGTGTATACCGGGCTTAAGATCCATGTTTACATCATTTGTAAAATTAACACGTCAGGTCAAATGGAATCAAAAAATGACAAAGCAGAGAAGCGAAGTCGAATACGGTAATCGTTCTAAAGGCTTGGTGTTTTTCCATAAATAGTCTAATGAGAGCATCTGTAATGTGGAATATGTATGCATGAAACTTATTATACGTGTACGTACGTAGTCATCACTTATCAAGTTATCGGTGACCTTATGACAATGCAGGGGTCTCCGGGGTTTGATGTAAAGATGCTTGGTTGGCAAGCCATACAACCCAAAGCGTAATCCTGCTGACATAAACTTCCGGTTTACAAATCGCAATATTTCAAAAAAATTTGTGTTGTTATCGCCGTAATACAAAGGTAAATCATTATTATATACTCTCTAAAACTAATGAAACTAATATCTATTTCGGGTTATACTTCACACCTATATCGGATTTGCTCCCGGTGTATCACATCATGGGCTTCGGATAGCTATTTACAGTGCTGATATATAATAATTAAGGGTGCGTTTTCAAACTAAACAGAGTGCTCCTATCAAAATGAATTTGCCTACATACCCCTGAGACTCTTATCTGATAGATAGAATGCACAAATAAAACAAAAGTTTTGCTATTATAGGTAAAAAGTTCTCTTGAAATTTCGGAGTGATTTTACCTGTTAATTCTGTCCATGGTCCGCCATTTTTGCGGAAGTTACACTGAAACGCAAACTCCATGAAACGAAACGAAATCACTAGAAAAAACGTGGCACACATTGTGCGCATGTGCAGCAAAGTTTAGACCAATCAGATTATTTAATTATTTTGCGCACATGAATTATTTGCTTCTGAGCACTTACAAGCTTACCACAATAAACAAACCTGGCAGAGACTACCCTTAGCCTACTCCATTTTGGCGAAATTTCAGCTCAAACTCGTGACAAATGCATTATACATACGCTGGTGTGAAGCCTTGGAGACACTCATTTTGGTAAATATGATTTATGGGGTATACTTTTCTGCAGTTTGTGTGAGTTTGGAACATTAAATGTTAAATTTCAAGAAAATATGCCAATTAAACGACTGGTCAATTAATATATACCAGCACTGTATCAAATCTACGATTTCAGGTTATTTTAATTGTTATCCAAATACACAGAGACATATAGTCTAATAACATGTCTCTGCAATACATAATAATGATAAGAGTATTAAGACTCAAATGAAGTCGAAACGTGAAATCGACTCCGAAACAATAAAATAGCCAACTAAACTAAATAAAAACTACATGCCAGTAGGGAAAACCCGGAACCCGGATACTGACTTTTTTAATAGTATAGTATGGTGTAGCCCGGGGGTGTAGCATAAATACTTATAGATTTCTTCTCTCTATTAGAGACTTTCAGACCTGTGTACATATATGTGCTGACGTGTGGCAGCATCAGTGTGTCCATAAGCCAGGGCATGGGCCTGAAATACATGTATTTTGTACTTTGGGTTTTCTAGAGATTGCTGGAGAATACTGCAATCAGTGTACTTTTTGTTGACAAGGAAATACATGTATGTTTCAGAGTGGTGCATTCTAAAAGGACAAATTACACGTATCCCATGGATCTGATATAAATGTTCATGTACATGTAGTATGCTATATTCTGGAGGAGATTGGTTGCTTGCTTTACAATACAGCATTCTGTTTGTTGCTACACAGTTTGTTAACAAAGTAAGTTTAAACTAGGATGAAGAATACATGTATGAAGAAAGGAAGTAAGTCACTTCCCCCTACGCCTCATCAATCGACAGCCAACTACTAAGAGAATATGTACATGTATAATATCCTTTTTATCATAGAAGTCATGAATATAAATTCAATAATCGCACACAGTCATCTTATAAAAAAAATTATCACTACATATATACAAATACTGAGCATTGTATACAGCTCTTAGAGTTTAAATTGTTACTTTACTAAAACTATCATATTTACAAACTATCATATTTACAACTATATACCTACAGTACATGTAATGTAATTTATTATATAAATGTTGCACGTCATTATTTTCAGTATGTACTATCTGTGCTGAAATTCACATATCCAACTATATTTCAAGGGTAAGTGTAATCTGTTATTTCCAGTGTGTTTTCACATTACAATCTTATATTGAGGTATCAGCTACATGTACCATTATGGTCATGTGAATGTAATGCTGGTCTTCAGAAAATAGTAAATTATACAAAATATTGAATATTGAATGTAAAGATAGAATTAATATTCAGCATAAAGAGGTTATATAAATAAATGATGGATATGATAAGAGATATCCTAATAATTTCAAACTGTATTATTCTAGACAAAACTTTGACCAAAATAACAAATTATGAATATTTACATTTATAGATGGCAGACCCTTGTAGGAGCAGTGATACTTCGTGTTCTAGCCTTGACTGGCAAGATAGACCTGGTTACATCAGATATCAGCAGGTATGTGTACCTTGTGACATCAGATGTCAGGATGTATGTGTAGCTTTCAACGTCAGATATCAGCACGTATGTGTACCTTGTGACGTCAGATATCAGCCGGTATGTGTACCTTGTAACGTCAGATATCAGCAGGTACCGTATATGTAGTTTTCAACGTCAGATATCAACAGGTATGTGTACCTTGTAAAGTCAGGTATTAGCCGGTATGTGTACCTTGTAACATCAGATATCAGCACGTATGTATACCTTATAACGTCAGATATCAGCAGGTACATGTATGTTTACCTGGTTACAACATATATCGTCAGATATGCACACCTCGTTACATTTAGAGTAGTACTATAAGGGAGGGGTTTATTCTAAGGGATGATATGACATGTATGATATCTTCCCAGGGACAGGATAGGCCGTGGTAAGATATTGTAGCATGCTGAAGAATGAAAATTAGGGAGGACCTTTTTACATAATTGTAAAATAATCACTGATTTTGTATATAAAATATTACCAGGAATATAGAATGACCATGTTATGTTCTCCAAGTGTAGTAAACATTATACTTGCTTTTTTAGACGTTGGTTTAAACGTTATTATTTGTATCAACAAAGTTATCTGCAAATTTGCATACATGGTACTCATCAGATATAGTAAATTGAATTGATATATCGACAGTTAGTAGATGACTTACCACGACACAGCTAGTCAAGATTTTCTTAATTAATAATAATTTGGAACCTTGAATCTCTCACATGATGGGGTCAGAAACTTTCCTAATCATTGACGTGTAACATTTCCAAATACAGTATGTGATTCTTTATTTACAATTTTAGGTCAAGTATTGCCCCGCACATTCCATCAATGATGACATATGTTGTTACTATATACTCGGGATCAAAGGCATTATCTTCTTTGGTGAGTTGGCAAGAATTAGTTAGGTACCCCAACTCAGGTATACCAAGATTCTCCGAAATGATGCTTCAAACAATGATAAAAGTTATTGCTCTTCATTGATTTAATTGCACGATGAATGTCAGATATTAAGGTCAAAGTCATTAGAAGTGTAGTACTAATTGTATACAGCTTTATTATCTATGGTCATAGTTCCTATGATCTTTCAAGCATATATGTGAACATTATAAAGTAGTTAAAATGTAGTAATTTTTTAATGTTTCTCCTGACGTACATTATTTGTACATCTTATTCATTTAATTTAGATTAAGATGGCAACTTTGGTATGTGTTTGCACTGGACACCAGTCTTTAATCTTAGGAGTAAAATATCCAACTTCATTCAAATGGACCTCCCTTATTTTTTAAATACCCCATAAAATATAACCTGCAATACTACTAAACGAAGTGAGTTTTGTTTTGTTAATACGAGTATCATTTGAAACGGTAAAATAACTATATTAAATTTTTACATTATATTATTGTTTATCACACTTTGCTTGATTGAGTTAAATATAGCAAACATGCTGACAATAAACAATTGAGTTGAGCATTTGAACAAATATTAATCAATAACAAATGATTACCGGATCATCAAATAGATTAGTATCTTCCGTATTCTCGTGTGTTAGACAAATACGTACGTATCCTATGCTCATTTATTTGGACGAGAGAATTAATCACATTAGATTATCACACTGTAGTAGTTTATTGAACAATTATATTCAGATTCATTTGCGTCATAGTTGTGAAGATATATACGATGAATGACATTCAAATATTCGTGTACCTTTGTGTGTCAGAAACACAAATCCTTACGACAAATTGTGAGAACAACCAAGATGTTTGTTCACATCTACCTGTATATGATATAATTGCTCACTTTAATTATGTCCATTAATTTTACCTACAATTTTGTCACTTTTTAAAAAATTATATGAACACTACATAACTTCAAGATTAAATTGACTTTTACTAATGAACCCGGAGAAGATGTTCAAATGTAATAGCAGGTCAGGTCATGAGTAGTAAAAGTCAATGCAATCTTAACAGTTAAAGGTCACAATTTTTGAAGCTCATGTTCATATAATATCTAGAGGTGTTTTAGTAGGGCAAGGCCAATTTTTGACCCAGGGTCAAATATTACACGTATAGAGGTTGAGTTGCAATATTTATGGTGAGATCGTTTTTGAAAAATGTTAAAGCAAAAATTGTAGCCTGCTAGTAATAGAATAATGATATTTATTTCCAGCCAATACCAACATTTCTAGCAATAAGTAATGCATCTGCAATATTACCAACCATATTTCAACTTGCCACACGAAAGGTAGGTGTATTTAAGTTCAGAATAAATTCCCAAATTAAGAACATGTCAACTGCAGTATCTGATAAGAACATACATTTGCATTACATATCGAGTTGCCTCGTCCAATCACAAACATAGATGAGTAGTAGTCGAGGCAGTAATTTATTAGATACCATTTTACATCGTAAAACACTTGGAGATTAAAGAATACTAGTTGTTGTTCTTTATGATTGTTGTTTTTATGTCACCACCATGAGCGCTGACATTTTGTTATAGTCTCCAACTTTCTTTGTGCATCTGTAACAAATGTCAGGTTGTGACAATTTGCATATTAATGCCTTATTAAACAATTATATCTATTTTTCAGAATCTCTCACAAATCAGCTGTGTCAAATCTGTGCTATTTGTTTTATTAACCACCATGATATGTTGGAGCGACCCATATTATACATACACATCCAATGGCTATTTCTGGATGTTTATATTTATCATATCATCTGGGATAAAAGAAATTCTTGGAGCTTTAACAACAAAGCTAAGGTGTGTATACAACTCGCTTTTTGATTTAGATCTAAGTTCAATACATACCAGTAATAGACTCCTAATCGTTAAATTACATTGTAATTTTGTAGCAGAAGATGTTGGGGAACTTGATGTCATATTTTTTATTTATAATTGATATCATCCTAGATATCATGTATAGAATTTAACTTTGCAATTCATTTTAACTTATATTTTATATGAATATTGTTATCCACTCTAGTTACAATTGCCTTTAACTTGTTAATATTGAAAATGACAAAATATTTTTCTATATTATAGGGAGATTGACAAGTTGTATTGCAACTATGTCTATAGTGTTATAATGTTGGCACCTTCAAGTTATTTCTTAGGTGAGTTATCTGTAAGTAATACACCATATTATCAAAACGTTTAATTATAGGAATTATTAATACTAGGAATTATATGCAATACTTGTATATCTTGACAGCAGTATATTCTGTTAAAATTGTGGGTAAAATTATCAATATGTGGCACAATTTGTTGTTTTCAGGAGATGCATTAGCAGCAAGAGCATTTCCATTTTTATATTTCTACAGATTTTATGTTGGATGTGTGCTAAGGTATGTTCACTAATGAACATTTAGTAATTCCATTCAATATCGCTATATCATACAAATAAACACTAGTGTCTTTTGAAATTCAATCTTGATAAAATAAACATGCATGATAAGAAAGGACAACGTATAGTTGTGCTCCTATTTTGAAGATAGTAATATAATAGTTTACTACTTTTTTGACCTACCTTGTAGATTTAAAAACTGAATTTACAGAGATTGTGAAATTTCATTTGCAATTAACATTTTCATTTTATTTTAGTGGTGTGTTTGGCGTTTTTCTCCAAATGAGTGCAATACAGCTTGCAGAAAAGAAACTTTCCCATCTGTCATTTAACCAGTTCATTGGTGCTTGCAAAGTAAGTTTATCTATATCTGTCGATAAATAATGTTGCAAAAATCATGTCACATATATATTAACGTGTTTATAATCTCAGGATTTCTTTTTTGTTTAGATATTAACAACAACAATCTCATTTGCCTTCTTCGATATGACCTTCACGTCCAGCCATATTGCCTGGTAAGTAGTACGTAATTATACACATGTCATTTTAGTATTCCCCACCTATGTATGCAGTATCCATACATGCAGTTTATTAAAGAATTGCAATTGGCAATTCTGCAAAATTAAGGAAAACTACACCCAACAATAAAAACAAAAATATACACCTTAGCAATTCTGAAAAGAAGTATGGGTTAGAAAATAGGTCTGTGAAGTTCCCAAAATATTGCTGAGATTTCAGATTTGATAATTTTTATTGCAGGATATCAATTAGTTTGATTTTGGAAGTAATCCCCAATGGTCTAGTTGAGAACACTAATGAAGAGAATGAACAAAGTGAAACATCACCTTGATGGCAGCTTCAAAAGAACATTCGGAAAATGAACTCCCCAAATTTGCATTTACATTACCATGAAGCAAAATATGGACTCGGGGTTCTCACTAAGCTTTTAGACTCCAGCAAAGATAACCTTAAGTTTTATGTTGAAAGGTATACTAATAGGATATCTCTGATTGCACATGGAGGAGGAGACACCGCGAAAATCCGGTGAGAACGCTGAGACTGCATCAACACTTTAGCAGATTCTTCACTCATGTGCAGTAAATGATATAATAGACTTGAATGTGTGTTCTCAATTGACAGATAACACATGGTCACATGATTGACATTCATCTGAAAACAGACTATGATATATTTCTGTACATGTACAGTATACATGTTCATTTATTCAAGGTCAATGCCAAATACAATACCACGTGGAATTGTTATCTTATCTAGAAGCTTGTTCTTGTCTTCTTAAACCATAGCCAAACTTTTAAAAACACAATTCACACCCTGTTGAGCTATCTTGATAGATAATAAGTAGCATTGATAGTTTATGTTGTGATTGTTTGATCATTTGGTTGATCAGATTGAAACACACCTTCAACTAGTACTTCACAAAATATCTTACTCCATGATCATGATCAGTGTTCTTTTATGTGCTACTATTTTGGCAACATCCTTTGCCATACCTTTCAAGGATGGATCATTCGTCCACCCTAAAGATATTCAGAAGGTTCCAATAGGACCGACGTCTGATGAATATGTGCGGGACCTTATGGTAAATATAGGAAAGAATGCAGAAGTTTTTGCTGATGTAGCACACCATGCAACCTCCCAAGAAACTATTGATAGTCTTTTTGATGCGACTGAAACGATCAAAGGAGGAATGATAGATGAGCCACCTGCACTCCAAATACAATGTTTAGTTTGTGAGGTAAGACTCGGAAATTCTAGCACAAAGCAACTGGTGTAATATTTGTATCTATAAACGAATATAAGCTTTGCAAATGATGTGTTGAAGAATATTGACAAACGAGAAAATAAACATGATACTAATTATAAATAAATACCTTGTTAAAGTTGCAAGGACAAAGGCGTATTGATTTGCAATAAAAGTTCATATTTTATATGATCACTAAAGGGGTACTGACTGTATTATTTGTTCAAAATGATACAATAGGCTGATGGGCGTGGTTGTACATTTCCAAACCAAGTTCAGTTTTGTAAATCAACTTAGCTTTTCAAATAAATTCTCTCTTTGAGTGACTTAGTCATTTAGAGGTTTGCTTAACAGTGCATACTGATCTTTTGGCCTGAAGTGTGCTACCTGAGTCCTTACCAAATCATTCATATCATTCTCAAAATATGCTCAAAGGAAGAGTTGATGACATAGAAAAGGAAAATTACATTGAATTTTTGGATTTGTCGAGTGAGGTTGATTGCCATGCACATAGTTTACAACTCTAAATTAGATATTTCCCAAACCACGAGTATATATCTTTCAGCAACTTATTGAGATCCTGCAAAGAGGCTTAACTGAAGCAGGAAATGACCCTGATATTGCATGGGAAGCATTGAGACCAATAGCAGAAGAGCTCTGTAACAATGTTCTTGGAGTCGCAGGCCTAAATGCTGAAGCCATGTGTCCAGGAATTATGGGCCACTATGTTCCTCATGTATGTTATTCATTCTAAAGAACTTATCATAAACACATCTAAAGATTGGGAGTATGACCATTTTTCTCTCTCAAAGGGCATTCTCAAAGATTTGCCTGGACGATAAGGTGTCTGAACTCCGTTTCAATTTCAAGTGGGTTTTGAATGATTTTTGTAAAACTTGGCCATTTATCACATATTCATAAAATAGATAAATGTGTTGCATACAGATCGATTAATAGAGATAAAAGAAACCTCTCCATGACTTACATTCTAACTAATAATCTAAAAGCTTCTCTAGACATTTGATGAGAAATATGCAAGAAAATGAATCTTAAGATACAGTGGTTCAGACGAAAATACATTTCAACATTTTCAAAGGTCTCACTGAAAACAATGGTCATCTCTCTAATGGTATTGAAAAAATATTGGGTTTTAGGATTTAAAGTGGACTATTTGATAATATTTGTATTTGTTGTTAGGAGAGACAAGTGTATGCATGTCATACTCACAAGTTGCTACTTTCAGCTTCTCTACATACTCCACAATAAAACAATGTCACCATCTTATGCATGCACAGAACTGAATTTCTGCGATGTTGAAGATATCAGTGCAGATGGCCAAGCGTTACCGATTTACATTAAAGACAATGAGACACCTATGGAAAGGTTTGATGATAGAAAGAAGCGACAAGCACCAGGCTCAACATTCCGCATAGCCTTCCTAACTGATGTTCATGTTGATTCCAGATATACTGTTGTGAGTGTGTGCCATTTTCGTTTCCTTAGTTTTGTCACCATTATTAAATATTTATATACTTTTTTATAATAGTTTTTGTACATGTTGTAACCTTTAATTAAAAGTTCATTGGATCAATCTTTTATAATACCATGTCTTGGATCATGTCTAATTCCAAGATTAATTTTGTTGTTTAATTTAGGGTGCCCCAACCGATTGTGGAATGATCATATGTTGCAGAGTTGGAGCTGACTATACAGGAGAGGTAATCTTTCGTTCTGCTTGAGTATTTAGTGACTTTGACTTGAGTTGAGTTTGCAATTATAGGCCTTGTACATTCCTAGAAAAGATTGGCCTTTTACAAGTAAATTGATACCTTGCCCGATATATCATTAGATAAGCTATAGTTGAATGGCATTATCATGAGTTGAAAGACTTTTCTGTTTATCATATATAGTGCTATATAAAAAGCAATATTTGTATTTAGTTTGTACATACACATACGTTAATATTTCCATATTCAGGGAAGCGCTGGACGTTTTGGAAGTTATTCTTGTAACACGCCTATAAGGACTATGGATTTGTTCATGCAAGGAATTGCAAACCTTGCTGAAAAGCCAGACATTGTCCTATATGGAGGTTAGCGTTAATATAATTAACAGTTACATCAATATATTCAAATAAAATCAAGTATCATAACATATCACAATTTGAAATATTTGCAGTTCTCATTTAATCTTATGATTATAATACAGGTGATGCCCCACCACATGCACTATGGGAGGAAACATTTGATGGCCAAATGCAAGCCTCTCAGGCTACAGTTGAGGCATTTAGCCGCAATATGCCAGGAATGAGAGTTTTTCCTACAATAGGCAACCATGGTGTGTATTTGAATAAGTGAATGTCATTATCGTTTGTTTTATCCTTGGGCTTTCAAGAACTTGAAAGCTGTCTTAAAACCGTATGTACAAGTTCCCTGTATGGATTGGCTGGTATGATTAGGGTTTCATTGGTGTTCTTTAAATGCTCCTTAATCTCTGCGTCTATTCACATGACTATTCTCATTTACTGAAGTTCTCACTCTCACAAAAGTTCCTTCTTCAAACTACATTTACAATTAATTCTTCCTCAGCGTTCAGAGAATGGAAGGCAAATGTGTATGTTCCAGGTTTTCCTTATATTTTAGAGACATACCCTGGTAATCTGTACTACCTTCCTCGACAGGAAATTCAGGACATGAATAGAATGTTTACGGAATGGTGGCGACCCTTGGCAAATTTCAGCGATGAAAATGTTAGAACCTGGCAGGCAAATGGATATTACACCACCCTTATACGGCCTGGTCTAAGAATTCTGACGTTTAATTCAAACTATGGGTGAGAAATTCCGTAAGAAGTCACTCGAGGTTTAATCACATATGTAGCGATGAATGCATTATTAAAGCCTCACTATGCGAATCTTCAACATTTTTTGGCAAAATAAAACCTTACTTTTGAACTTCATAGTATTTCCAAAGGATTGACAAGTACTTTATCTTTCATTAGACACCAAAAACAGGTAAAACGGGCCACATCAAAGCCTACAATAACTTATTAAAAATATTTTTGTTCTATCAAGTTTTTATATATTATATTTTTACTAATGTCAAAGATGGCAAAGTTGTTTGTAGTTCATGATTCATTCATTTTTATAGAAGTGTTGCCATCTTTTAAATCAAGAGTTATTTAAAAACATGTACTCTGTCAAAAATGTGCATGCACTACTAAAGAACTTCAAATGTTGTTTTCTACGTGAGTTACTTTTTTCTCGGTTCAATTTAATATTAATGCCAATCAAACTTTGTATTATATTTGATTGAGAGTCCAAATAACATGTTTCAGTGTGATTGTTTTATCTTTTTCCTTTTAAATTAAGCATAGTGGGCCTTTAAGAGATTGTCAAAAAGACGTGACAATCTATTACACCAGCAGCTACATATATGTACCACATAATGCAAAGCGATTCCAAAAATAATTTAAGCACGACAAGATCCTTTCATACACATTTTGATCACTAAAGTAAGCCAAGGGATATATTCAGATTTTGTTCTATAAATTTCACATCAAAAATATATTTCTAGCATTGTCTCAAGTGACAATTTCCATTAATTTTAGATACACTATGAATTTCTATAACTTGTTGAATGTGGATACGCTTGAGTTAGTACAGTTGAAAACGTTTATGAATGACACACTGCAAACAGCAAGAAATAACAACGAGAAAGTAAGTAATCAACTAAATCATCAATCTTCTACTTTGTAATGTATAGTCAAAGTGAACGTGTACTATTGTAGTTTTATTGAACTATGGATGTACAAATACAAGTCCTCGTGAAATGAAGTAACTGCAATGGTTTTTATTGATCTATAAAACCACTTAAATGTGTAATTAATACAAATTGACAAACAAGATTAAATTATCATGTTTTTATTTGTAAACTAGTACAATACAAAGATAAAGTACAGTCGGCATACTACGTCCTTGTCCTCGAGTATCGATGTTTTTTTTTACATTTTTGAAATAATTTCCAAAAGACTCGAGCCGGTGTCATTCTCAGGTATTACTTTACTCCATTTCTATCTGTCTCACCCTTTGGGTGGCACTGACCCATTTCTGTCCAGTTAAAACCAACATATATGCTCTTATGTTATGTGTTTTTTCAGAAAGTAATAAATATCTGAATATTACAATATTTAGAAGGATTTAAACTGAAAAACTGAAATAGTACCATTTTCCTTTCATAACAACATTCGAATTGTTACTATGAAGTTTTTTTTATAAATTTAAATGATTGTAGAAGTCCATTTTTTGCTAGAGTTAAACATAATCTTTCAGTTCAAAAATACTTTACAGGCATAATGCACACGATAAGTTATAGTTTCATTTATCCAGAATATATCTCATGTTATTTGTATTGTACTTGCAGGTTATAATGCTCGGTCATCACCCTACAGGAAGTGCTCAGAACCATTGGGGGAGGTTCTATACAGAACTTGTCCTCCAGTTTGGTGATGTTATTGCTCTTCAGCAATGTGGCCACACCCATAGAGATCACTTCACAATGGTCAGTTGTATTTCGTGTATTACTATTATGGTCAAATGTATTTAGTTCTGCATTTGTAGGAAGATAAAACTATTGCAGTTTGAGCAGCCAAAAACTTATGAATCAGGATGGAATATGATTCGAATCCGTATTCGAAAACAAGTTTGATTTTATGAAGCCTTGAAATAAGGAAAAGGCAATCTTTGAAGATAAACATGTGTATGATAAATGAGGTTAATGGCATTCCCTACACAGTGGTTATTTACTAAAGTAATAATAAAGTAATAAATTAAGCCAGTACTCTTATGATGAAATGTATCAGGGATATTTTATCTGTTAATAATCCATTATCTTTTTATTTGATTGACCATATTAAAAGGTGATTTCATGGTTCGCCAATCTGTATATGTTTTATGTTTAGTTTGTTGACCAAACAGGACAGAGCCATGGTCAAATGTTTGTATCCCCCAGTGTGACAACATTTGGTGCCATCAACCCCTCGGCGAGAGTGTTTACCCTGGATTCCGAAAACAAACTTGTTGATTATGATCAGTACTTTTTAGATATTACAAGTGAGTTTCAATGTTATTTGAATGGTTCAATTATTAAACGAATAGAGAAAGTATTTGAGCCCTAAACCATGAAAACCACTCAAGTTCACAAACAACTTCCTAAGCAATCAACATTAATATAAAATCCCAACTACATTAAAGATAAGAGTAAAGTGTTAAATAAAATAAAAATGTTTATCTAAAAAAAGGCTTATCTAAAATGTTTATTATATTTACTTCCCTTTGAAGTGTTGAATTGGAAAGATTAAGTACACAAAGGAAGGGGGAGGGGTACACAGTCTCTAGGCAAGACTTGTGGAAACATGATTTTCTTATCGTGGAAGCAATATAGAACACTGTTCGATTCATTGTACGCTATATACTCATCAAGATTCCATATATAATTGAGAGAGTTATTTTAAAATTAGAGCGTTGTAATATTTTGGGGTCACCCTGTACAATCACTCATCTAATAATAGTTTTGTATAATATTGTAGCTGCAGACGTCAAACCAAACATTCAGTTAGCATATTCAGCAAAACAGGAATACGGTCTCCGTGACATGTCACCCTCATCTTGGCAAGAACTCACCAGAAGGTAAATATATGGTCCTTCCTGAGAAATAAAACTGGACGATTTTGTAACCACGTGATCGTGTATTTGTACTTGTATCTTTTCACTTTTGGGTATATAAATATACCATACATATGGAAACTTAAAAATCTAACTCGCGCTTTTTCAAATTGCAGGTTTGAGAGCGATCAGACGTTGTTCCAACGTTACTATTGGCACAGAGGCACTCGTGTGAGCAACTCGGAATGTTCAGGTGCCTGTAGAGATACTGAATTGTGCAACCTCAGAAACAGCGTGTTCAGTGAACGACAACGATGTATTGACGCTATTCCATAAGCGGATTCACATATACAGATTTACAATATGGCGTTTCAATCAACAAGACAAACTATTCGGAATTTGAGATTGACTCTATTTAGTCATAGTCATATACATTATTCTTCATTTATACGTATAACATTAATAAATATTGTGAAATTCTCTTAAGTACTAATTTTTGGACTTGTAGTTTCCTCCTGGGATGACAATGGCACAGCGTAGATCGTAGTTGACAAACTGATCAATCTGAAATAATTGAATAGCTAGGTATAATATTTGAGTAAATTAATAAAATAACTAGATTGAAAGTATTTAAATTAATATCATTTATGAAAACAATAATCAGGATTAACAATTTTTTCATAACAGTTTATCCCAGCATTCTTTGTACTACTCCTTAATCACGTGATGTCTTAGAAATCTCCCGAGATCGGGATTGATAATCAGATCTACAATAATCTGCATCATGTTAAAAGTGTTTTTATTTCAAAATGATCATGATCAATCTGGGAAAATATAGTGTACAGACTTACCCAAAACCACTCATTAAATTGCAGGACTCCATCTTGAGCTATAACATACGAAAAAGCGATTAATTTACATTGGATGTCTTCCATAGATACTGGTATATTTTGATTTGTGATACCTATCAAACAGTTATTTGTTTTTCAAATTTTTCACTGAATAATAGTGATGGGCTAGGTTTAGGTTCTACTCACGATCTTTATCAATTCTGCCATAGAGCCCATTGTTGACATCATTTGCCTGATCCCACACACCGTCTTCGTTCCAATCCATTTTCCTGAAAATGAAGGCTGCGTCTGCAGCATCACCTCCCTGGAAGTTGGTCCAAAACGTTGTAAACTCTTGAAGATCTACCCGAGTGTCGTCTGAAAATGATAATTAGTAATAAACTAATGACGATGTTAATTACATATGTATTCGACTGAAAGAAAAATAAATTATTTCATACTTTCAAACGACATTATACACATGGTCGCCAAAAAGGTTTGTATTTGAAAGAACCGATAGCTGTAATTTGCATATCATGACTAGAAGATTTTTAATTCATAATTTATAACGAATCAATTTGACTTGACATCCTAGTAAACATGACATGCTTTGCAAACAACGTTATAAATGGGGTCAACTTACTGTTGGTGTCTAAGTCATTAAAGAATGAATTGAACTCATCTCTGGATAGCGAATCAAATCCGTCGGAATCATACTGTATCAGAATCATCATTAACCGCACTGCACGAAACACCTAGAAATGAAAATCACACAAATAATGTTTACACGATATCCTTAAAAAAGTCAGTATTTCGTTTCGAGACTGAGGGATTAACAGAACTATGGTTATAGTCCTCCAGATAACTGCAAAGTTCTGATCAAATCTGATCAGCTCTGGAAAACTCGTTAGTGTTTAAGTTGACAGATTATTTAGATAAGATGTAAGTTATGGGTTTGTCTTCTTGGTTTTAGTCTAGAGTGAATTCACTGTCCTCCACTCATAGACAGATTGCAGTCTGATTCAATGTATTTTTAAAGGCAAATATCTTGTGTTCTTTGAAGTATTCAAGACTAAATAAGATGTTACTAGTATCCAATACATGTACTATACTACCCAGAGACAGATATAATATTTACTCCAGTTTCAAGTTAAATATTCTAAAATGGAATATGGAGTACCAAATTTCATTTGGTATAATTATATTTTTTGATAGAGACAATGGCCATTGTTAAAACCAAATAAACATGAGATTATTAATTTATTAGGGTAGTTAATACTTCATGCCTAGTTCACACTTCAAAACTAAGTTGAATTCAGATGTCATCTTGAAAATAGAATGAGCCTAAATGGATTACTGTCTCAAAGGGTATCTAAGTCTAGATATGTGTTATAAGTAATTCACGACTTTGAAAATGTTTTGAATACTTTTGCGCATGGGACTTCATGTTTATCCCTAAAAAATGGTTGTGATTTTATTTCATAATGATACAAGATACTTTTATTTTTTAAAGACCAATTAAAGACCAATGACCAATTTCTGCATCTTAAACTTTCATAAAATAAATTCCACAATGATCAAATTATGATACCTTTATTACTTAATGTAAGATGAGGTAATTTGAGTGTGGGGGAGGGTGGGGAAGTATTTTTGCATGAATTTAAAAAATGAACCACCCCCTCCCAGTCACAAAATCCTGGCTATTGTAAGCCAAATAACATGATGAAGGCAAATGAATATCAGTCAGTCAAGCTAGTTATCTATCTAGATCACAATGTGATATTATGCAGATAAAACTTTATTTTATTTTATTGCCTAATATATAGGAATTTGCAGGATATGAAGTTTAAGAATGGAAATGTCTACAGGGGCGTGGCCAGCTTTCAGTCAGTGCAGGGAGGGGGGGGGGGTGCGATCGCCAAAAAATTCTATTTTCAGTCAGGGGATGCGATTGTGGCATAAAAAGCCAATAATTAAGATTTACTGTATCTTGAATTTTTCAAAAATTTATGCAACTTCCTTCATAATAAATTGAGCTAGAAGCTTCAAATAAAAAGCATTCCAAAGCTCTTTTCTTCTCATGGTTATATTTTATTGGTTATGGGAGGGGGGGGGGGTGCGATCGCCAATTGCACCCCCCCCCCATGGCTATGCCTATGGTCTAATTGAAATGTAAAAACTCTGCATTGAACTACACGTATTAAAAGTTGCTTTCACATTCAAATAGCTGATACAGATATTCTATCTACTAGTATACTTATATGAACAGAGATATAGAATTTCAAACTGAAACATTAAGATAATCTGTTCTGTCATTGACACAATATTTATGGCCAGCTAAATTTCTGAGAATTTAATGTGTTTCAGTCGTTTACTCCTGGACTAGTTACGTCTTTCTATTCAAATACAGATTAGGCAGAGAACGCAGTATATAATCTAGAAATATATCTAGAGCAATTCACTGACTAGTTATATCAAAATAAACCAGATCGACCCATTTATGATTAAACTTATCTAGTAGTTCCTATATTGTGAATAAGATGAAATCGTTCGATGATTTAGAACAATGTTAAAACATATATTCATGTTGCCATCCCTCTCACAAAATCAATTTAATATGATTTCACTCTCGGAAATTTATTCCAAACATGTTCTATTTAATTCCGTGTGATTTATATAGACGTCGATAAAACACTACATAGCATTTTTTGTATTGCGTTGAAGTTAATTGATGATAATATATATTTATCCTATGCCAAGTAGAGTTTTAGGGAGATAAGTTGGTAAGATATATCCCGTATCCTGATTTTGAGGTTTCCATATCCAGAACCTCCATATCTCCCGCCATATCTCCCACTTCGGTACATATCTTCCCGCTTCGGTGCATATCTTCCCGCTTTCCGGTAAGTAGTGCAAATGTAATAAAATGACTTTGCATATGAATGATTTGTTTATTTTTATACCTTGTACTATTGAAATGGCCATATGCCCCTGAAAACTATACTTGGTATAGGATAAAGCAGTTATGTACGGTCGGTTTGGATATTGGGTTCATCCCTCGTGGGACATGCACATCTACCTTTGGTACCTACGGTTCCTCAGGTAGATATGCATATCTCTCTCTGGATAAACCCCATATCCAAAACCTCCCAGTACATAACCCTCATTTATAATAGACAGAGTGACATAAAAAATGCCACCCATTAATTTCAGAATAAATCTCTCACAACTTGGAAGTTGAGATTTATCTCATTTTCCGCGGAGGCATGCTCTGACACTAAAGCATTTATAATTGTAATTAAGGAAACATGTCTCTAAAATTTAGTGAGCCATTTCATCAAACTGGACATAATTATTTAATAAAAATGTGCAGATTTGACGTATTAGTGATAATATATTCATGAGACAATTTAAATTTTGGATTAATTATTTTTAAAGTGGTCTATTATACCTATGTAGGTGTCACGGCCACAACAATGTACACATGTTATTATGTTTTAATGAAATACCGTAAATAGATATAAAAAAAGCTATTGAAAGCAATCCAGAAATGACCCAAATAATGGCAAAGATAGAAATCCCAATTTTAGAAAATTGTATTTTTGAACATTTTTTGTAAGTAGCCTAGTAGCGAATAAAGTTTTCAATGGTTGGAAAATCATGTTGGCCTTTGGGAGCAATCTAGGCTCCATTTATCAGCAAGTTAAGACGCAGTACTGCAGTAGGACAGATAATACGAATAGTTCCTTACTCGTCTTGCTCCCCATTTAAACTCAAAACCAACGACATCGTCTCCCTCTGAAAAAATAATAGTAATAGTTCAGAGTAGTCAAGTAGCTAAAGGGGCGTTGTCAGGATGACAAACTATAGTCGAAGCCATTGAAAATTATCGAAGCAAAACTTTTAATGAAGAATAACTTTGGAGTTGCAAAATTTCCACAATTTTAGTTGAAAAAACGTCTGAAGAAATATATTTATGTAAACGTTGGTGAGTCACCTGGTCGAATGCCTCATGTCTGGGAATACATTTTATCTGGGCCCACCCCACCCCCCTGGATCCGCCGGTGGATGTACGGAACTTGATAGTTGATAAAAAACTTTGAAAGCCATTTCTTTCAAATTCAAAGAGACATTTTAATTGCTACATGTACCTGGTTATTCCAAAAAGGTATTTTAGTTTGGATTTTCTATTCCTTTGCGGTTTACATTTTGTTTGTTGGTTATCAACACATACCGTCTTGGTTTACGTCCTCCAACCAAAGCGTGACGTCATCACCGTCAATCTGGTTGTTCCCATCCAAATCTTGCAACCTAGTAAAACACAAAGGCTAAATCATGTATTGTTACTGATATTATTATTGTTCGAAAAAGTTAAAACTCGAAAATGATGTAAGACTCAAATTAATTTTCGTCCAAACTTAAAACACTAGATAGAACCTACTTCACAAAAAACTTACTTAAAATAGCTAGGGCCTTCTGCCTTGGAGACATTGAAATCATCTGGCCAGTTAAGGGTATGGTTTACAAATTCCTCTACCGTTACAACTCCATCTCCTATAGTTAAAGCAACAAAGACGTAACTAGAACTGTACAACCAATCAGATGTTGAACTAAATGTTAACAAGTTATTCAACGAACATGACAAATTTAAAGTAACAATTAACGGAATTTTCCTTGCCAGACCACTTCTCTCCTGATATGGTACCTTCAACCCGATATATCAATATACGTTCTATTTAAGGATAACGACAGAAATGTTTAAAAATATACTGTTAGTTTCAAGCTATATTTTAAGATTTATGACAGAAAGTGATATCATTGACTCTTCTTTTAAATTTGCATAAAGCTAGTTAATGATGCACTATTACTTGTAGGAAGAGCAAAGTCAGCTCTTTTTTCAACTTTGTCTATGATTTAAATCCTTCAGCTAATTTCTTTAATTCTAAGTCAAGCCCTGAAAATGTTTCTGCACAGAAAGTAACCTGTCTAGAAGTTATCGTGTGCTACTTTCCTATACTGTTATGGACCTTTTTTATAAAAGTTAAAAGTCTATGACATCACTTCCTGAAATGAGCAATGCATTTTGAAAATGATCAATATTGACCATTTTAAAACATTTCCCATGTATTGCATAAAATGTAAAGTATATACATGTATATGGTTATCGCTGCCATACCCAGGAGGGAAATGGTCTGGTTAGGAATATTCCTTTAAACTTACTGTCTCCGTCATATCTGAAATAGAAACTCTCCAGCTCATGTGGCTCTGCTATATTGTCAGCGTTGAGATCTACGATATAGAACCATGTTTCTGCAAGGTCCGGGTCTGGTTGATTTTGTCTATAATAGAGAATATGAGATCTTGTTTGCTTTTCATACAAGCTGTGGCAGAATTCACATCATATATATGTGTTCATATTATTGTGTGACAAGCTCCCAAAAGAGTGCTTGTTGTTTAATATTTCTACAATTTGTTAAAAAAACCGAGAAGCTAGCTAGTATACTCTTTTATTATTTTCTTTTGTAAGGAGGCCTCTTTTATTAATTATGTCTATTTATTTGATTAGATTGACTTACCCAAAACAACCAACAAAAACTGCAAGTATTATTATGGCCAACATTTGTTCAATATATTGTTCGTTCCGGTGAGACTGAGAATATACATTACACAAAGGAGTGCATGACATTTTATACTTAAAGTTGACCATGGCCACAGTACCTCTTGACGTCAAAAATATGCAAGGTGTCCATTTTAATCATTTGAGATAAGATTGGTATATATTTTACTCATGAGTAGAAATACTGGAATATATATAGATTATACAGCAAAATCGTCATTCCTTTATCAAAATTACTTCATTTACTAAAATCTGAAGGTCAAATGACGTAAATATTGAAATGTGAGAAAAACGCCAAGCATCTTTTAATTCAAAACGTAAGTAACTGTATAGACACGTTTGCAGCTGTATCCGGTCACACCAACGTTTTTTATCATTCACAGTCCCTTGTTCACTACAGTAACACTTAACAGGACTGCCATGTCAATAAAATGGTAAAAAGCTTACCATGTATCAAAAATGAACAACTTTTGGGTTCGCGGATAAACATTCATACTCGTTTCCCAGTTTGATTTTCAACACATCATACCTTGGAAATCCAAGATGGATAAACATTATGACGGGGTGATTACTGTTGTCAAAATTCAATTTTCGGCAACAAGGTATGAGAAAACAACATACAATATATTCTTCATTGTTATAGACAATCCCCATTCTAATGTGTTGCATGAATTTCAAGCTTTGTATTCCTCAACTGTAAATAATTTTATACCGAACACTCTCTACGTAATAGCGAATCACTCACCGTTGAATAATAAAAACATAACATTTCCTCAAATCGTTGCTTATCTGAGTCACCCTGTACATGTAAATGTAGCTTAAGGAAAGATAAGCCAGAATTTGATGAATATTAAAATAGGTTATTGATAACCAGGGAGGTATATGCTTTATTCTAGGTACAATTGATGATATTGGATTGGCCAATAGTGTACAATAATTTAGTGTCATGTCCATATATAATCCATATGCATCCCCTCTTAAAATACTCCAGGTTACGTAGCATAGGAGAAATACAGGGTGTCTCTATCTATATTTAATTAGTCTCTTTACACCTGACGTAGATTTTGTATTGTACGTATGTAATTATAAAGAGATTTTTATGGACACCCTGCATGTTTGTTTACTGTGTTAATAATAACAACTTTAACATCCAAGAAGGATGATAAAATGACTTCTTTAGTCCATGGGCTCTAGTCATGGATGACATTTGATCGAGGTGTCAGGGTTTAAGATTCTAATTTAAAAATATTTACCGCCATACGGACAATCAGACACGCTGTCTACAGTGCCTAAATATTTGTAATAAATAACTGAATATTAACATTCCTTATCACATCTTAAAAGATAACGCAGTCTTATCTTAAAATAAGTCATTTTAATCAATTGAATGTAAATCATAAAACACGATAATTTTGAATAAAAAGGACCCAGGAATCATTGTTTTCAAAAGCATTTTTCCCTAGCTGTACTATTTGTAATTTACCGAACAAAATGTGGACTATTGTGATACTTGCAATTGTTGTTGGCTGTAACGGGTAAGCAATGACTTTGACCCAAGATGAAATGTTTTAGCGACTAATGGGAAAATAAGAATATATATTATATCAGTTTAACTGTAGAAATTAGAAAATAATCTATAATTTGTATTCATTTTTCGGGTTAAAGGAACAATTACAGAACGCATGACCCACATTGGATGATGTGAATTATTGCATCCCATTAACATCAAATATGAATAACGATGATTTTTTCCTAACGGTCTTCGATGTATTCATCTACCATGGTATGAGCTCCACTGTTCTCTAATTTTTATATTTCATAAACACAAAAACATTTAAACGACATAAGATACACCAAGATATAAGTTTTTAAAAATGTTTAGTATACGCTTTTCTACGACATAATTTATAGACAAACCCAACCAGACCCGGACCTTGCGGAAACATGGTTCTTTTTCGTAGATCTCAACGCTGACAATATAGCAGAGCCACACGAGCTGGAGAGTTTCTACTTCAGATACGACGCAAATAGTAGGTTTAAATTGATATTTTGTTATTGTCTTTTATGTAGTTTTTTTAGTTGAGGAAATGGTTGTTGAGGAAAATTCTAATGTACAATTTAAAAAGCTTACAAATGTTCTGCTTTACAATCCCTTTCCATTTTCTGAAGAAAAAAGAAAACTGAAAATTGTGGAGATTGTTTCTAAGATAAAAATTGTCTAATGGGACGCCACCCTTTCTATTGATGGAATACAAGCTTGTTAAAGTAAGAACGATTGGAAAGAAGGATCTGTTGGACATTTTAGATAAGATACTGAATGAAATGTTGTGAAAAATTGTGACAATTTTTACGGCTGGCACCTGGCCATATATACAATCCAGGCGCATCAATCTGACAATTTTTCAATCATTTAAATACCCAAATTGTTATTAGGTTGTAAAATGTCTTACAGACAAACTTCTTTTATACAAATATATTCATTTGCTCTTAAGGAGATGGCTTTATTACGGTCGACGAGTTTGTAAACCATACCCTAAATTGGCCTGATGATTTCAATGTCTCCAAGGCAGAAGGTCCTGCCTATTTTAAGTAAGAGTTCCATTTTTACATAAGAATATGTACATATTACGATTGATAAAATAAACCATAATACATTTTATGAAGCTGTAGAATTCTGGGTATTTGTGTTCTCTGATAGGCAAAAGTAAGAGTAACAAAACTAAGTAGGTTTGTTGTTGGCTAATGGCTATATAACATGATGACGTAATTTTATTATAAATTACATGATGTTTCTAACAATTTATATACTTAAATAATTAGAGGTTATGTCACTATCGTGGCATATATGCCCGAGGTGTCAGTGATATATGGCCCGACCTTGGGAGGGACATTGATCTCTGAGAACCGAGGGCATATGTGCCACGATAGTGACATAAACGATTTATAACATACCTATGATGATGTAGACTGGTCAGAGAGTACCGTTTTCTTATAGAATTGACAAACAAATGGTTTGAAAATGATTGAAATGAGTTTAGAAAAATTGCTCGCGCAGTTTTATCTTCGATTGATTGGTTATGATGTCAGCGCCTTGACCAATCAGAAAGTTAGCGGGCGCGGGCTTTTCAAAACTTATATTGACCCGCTGTCTTGTGTACACTTTGCACTATACATCATCATAAGTACGTTATAAAAAGCATTATCAGATTTTTGCCTGAAAAATATGTTTTTATATTACACAAGATTGCAAGACATGGATGGAAACAACCAGATTGACCCTGATGACGTAGTACTCTGGCTAGAAGACGTGAACCAAGATGGTAACTTTTTAATAAAACCTTGTTTTATGAGTCCCATCCTACATATTATCTACAAAAAATAATTGAATTAACTAGGCAATCTGGATTGTTTTTCGGTTTAGTTTTTTTATTTTCCAAAATCAAAAATGTTTTATGTTTCAGATGGGGATGATGTCATTGGTTTCGAATTCAAATGGGGAGCAAGAAGAGTAAGCAGTTTTACACAAAATACGACCGCTTCTGAAAAAAATTATGTCTCAATATTTTTTCAACATTGACTGAATTTGATTTTTGTCCAGTCGCAGTACTGCGCTTCATTATTTGATGTGTGATTTTTTAGATATTCCGTGCAGTGCGATTAACGATGATTCTTATCCAGTATGATACCGATGGAATGGATTCACTAAGCACAGCTGAATTTGATGCATTCTTCAATGACTTAGACACAAACAGTAAAACGCCTTTGCTTCATCACACTGTAGAAACATAACTGTTGTGAAAATTCTCTCAACATAAAACACACAGACATTTAAAAACGTACATTAAAACCTGTCTTAGTGAAAAAATCTCTAGTGAACACCTGTCTCTATATAGTGGACATTCTTCTCCGACACGTACTCTATTGACTTCTGTTTAAATCATACAAATACATGTACCAACACTGAACATTTTTTTCTCGGCAAAAATGTTCAATATACACAGATTTAAATGTAGTTCCTACTAGGAATTACTAATTTTTACAGAAATTGTTAATTTATGTACTCATATAGATGTACATTAAGATGGTTCTATTTAGATGACACACAAGTAGACCTGTCCGAGTTTACCACATTTTGGACCAACTGGCAGGGAGGAGATGCCGATGATGCAGCGCTCATTCACAGGAAAATGGATTGGAACGAAGATGGTGTGTGGGATCAAGCAAATGATGTCACCAATGGCCTTTATGGAAGAATTGATAAAGATCGTAAGAAATCATTTTAAAATGTCGGGGTGCATAGGGTACACAGGCTAATACTCATGCATATATGGATTTAGGGTCGACCTAAATCGTAAAATAAACCCTTCAGAATACTGAAGCCTGAAGTTGATTCACTTTTTGGAAGGCACCGTTATGGGTTTTGATAGTCACTGGAGGCCAAGGTGCCCTTCAAGTACCTCCTAAAATGAAAGCTTTCTGAAGTTGGACCTTATGCCCGGAAAAGCCATATTGGCCTATGTGGAATTCGTGTAAATCGGTAATGACCATATAGTTTTGATAAGAAATAATTTTTTCAGCTGAGGACACCATCCTGCAACTTCACGAGTGGCTTTGGGTAAGTTCATTTACTTTAGTCTACCAGTGAACTGGCATATACGTACATAACCTCGCAATGCTTATTGAATGAAGTTTATGCATATATGTATTGTTTCCACATGCAAAAACTGCAAGTTACAAGAGGAATACTTTTGGTGGTCATTTTGAAATTTTTTGGGGTTTGGTTGACTAAGGTTTAAGTTGACCAAGGGGTGGACTTGGGGTTGGGCTTGGGGGTAAGATGTCCACCTCACCATTTAGCATAAATGTGTAAAGAATCAACATGACAACAAAAATGACACTTGCAAGGACTAGCATTGATTCAATTATTTTTTCTGCGAGTCAAGAATTTTGTAATTTCTACAAATGTATAATCGTTTTTATTTCATAATCAATTCTAGTGTCTAGTTATTGTTGGACACCAAATTCACTAGTTTATTTTGATGTAAATGCTAATTTAATAATCTTATAAATAATTGTTTTTCAGATTGACCATTTTGTAAACTATGATGTGCGTTGTGACGTACCTTTGTCCAACATCATTCCTTAGTTTGGCACTTTTATTGTAACAAATATTTCATCATCAATAAACGATATAAGATTAGATTGAATATAGATTAGTTTTTTCCACTGCTTACATCATGGGGAGTACGAAGTATATAGGGAGAAGTATTTATGTCACTCCCTTGATCAGCAAGTTTTGAATATCTAGTAAAACACGTTATTGTTAGATAGAATAGGCCACAAAATGAGACACCTTGCATGAATGTTAAAACCATTTACAAAAAATATAAACTATAACCATGTTGATTACCAAAAGATGTTTTTAATAAAATATATTCCCTGTGCCGCTTGTAGTGTTTCTAAGATTCATTACTTTTTTACACTACCACTTATCAGAAATATTATATGAAAAAATATTCAGTATGATTATAAATTACTTTATTTTGCTGCCCCGAGTGTGCCGCCCTTGAATCCATATTGTCCACAGTTGAATATTGTTTTTTGCATTAAGAAAGAGTATGTGAAGCTAGTAATAACACAAATATAATGTTGTAAAATAAAGAGTTTCATTCCAAACAATGGACATTTCCAATGCTGCAATTTCAAAAGCAGCTTTGGGCATACTACTTTTGTAGATCAAGCAAAAACAATTAATATTTGCTTTACCGTTACAATTAACTATTTGAAAATAAGTATGCAAATGTCAAGCAAGACATTTCATGCATATACATATGTAGATGCTATTTCGAATTTCATTTATCTTGATGGTGTTTTTATTGGAAGACAACAATGAAACATACTTCGCAACATCTGATGCACATTTTCATGATGAGAACTTATGTGGTCCTTAAAGTGCCCGATAAAGTATAAAATGCGCATGCGTCCAGGTGTTGATAAACTATAAATAGCGAAAACCCAGGGTTTGTCATCACAAGGTAAGCCAGGACGTGTTGAGAGAACAGCTAGTGTTGATATTGAATTTATATGTAGCCAGATAAGTTTCCTTATTGAAATTACATATGGTTATTAGCAATACTTTGTAGGTGCTAAATAATAAAATATTTAGAGTATATATGAGAGAAATTGGTCATTTCGAACCTGTTGAAAAGTTTGTGGCTCTCGGCTACACCGGGGAATTTACTTCCATGAGTACACACATAAATGTGGGGTTCCCCAAGAGGTACGCGACAAGGTGACCTGGCATCAAATGTGCGACTAAATGCTACTATCGAGAAGATAAAATAACGAATACGACAATAAGTTATTGCATGTGACAATTCCGAGCCTTCATCTCACTGAAGTATTTTGAAGTGAAAATAGGATTTTTGTTTTCATACATGGATTCAGATGAACGTAACTTTATTCTGACAACTAATCAAAACTGAACAAAATTGATTGTACGTAACAGACAATTTATTGTTTTACAATGTTTTGATTGGCTAAACGAATGAAACCAACAAATTATGACATGTAAAATGACAATTTTGAAATGTAAAATTTAAAAGTGACAAACACAACCTCCCTATCCACTCTTTGGGAGCCCTAGTAAATTAGTAATATGTACATGCAGCAGTGGTAGTGTACAAAATAATAAAAACAATCAAATGCTGTAGTAAGGGGAAGAGTGAGACAACTTACTGATTGATCTATTTGCTTTACCTATACATAAAGTATAGTATGACATTTCTATAATGCTTTCCATTTACGTTTTGATGATGATATGTTCCTTGTATTCCTTGTAATTAATAGTTAAAAGCCATATCATATCAGCCCCTTAAACATTCTTTTTTATTATAATATTTCACAATTTTGTTAAAAAAATTGTTTACTGATTATTTGGTGAAAGGAATGACTCTGAATTTTAATGCAGAGAAGGTATTTTTCTAATGCTGTAAAAGGAATCATAATCACCAGTACTCTTCATAGAGACTGACATTGACATCAAATGAATGGTCCCTAAAAAGTTTACAAGATTTTACTAGATTTTACTAGATTTACTAGATTTAGATTTACTAGATTTACTAGATTTACAGTCTACCGTAGTGTGCAGCTTATTATCACACTACCCTTTGTATTCTAAAGCCTGTTGTTTGTAATAACACTGTTCACTCAACGTATGTTTTGTGTGTGGGCAGTCAACGATAATCATTGTTTTATCCCGGTTATATGACCTCGGCAGTTATAACAAAACCGTACTAAACGAAAAAACGCAAATAAGAGAAAGCTTTCACACACATATAAAAAATGAACTAGTCTAATCCGCCAGTATAAACTCTGTGCTATACGCAAGGGAAAGATCAATACCCGGTGATTTCAGCGGGAAGTGGCGTTTCGTTCAGTGGATGAGCTGCGCGCGCACGCATAAATGTGATTATCCAATATAATTAGGGGAGGGCTATTTGAAATAGTTTTTGGTCTTAGGCGCGACCCAGGGCTGATGTCTTAAGGACATTTCGTTGAAAATGAGCCATTCGGCTGATAATTGGTGAGAGTTTGCGATCTTATAATGTATAACTGTTACTCAGACACATATTTTGACACGATTCTGTTGGAAATAAGCTTTGAACCGAGAGATATTCACGATTGATATGCACATTTTTGATTGTGCCATTGCTTTTCCATTGCACAATCCATGTATTGATAGAAGAAACATTAATAATGCAGATTGGTTTACCTTCAATACATGGCAGACACTACATATCGGTCTATTAATACCAGTTTGTTCTTTAAATAGTTTTATATTTCCATCCACGGCCTGGAGCCTGGGTGTGTTTGTCTCTTATGTGTATGCTTGTGCATGGACTTCTAATCACTAGCAGAATTTAACATGATGCAAACTCGACATTATAACTCATGCTGTAACATTTTGACTTCGCTGGAAAACAATAGGAATTATTTTTCTTGCCAATCAATCATGAATCACAATCAAAAATGATTTCAGAATGAGCAATCAGGCAATGATCCAAATCAAGTTATAACATTATATGATATTCAGCAAGAAGTCCGGTAGAAATACAGAATATTTTAACATCAAAGCTGAAAGTTAAAAGCTAATCTGTCAATTTTCTGTCTGCAAAAGAGCGTTTACATTTGACACAATAAAAGACTGAGGCTTTGAAATCTAGGATTCCCCAGGAAAATATGACGTCATACTAATTAGCATAAGGATTTCCCTATTGGTTTGGGTCGAGCCTTGTTCGAAAACACAATCCATAAATACATGCTAATTTCTAAGGAGATAGGAAGTGTATAACGTGTTTATCGATTTTGTTTAAATATTTAATCAATTATCAAATTGTTTAAGTGGATAAAGTGGTCACACTTGCTTCAATTCATAGCGAAATCGACGGATAGAAACTGACCGAATTCCCGATATCCTACCCCGTATTACTGTAGGCTATAAGCACAGTGACCTACAGAGGGCGCTATCACAAACAAGTACTGCACGAACCGATAAATTCCCGGGTATTGTAACGCCCTTGCTATACGTAGCCGGGTCAGGCGCACACTTTTCGCAACTTTTCGAGTAGTATATCTCATTTCATGAAGTGCAATACCTGGTCATCTTTCAATGATTTTCGTAAGGTATTACCCGCAGTAATAGAAGTAGAAGATATATAAGAGATACAATGTGCAATCAGAAATAACCCAAATTTTACAAATTGCCTTTTTAAAATAAAATGTTGCGACAATGTTTTACTTTTGATTTCTAAATCACTATTTGCGCAAGAAACACTATTGCACTCTAGTTTATATATTATTCCAAACCAATTCCATCAATTTTGATAAGGTTTTTCTAAACACATACTTTCATATCTCGATGGGTGTGTTAGATGTGGTTGGTGAAGTGGGAAGTTACAGATGACCATTTACGCAAATAAAGTAGGAACATTAATTAAGTATAATTATTACACGTAAAACATAGAAATGCGCCTTCTAGATAAAAGCATATCATAATTGTTACACGTATTTGATAAGTATTTACATTAGATTTTAATCAATCTTTATGTAAATAAATCCCAAGTGGCATTTCAAATAAAAAAACGACAAATACACAGTGATGACAAAATAAACACACTGCGAGATTATTTTATGGACCCCTGAGAATCAGATATAGTTATCTTCAGAGCCAAGATTCTTCCACTTTCATCGTGACACGGATTCTGGTACATGTATGTCTAGTGCAGTTTTATAAAATGATTAATGGAAATAACTTCAAAGGATAAAAGTGCAGTAAAATCATTAAAGATATCATACTAAAATAATTAGATAGTAACAATCGCTAAGAAACTTGCTTAAAATGCCAGGTATAGTAGTTGTGAGTATTTTTCAGATCTACAAACCACAATGAAGACGACAAACGTCCTGCTTGTAACATGCGCATTGTGCTTCATGTTCACATTAACAGAAACAAGGTCTCTTCGTAAAAGAAAGAAGAACAAAGGCTCGAGCGCTTTGAGTCTAGCGGTAAGTTGAAAACTTTTACATGCATATGATGCTCCTAAATCATTAGTAATTAATGATTCAGCAAAATATATTCTTAAAATCATAAGTCAAGGGTGGTTCCCGCTGTCGTTCCCGAATTTTTTAAAAGTATTTCCAAAAATTTTCTTCAAAATCTTCATTTCTCAATTTTCCTCCTATCTCATTTTTTCAAGTTGTGGAAAAAACTTTTTCTGGACGTCGTCCGGTATTCGGCTGCCGGTAACAAATGGCAAATAGTGACATGTTGCATGTTATATTCACAATTAAGTTATTTAAGATTAATCACATAATCATAATCATTATTATCAATACACGTTTCATCAATATATAAACATATACACTGCGCAGTTCATTATGTTTACGTAGCTCATCATGTGATCTAATTAAATTATCATTCAATCTTTTGGCATTATGGTATACAACTCCTTTTTCTTGGTCGGTAATTTAATTGAGTTTTACACCTCGAACAAATCATTTCCCCTTGACCCCTCGGTAAATATTTTCGCTAGGTATATAAAACATGTAGTCAATCCCTCCCATTAAATAACCTCTATCAGTACATGCACTACTCGCATGTTTGATAGTTTAGTATTTGATATGACCTTAGGTAGTCTTTTATAATGTTATTTTCTCATGATTTCTTTCGTTGTTACAAACGAATTTTGTTAAACATTATTTAGATGAGATGGGATTATTATAATACATGATTATGTTAAGGTTTCGGCAAAATGTCACTTTAAATGCTCAGGGTAAAAACAATAAATCATGTCGTTTTAGAAAAAGTATTCATTTTGAAAAAATTGACCGCCATTCTGACCCCCAAGGCATGGTCAAGACATGTATACGAGGATTGTCCCATAAGTAATGCACTATATGCTCTAACTCTATCAATAATTAATTGATATTTATCCATGAAATTTTCAGTAAATGTTCCTCAGAGACATTTTGATTATTCTAATTTTCATGTTGACTGATAAAACTATATTGATGTTTAATCAAGGTGAGTTTGGGTAGGGTGGGGCAGGTTATACAGTCACGTCAAAAGGAATAAAAAATTGAAAATATGAAATAATCTATCAACAGATACCATTTTGTGTAGCTATAAGAAGTATGCTAAAAAATACATTTTAAGATACGAAATTACTATGAGCACATCCGAGATTTAATGGATGTTTATTGCACAGTGTCCCATTTCACATTTTTTCAAAAATATTGCCTTTTGCATTTTATGTACTTTTGATGCCTATCAGGTCAAACACTTTTGGCAATTTCTTCCACTGTGACTTGTGGAGTTTTTGCCTCCCATGTTTGGAGTTGTCTTTCAGGGTCAAGTCATCTCTTTTAAATCTCTTCTGCCACCTCTTAATTGTAGTTCTATCTGGTGTATACTCCTGTTATACTTTCTTCATGGTAGCATAAGTTTGTGTGGCTGTGAGTCCATCTGAAAAATTAGGCCACCAAATGCAAGGCCTCCTGTTATTAGGTGAGAATTGTAGCCATTTTTTGTAATTTCTTGACTGTGGCTGTATTTGATTTTGTGACTATTGAACTGTGGTATTATGACATAACAGTGCTAAATGTCATTATTTGTACTTGTTTGACATCATGCTGAATAAATTTAACAATTTCCCGAATGTTTTGATCATTTAAAAGAACGAAATATTTATAAAATAACACTTTGGATATTTTCATAATTAGAGAAATTGGTACCTGTCCCGTCCACCCCTACCCCCATGTTGCTATAGCAACCACATTAAGACTTAATATTAATGTTTGATTCTGAAACTTCAGGATATAATAGATGAAACTTCAATTGTTATATACACAAAATGTCAGCTGAATTGAAGAATATTAAAGAAAGTTAGAGCATATAGTGCATTACTTCTGGGACAACCCTCGTATATCCAATATTTAACTGCAAAGAGCGTGTTTGAATTCTGAGTTCTGAGAACATTTTGATTAGCAATTAATATGAATACACGGATTCGGAATCACCATATCGTTCTCAGTGTTTCGGTTTTAACATTAATTTCTACAATCCTGATAAACATGTCTACAACTGACATTAACCGGACTATTCAGATCCAGAATTTTAAATATCACTCCAGATTCGATAGTTCTATTATAAACCCCACTGACTCCATCAGTGCTTGTGAACGTAAACTCATCGGTCTTCAAAATATTACATTTGATGATGATCTCACTTGGGGTGACGTTTATAGGAAAAACAGTCGTGTTGGAAAGGTGGGCACTGGAGCCCAGAAAACCATTGCAAAATTGAGGAAAATGTCGCAATTATCATTCCTTTTCGCAACAGAGAGACACACTTGAAACATTTCCTGAATTACATCCATCCATTCTTGCAGAGACAGATGGTTTCTTATAGGATAATTGTTATAGAGCAAAAGGAACCAATCATATTCAACAAGGCATCATTAATGAATATAGGATTTAGAATTACTTCACAACTAGAAAACAGGTATTCTTGTTTCATATTCCACGATGTCGATTTGTTCCCAGAGAGTGATTTGAACATTTACTCTTGTCTCAACGGTGCAGTAATACACTTTGCTGAATTTATAGACAAACACAATTATACATACCCCAGGTTCAGACTAACAGGTGGAGTTATCTCAATTGACAAGCGCGTATTTCAAACCGTCAACGGGTACTCGAATAGATATTGGGGCTGGGGTGGAGAGGACAAAGATTTCTTTCATCGTTTGGAAGAGAATAACATTAAAATCATTCGCTGTGAAAATGATACTCAATGCCGATACACCATGATAAAACACAAACGGGACACAGGGAGTCCTAAGAACAAAGGGTTTACGATAATGAATAAAAATGAACAGGACACAAACACCGGTGGGATTACAATTGTCAACTGACGTAAACCAAGTAGACACATTGTTTGTGTCTGAAAAACGAACTAAGATTAGCATATTTGGTGGATTTGCAAAAATGATAACAGTAAAAAACATTTAAGGAGTATCTAACATTTTAATAAATTGACTGCGACTGGAATGTAGGGGGAGGGGAGGGGGTTAAAAAGCGCAGAAAAATTATATGACGCAACTTCTCTCAAGGTTCCAGTACACCATTTCAAATGTGACCGTGTCAGCCTTAAGAATATGGCGGGATGTTATCAGTTATTACACGTTTCAGCATGTGATACGGGAAATATTCCACGAAAGTAAAAATTGTATAACCACGAAAGCGTAGCTTGAGTGGTGATACTTTTTTACTGAGTGGAATATTTCCCGTATCACATTCGCTGAAACGTGTAATGACGATTTTATCACATACTATGTAGAAATCTAGTGATTTGATTGGTAGCTTTCTTTGTCGTTCTTACTTCTAGTTCCTCAAATGACAAATTCATCATTTCTAATAAATAGTAACATAGATAGGAAAGTATAGAATGAAGTTGTATGACGGCATTTCGTTACCATAAGACAACGTGTGGTACATGTGCTCGTATCATATGAAATTTATGTGATTCGGGAAATACGTCATAGAAAGCAACCAATCAAATTATTAGATTTCTACATAGTATGTGATAATAACGGATATCCACTTGTTACAAAGTTGTATAATATTATCAAGTTGATCACCAGTTTGTTTGGCGAAATACATTTTTAATTTGAAAACTATATTTTCGTGTATTTTTGCTAAATGCCATTTGAGATCGAGGGTGATTTTGAAAACAAAATTAGATAATTAGTTATTTCCCCAAAATTGTTCTTGGACAGTATTTTGTCACACATCATTATTTGAGATTGAAGGAGTGGTATCGATATGGTGAACTTTTTGAACACGCGTTTCTCTTAAACCAGTCATCAAAATATTCTGAAAATTTTACACATCGTCAATTTATATAATTAATGATCATCTTTTGGATGGTAACATTATAATTTGAAATAAATATATCTACTTTTCTCTATACTGTTTTAGAAAACATATCGGACACTTCTTTTGTTGGTATCATATGTTCGGAATGAAATGAAACATCTATCCGAACCTCATTGGAACAAAAGGACATAAACACAACGTGTTTAGGTCTATCAATATTGTAATTGTACAAAGGAAAGTTTGATTGATTCTAAAAAAGTATCTTGTTTATGAAATAAAAGGTTTATCTTAATTTTTATCCATTTTGGGGGGTTTTGTTTTAGGTTTTTGCATACTTTTTGTAAAATCAACCAAAATTTCCTTTGTTTCACTAGAACATTGAGAGGTCCAAAAAATGTTTTTCCAACAAGGTTCGGAAAGACATTTTACTTCATTCTCAAGATTTGGTAGAAAGGAACAAAAAACAATTGCACTAAAAAACAAAAAATGTTACCAAAAACAGTTATAAAAAATATATATAAATAATTTTTGCATTAAATTGTTGCCAATCAGTCAACATTACATAAATGACCGTGTTTTTACAAAATGTTTTCAATAATTGGTTTAAGAGAAAAACAATGTTGTATTCAGTTCACCATATCGATACCTATCCTTTCACACTTTTCATGTATACCAGCGTTTCGACCAATTATTGTTGATGTAAAGTGTCGGAATTGTTGATTAATGAATCTTCAACATAAATTATATCGTATGTTTTTTGAATCATTTCCTACATAACATCATAGTACTATCTACATGTATGTTACATTCTGTGAATTGCAAGATTTTCCCCGGGCATGAACGCTAGATAATAATTTGATGTGAAGGTGATCATGTTTCAGCTTACCTTCGACGCGTTGGGCAACCTGGTGTGGAAAATAGCGGGGGACAAAAAAGTTACACGTAAGTGATATCAATTCCTGGCAATGGCCAGGAAATAAGAGGTTTACTATTACTGTATAGTGAATCCCCTTTATTTTACCGCATATGCCAAAATAATGATTGGGAGTATATTGGGAGTATATATACGGGGAGTATATATTGATTTTGCCAAGAAAGAAACTATGATATCTGAATGAGGCTACCCAGAAAGATGCCCATGCCATTATGAAACTCTCCTATTAATGAACTTGTTCCCGTGATATCAGTGTACTGTAATTGCAATTGTAAAATGGGTCTCGACAACCTATTTCATTTATCTTATCACATACTTAATATAGGATAAACCTCCATCCATATGATTGATCTCCTTCACGGAAGTATGATTGTTATAATAATCCTAATACACAATAGTTAAATAGACAATTATAAGAACCGTAGTTCAAATCAAGAAAGGTATGACTCTCCCGAGCGCACATCCTTCATTTAAGAACGCAGTGTTAATCAGATAGCTATTATGACAAATGTGCACCATACAATGACACATCTCGTACTTTTTATGCATAAACAGCATGTCACGTATCATCTCATTTCCACTACCATGTTTCTGTCGAATAATTAATTGTACTTTTTATCATCATTTCAGGTTATAATGCTCAAAAAAGAAGTAAGTACAGTCAATTTTAATTGTGTCGTCCGACCCATAGTCTCAAACTAAACAGCTACACCCCGGTCAATTGATTCAAAAACCCCAGCCTCTCATTCTTTCAAATGTGAAGACTTGTCAATTTTCTCTCATATGGTTAGCTTTTGTAATCGCTCAGTTAACAGAAACACACACGTTTACATATATAGTCGGTATATATCTTAAGAATTCCAATTTATTTTCAGAAAAGATTATACAAAAAAATCCTTTTTCGTTTGTGGATGAGGACGAGGAGGATAAGCCTAATACTCCAGGTAATTCGACCTTGATTAATGACATTGAATTAAAAAGACAGCTGAATTGGACAACCTGTAGCGTTCTTGCCCTATTGTACCAAACCACATTTTGCTTACATGGGCAGAATTTTCATTAATGTTCACCTTTTCGGCGATAGTTTTTATTGCTTTTTTGTTCTTTGTTATGCCAGTATAGTATTTACCTAATTAAATGCCAAACTTGATTTACCGTTTATCTTTCGTTTGAGTTCTAAATAAGCTTTGAAAAAATGCAGTTGATAGATTCTTTTAAACAATCCATTTCAGAAATTGTGATAAAAACCGGCGAAGAGGAAACTCCAGGTATGTTTGATATTTAACAACAATCATGTTCTAGATCATTGATGTAAATAGCCAACAAACAAAAAGTAGGATAAAAAACCCTAATCCTAGTAATCATCTCAATTTCATGTCGTTATTTAGAGATTCAAGGAAGATGGGTTCTAAATGTTTTTATGTTTTCAGAAATTATAATAGTACATCCCGGCTCTAAAGAAAAGCCAGGTAAAAGAATCTTTAATCGAAGATGAAATTGACATTGTAACTCATGTAAAGTCACACAGTCTTTTTGTCAATTATGTTTATGTTTAATACCAAAAAAAGTTATTAACACTTTTGATCACGGCGTTAGGATGAGCCCGTGAGACCAAACAATCGGTTTGTTATTGAAATTTCGGATAAAGTCAAGTTTAAGTTATGTTTTTGGAATGACTGATAATTTCACTCACGGCGAAATATACCTACAGAGACATTTCCTAATCACAAACACACGATAAAAATTTGGAAACACCAATGATTCATTTATAGAAGAGGAGTCTTCTCCAGCTGAAGAGGAGGAAAACGAGAATGAGGAGGAGAAGGAGGAGGAGGAAGAAGAGTAGAACATTTGCTATGGTGACAACTTTCATTGGAGATAGATATGACGATGTGTGTTTACTCATCTTTCGCATGACGAGATGTGAATCTCAGGAAAATGTGGCATTTGTTATATAATGTTTTCTAAATAGGATCATCGAATACAGCTTGAAAGTAAATATTTATCATCAATGTTTTGTTTTATACAAGAAATGTAAACGATTGTATACTTGTTAATGATCAGGTTATCCAATAAATTAGGTACGAGCATCCCGTAAATCTTTTATTAGATAGATAAAACATTTCATATATTCTTAAGATAGTTTTAACCCATATTGTCAACAAATTCAACGTTGTTCAATTTGTCAATGTTGTCCGCAAATGTAGCATTACATGAAGATTTGCGCTGGCGCTAATCTTCCGTTGTGTCGTATTATCGATTTGTAACAGTCGTGTGGTAAAAGCTTGTATTAGCGAATGCAACTAACGCCTATCGGCTACCGGATAAACCTTATATTTTACAGGCAACTCATTTAAATATGAATAGTACCTGCCACTATTCAATTCATATCTATATAATGTTGGTCATAAAATAGTAGGTCAATATGGAAGCTGCTAGCCGTTAGTTGCATTCGCGAATATAGGCTTAATATTACCACCTGCGTTTTACAAAGTACTAGTAGACGTCAAATAGATTTAGCGTGTATTCGCAAATGCAACTAACGCCCGTCGGCTACCAGTGTAAAAGAGTAGGAGGTCCTATCAAATTATGGTCCTACTCTCCATTGATTTATATGGTGACCTAAATACAACTCTTTCCCTTATTATCTTATACACAATCAGGGCCAGGAAGGGCCGTTTAGAAAGGGGGCCATAATCCCCAGGGTACCATAATTTTTTTCACACCTGATAACCCTACTATCACACCAAACTAGTTCTCACTACGTTCTCGAAAACGGGCTTCAACTGTGTACGAACGGACTGGACCTACTAAGAACCGTTTGGGATCTATTTACAAACTTCATCGAACGTACTCGAACGGGTAGGTCCTCTAGAACTTAGACAATGCTCAAAATTTTCTCGTGGTCGTCACGTTCTACAATTAGAACGAGTGACAACGTACTAACGACGAGCTGGACGTACTACGAACGGAGCCGTCGTACTTCAATCCTACTAGGGACGTTTTAACAACGAGTTGAACTGTCTGAGGACGTGTTGAGAACGAGGTAGAACTTATTGCAAACGGGTTTAAACTGATTAAGAACGTATTTAACACTGCTTATGAACGAGTTAGCAAAAATATAGCTATCACACCAAACAAGTTGCGACTGCGTTCTTCAAAACTGGTTTTAAACTGTGTGCGAACGGAATGAACGTAGCTGCAACTTTCTAAGGTCTATTTACGAACTTTATGAACGTTCTCAGACGGGAATGTGATTTTAGAATTTTGAATCGATTTAAAATTCGATGGCGACCATACCGTTCTGTAATCAGGTCATGTTGACCTTCTAGACTAAGGGACGCGTTCTACGACGTTGCACACCGACGTGATGCGACCTGAACGAACTGCGAACTAGATGGACGTATTGAAGACTGTTTAAGAACGAAGAAGCTAATTATTTCAGACATATTTCCCGACCACAGCCAGATTGAGCCCGTTTTACGACGTTTTCGTAGGACTAGCAAGAACGGGTAAGAACTAGTTTGGTGTGATAGGGGGGTTAACCTGCTATTTTATGGGCAACTCGTTTAAATATGAATAGTGCCATGCCACTATTCCATCCCTAATTAAAGGTGCAACAATTAGTGCAGGGGGGGGGGGGGGGGGTCATTCAACGAACTTCGACCAGTGTCAAAATATATTTAATTTTGGATATTTCATCAAGACTAACATAATATATATTTTCATTATCTACAATGAACCCCCTGGATGAACATTATTTTAGCTGATATTCCTCTCGAAACGTGGTGGATCTTAAAAATCTATAAGTGAGACTCCCTTTATAGAAGCTTTGAACTGAATTTACACTTCTTAATGCTGAAATTGATAGTCTGTACATACATTTTAAGAAAATAGGTATGTCAAAGAAGGTTTTAGCTCAGAAAAAGTAAAAAATTTCCAATGTTCTCTCTACAGTCCTTGTTGCCCCTTTAAATGTGTTAGTTATAAAAAAGTAGGTAGCCGACAGGCGTTAGTAGCATTCGGAATATAAGCTTAAATTGATGAGAAATTCAAAAGATTTATTCCCGGCGCGTGTACCTAGGAAGGTAATAGGAAGTGCAGGGTCACGTTTACGTGAAAGTTTCATATCATGACCCCCAGAGATTAATGTCCTCCATCAATTAGGTTTTCCAGTGACCCAATTACGAGTATTCTCCTTATACCTTTGTACTCAACTGGACAATCAATCTCTACCAAGAGGAGAACTAATCCCAAGACGAACATAATTCTACACGTCCACGTACAAGTTGTATTCAAGACGTGTAGTTATTCACTGACAATTAAGATTACGCTTTAAATTTGAAAACCAATTTGGGTGTAACGTTTACACATTCAATTGATTATGGCGATTGTGGTGAGATTTACTGTTTTTGGTGTTGACAATAGCCTTCGATTTGTTATATCGTCAAGGATACAGTTCTCGTGTGCAATTCACAAGAACCTGTTTGCGAATCTGTATTGAGGTCGGTCGATTACGAGGCCTTTGAACTGACTTTTATTAATCGAGTGAATAACATAAGTTCTTCAACGATATGCTTTAATTTTATTTGTAGACTCTTATTTAAATAAACAATAAACAGCACTTATCCCAGGTAAATTATCCTTGAGGAAATGACCATGGTCAGAAGCGCACAAACCAATCACAATATCACCATAGCAACCGTTTCGCCTATTAAAGTACTACTTAAGGATTCTTAAGTTTTTTATAAATACATACTGTGGATTACACCAGATATTCATCCTTCGTCGGAAGGCACCAGGGTAAGTTTGCTTTCTTATTTACGTTTACCAAATATAGCAAACCAGCACTATATTCTTTGTAAAGAAACACGATTCCAAATATAATATTTACGAACTAATACACACCAATGTCACAGAGATTAAATGTACATTCATGTATTTATTTGAATATAATAAATCATATACATCTTAATCATTCTGTTCCATATTTAGATGTTGTGTTTCAGTGTTGATAAATTAGTCACCTTGTTTATTTAATCTTATTTAGATTCATGAAAAAGTAATCAGGATACTTTTTTTTTCGGACCTTACTAAAATGTTCAAAAAACTTAATTATTTCAGTCTTTTTATGAGGAAATTCTGAAATTTTCTGACTTCTGCGATGAGCCTTCAAGATATCTTGAAAGCCTATGCTGATGCTCAGAGATAAAAGAGCTCAGTTCCTGAAGACATTTTTAAGATGACTGGTATTTATCAAAATGGCTGCCATTTGTCGTTAGAAATGTAATCTTTGCTAACCCAATTACCAGTTGATAGATTTTATATGCTGATAACTAGGGACAAGGGAGCTCTGTTCAAGAAGAAATTTTCAAGATGCCCGTTATTTATAAGAACCTGTTTTGTTCATCGGGATTTCCTACTCCGTAGAGTTGCTGTTTTCCAGTTCAATCAACGATACCAGAAATACCCATGCCCATGCATTACAAATATATTTACTGTTCCTTAACAGAAACATTCGTGGTGTTTGACTAGTATCACTTCAAATCTTTGTATCCTATATCTGACCCTAAAGCGTAGGAAAAGTCAACATACATCAATTTATATATTTTTCAGATCTATTTCGCTAAAATGAAGTTATCAGTAATTGGACTGTTTATATGTGTGCTGGTATGTATAGCATCCGTAGTAGAATCGTCCCCTTACAGATCAGGCGGCGGATTGATGGGTGGTGTAAGTTTATTCACTCTAAACCAAACAAATTATTAAGCATCTTTTTCATCATCACTTAATAGTCTCGTGAGTATGATGGCCAATGACGAAATCATAATTGTTTTTATAGCAGCATCAACTAAAACTTTTTTTATTTCAGTTCAAATTTACTCCAAATGGAAACATGAGGTTTAAATTCATGAATAAGAGAAACAAGAATAAGAAATCTGGAAGTAAGAGAATCTTTATTTAAACACTAAGAAAAATCGCATTTTATTTGTTATAAATTAAGAATCGGTCAGTGACGTGATTAAATAGTTAAAATGCAGAAAATGTAATAATAAGTCAATATACGTACAAACAACATTTTTCTTCTTTTTCAGTTTGGAATCCATTTATAAGGAGTAAGTGATTATTCACATTCATCGCTTTGTACTTCCGGATCTAATTTTTTACTTTTTGAATAAAGCAAGTGCTGCTTTTACATTAAAAAATATTTCTACTTCTTTTTTTTCAGAGCGTATTATAGAGAAAAGGCCATTTGGTTTGGTTGATGGCTAAGAGCTAGGTTATTGCACGCGACAGTTGAACACGAGCGGAGACTCGATGATATTTTTGACATGTCCTGGTGCAATATCTCAGGGAACCCTACATCTACGTACATGTACCACACGAGTGACTGGAGACCATTTTGTTATATCTTTTGTATGGAATAAAAAAGGAACAGTATTTTGGTTTTATGTCATAGGTGGAGTTGGAAATTTGTAAAACAAACAATTGTTGCCTTGGCATATCAGAGTATAGCACTTAGATTACTAGCAAAAGTATGTTTATGTGTGCACTGGTACATACTTCCCATATTTGCATTAACCGAACAGATGCAACTTTCAGAACGAAATATTAAATTGCATTAAATTTTAAAAAACTTGACATCCATAACATAGAAAATAGACACCGTAAAACAATCTTTAATTTTTCAATGTCGTTCACCATCACCTAAGAGGATATTTATATCATACCATATTAGAAAACATGACATGGATTACAACACTCCTTACTTTTATGTTGCGAGTATGACTTAATCTCACATATTTCACTATTGTCCTCAGGAAATCAAAATGAAGGTTGTGAATATAAGTATAGCGAAGGGTAGACAAATAGCATAAAAAGTATAAAATACATTCTTCTCATATAAATTACACGTATTGTAAAGTATAAAATACATTCTTCTCATATAAATTACACGTATTGTAAAGTATAAATTACATTCTTCTCATATAAATTACACGTATTGTAAAGTATAAATTACATTCTTCTCATATAAATTACACGTATTATAAGCAATATCTATACCTATTTAATCATGTTTATTATCAATTGTAAATGAAAACAAGGATTCGCGTTATTTCACATATTAACGGACCAGTAACTAATCAATAGTCTTGAATATGTTCATTGCAGGCAAACAAATAGTTTTTAATGTTCAAAATGCAGGATACAAGGTCAGAGTCTCGATTATAACAAATATTGAATTGTACTTATGTTAAACAACGTATGTCTTGTTTTCAGACTTTGAATGAGTGTGACGGAAATTCAAAATTCATTCAATTTTAATTTTTATGAACAAACTAGATGTTTGTCCCTAAACGCGAGATGGTATTTCACAATATATGCACAGCCTGAAGAGCGGCCCAACGACCTTGATATTCCGTATTCCTACACTCCCGTGAATGTGACTTTAGTTTGTAAGCTACCATAGGGCAGTACAAATCCTGAATTAACTTTAGCAAAGTTTATGATGTCAAAGAACTCTCATAAATTATACCTTGGACGTGATGGATGTAATAAAACGGAGAAATTACGGTTTGAAGATAAATTCTGTGTAATACCATTTATGATAAGAAAACAAGCTATCCACTCGGCCGCAGGAGTATATCATTCTAAATACGATACACAAGAGAAGACGGTGAATACACGAAGGATTCGTGTTTAAGGTACTAATGTTGGGAATATTGTGCTAACAAATTTCGTCAATGATGTATAAATCGGTGTAAATACCGAGAGTATGTTAATCTTTATACATAAAGGAGGACACAATTCTTCACGGGAGTCGAAAGATTTATTGATTAATAAATAAAAATTGGACATAAATTAGAAGCACTAAGGATGAATCTTAAATTGGCATGCTGGTACCCGACGTCATACCTTTTCTATTTCACTTTGACTTTACAATGGAGTTTCTTTAATATCAAGGATTGAAAACAAAACCAGGACTAGTCTATCATTATATTTTCTCCTTATGTTTCAGGCTCGCACGATGAGTCTATCAACCAATGTGCTTGTTCTATGTTTGGTGATATGCTTAGCAATCGTAGTAGAATCTGCCCCTCTCAGATCAAGTGCACTGTCGGGTATGGTAAGTCAAAGAACTAATCCAAATGTTATCCATCCCTTTGTTAGAAATTTTGATTGATTATATGCACTATATTTATATTCATGTCATAAGTACATGTACATCTAATTAAAATAGATGTATGTACAGGGTGGTCCAAAAAATGGGACACTCGTATTTCCAAAATAAATATTGATTTTCTTGATGAAAACATGTCATGTTATATACCAGTGGATAGGGAATTTACTTATCTTTAATTTGGTATATCATAAGTTCAAATTTATTATAATGTCTGTCAACCAGCGTCCGTTATATAAATTATGTCATTTTAGTTTCAAAACAGGTTTTCCAAAACTTGTAAAAAACAAGTTTTTTGTCAACTTTATGTACACAAACAGACGTTTAATATGTCCACCATTTTGATCAATTATAGCCCTCAATTCTGACCTTAACTGGTCAAAAACATCATTAAAATTCTGTTGAGACAATGAATTCCACTTCTCAACAAGTCTATCCGTAATAAGGGACTGAGTAGATGTAAGGGGTTCACGGTAAACCAATTCTGTTAGTTCTCCCAATACGTGGTAGTGGGGGACGTTGACATCGCATTATCCGATTATGTTGTTTTTAGACCATTCTGATATGAACTCATTCTCGAATCATTATATTTTTCAACAAGATGGGGCGCTAAGCAATAGATCTCACAAGAGTGTCAAATGTTTAAAGGAAAATGTGCCTAAATTCATCCCCCTAATCACTGCCTCCCCAGATCACACGATCACCCGTCTGCGACTACCACGTATGGCAAGAACTAACAGAATTGGTGTACCATGAATCCTTTACATCTATTCAGTCTCTTGAGGACAGAATTGAATTAATGAGAAGTGAAATTCATTGTCTTAACAGCATATCAATGATGCTATTGGCCTGTCTTAGTTTAGGCCAAAATTGAGGGGTACAATTGATCAAAATGGTGGACATATTGAACGTCTGTTTATGTAAATAAAGTTGACAATAAAACTTGTTTTTGCAAGTTTTGGAAAACCCGTTTTGAAATGAAAATGACGTCATTTATATTATGGACGCTGGTTGACTGACATTATAATAGATTTGAACTTATGATATGATCTAAAGTAAAGGACCTTATAAGGGAACGTCATGTGAAGAATCATATCAAAACTATTACCAAAAATTCACTACGTAAATCTTCATCATCTAGATCTTTTTGGCGAACCCTCCAAATGTTTAATGCTAAAAGTAAATTCCCAAATGAAATCATTGACCCATTTAACCCCAACTCTACGATTGACGACCCCAAACTAGTTTCCCATACGATTGGCAAATATTGGGCAAATGTCGGACCCAAAAGTAGAAACCCCAACTATGTCAAGACCAATCTGTCTGATGAACTAAATAAACTTGAAAGTGAAACCAAATTTTTTTGTAAAGGTAGGCGTCTGGAAGACAATATTTTCACTCTTAAAGGTATATGTAGTCTCCGTAGGGATAAAAATCAAAAGACTTATCTAGCTTTCATCGATATATCGAAAGCCTTTGACGTTATTGACCGTGAACAACTCTTTATATCTCTTTGGAAGAAAGGAATCCAGGGCAAAGCCTGGCGTGTATTGAAAAATCTATACGCATGTGTCAAAAACAAAGTTATATTTGGTAATTTTGGTAGTGAATGTTTCGAAGTTGAATCTGGCCTAAAACAGGGATGTGTACTCTCACCTACTCTATTTACTGTAATTATGACCGATTTGATTGACAGCCTGATCGAAAATGATATGGGTATCCCTTTCAAAGATCTAACTCTACCCGCATTGCTTTTTGCAGATGACATCGTCCTCACAGCTACCAGCGAATCTGATCTCTGTAGAATGCTTGATATTACAAACGAATTTGGTAAAAAATGGGGGTTTAGTTTCAGCTCAAAAAAGTCTAAAGTTATGATCATAGGTGGAAAAGTTAACAAACATAAAGTTTGGAAGCTTGGTGAGCTCTCCCTCAATGAAGTAAAAACATATAAGTACCTTGGCGTTTATTTTGACAAAACACTGAAAGACTCGCACCATATTAATAATATTCTTGGTTTAAAATCAAAAAAGCTCAAAGGTTATATAACCTCAACCCTCAACAAACATTGTAATATCCAACGAATTCAATTTGGTAACACCATGTATAATAACATGTTCCTTCCTTCAATATTGCATGGAGCAGGAGTCCTCCTTCCAAACTCAAGCGAAATGAAGAAAAATTTAAAGTCGTATCAATACCAAGCTGGTTTATCCATTCTTAGCCTTAAGTGTTCCCCAGCTTATGAAGCCCTTGTCTGTGATATGGGCTGGCGTCCAATTGAAAAGATCTTTCAAAAACGTCAAATCGACTATTTCTGCTATCTAAAGAATAAAAACTCTCAAACCCTAGTATCAAAGGTTTTATCTGCCCTCTTGGAATCATATTCAATAAATAAAGAATCTAATTGGAAGTATGTTTCTAACATAGCAAATATATTAGTGCACCATGGGCTCGATAATAAATTGAATGTTAATTTTGAAGAATGGTACTCATCCTTTCTCAATATTTCCAACGAAATTACTACTAAGGAATTGTTTTCATCAATTTGCAACCGGCCATCCCTATCCCTTTATAGAAATGTTAAGAGACATGTCTTTCAAGAAGAGTACCTAAAAAACCCATTCAACTTCCAAGGAGCAAGACAAAAATTCTTAGCCAGGTCGGGTTGCTTTAAATTAGAATCAGACCTTAAAAGGTGGAATAAAAGTGATGGCTTTTGTAAATTATGCCCCTCCAATTCTTATGACTCTATGTCCCATCGCCTGTTCCTTTGCCCCGTCCTCCAGGATAAAAGAAACCTATTCATTAACAATTTAATCTCTTCATGTGACTTTGCCCTTGTAGGTGAATACTTATCAGCGAGCCTTAATGATAAGCTACAATGGATTATTGGTGATTCACTTTACATAGGCACATGGGGGCAGGACCAAATAAATAAATTTGAGAAATGTGTTTACGAATTTTTAAAGGAAATGTATTTTTAATGATTTTAACCTATTGTATGTATGTATTTTAGTCTCTTTGGATGCACACTAAATTTTAGTAGTGCCGCTGTTGTAAAAGCGTTTTATCCTAATAAATAAATAAAAAAAAAATAAAAAAATATACGAAATTAAAGATAAGTAAATTCCCTATCCAGTGGTATATAATATGACATGTTTTCATCAAGGAAATCAATATGTATTTTTGAAATACGAGTGTCCCATTTTTTTGGACCACCCTGTATATATTCATTAATGCCTCACACCATATATGATATAATACAATAGTAATGCAATAGATTGAAGTCAATTGTCAAACACAAAACATTTCATAATTAAATTTAGTAAGAACAAGGAGTCATGTTCATTTAGTTCATGAATAAATGAACATGACTCCTTGTTCTTACAAGTTGATTGCATATGCAATTATTCATGCTTATAAGAACATATAAAAATAGACCAAATTAACAGCTATAGTGAATAACTGGGGGGAGGGGGGTACATGTTCAACTATAATTTATTCTACGTGGACAACGGGTTCCGGGTTTGACTACATCTGGATTCACAAGGTTTCGGTTGTTCCAACTCATTCTGTTGTTCCTAGACCCAGTGATGGTTTGACTATTGAACAGATATCACCATCCAGATAATGTTATATGTGACACTCATTTTTTTTAATGGGAGGTTGAATTAATATTGACAAAATAAGTCATTTTTCAATATTTACAGAATTTCCACCAAATTCACCACATTCAAATGAGGTACACCTTTGATACACCTGGTATGTTTCTAAATCCAATATTACATTTCAGATCAATTTCACGAAGGATGGAAAGATTAAGTTCAAGTTCAAGGATAAGAAGAACAAGAGAAAAAAGTTTTTGGGTGAGTAAGTACTACAAATAAAACATGACTGAAGGCGCACTTGAAAATCGCCATTTTGTAAACAATGATTTAAGTGATTGGTTTGATTGCCGCAAATTTGCCGCACGCCGAAGAAAATACTATTTCCAATGCTTTTGACATAGAAATTGTTGTAGATACCAGTAGTACTATTATAAGCATTCGGTATCAAGCCAAACGATAGGTATCGATATGGTGAACTGAATTCAAAAATATTTTTCTCTTATAAACCAATTATTGAAAACATTCTGTAAAAAACACGGTCTTTGATGCAATGGTCACTTTGTGTCATTTTGTTCAAATGATGTTCGGATAGATGTTTCATTTCATTCCGAACATATTATACCAAGAACAAAACGGAGTCTGATGTATTTTCTAAAACAATATAGAGAAAAATATATCATTTTTTCAAATTATATTGTTACCATTCAAAAGATGACATTAAATTGACGATGTGTAAAATGTTCAGAATTTTTTGCTGACTGGGTCAAGAGAAATGTGTGTTCAAAAAGTTCACCATATCGATACCAATCCTTTAAATGAAATGGGACAAAATCCAGTCTCTAATAGTCCATAAGAATGTCAAAGGGTCAACATCTAACCTGTAATCAACAATTCACAATAGTTATCAGCTGGAAACAATGCAAAAGCTTGATTCGGTCCCTTTTTTGTCAAAGCCGGATCCATCTTAAAGCATGAAGTTAAGATATACGTATGTAAGAGCTTCATTTATTATCTGTCATGTCCTAAGTAATATATTTTCTCTTTCAGCTTGGGATCCTGTAAATAGAGGTAAGTTAGAGTATAAACTAGGCTACTTCTCTTTTTAATTACTTGAGTTTTTAACAGCTACCATTGCTCGTATGTTACGTATGGAAACATACTAACTGGTAAAATGAATAGAGATGTGTAAGGTTCATGTAAAATAGCTAAAAGGTGCTGCTATACGTTTTGCTAACAATGTCACCCCGAGAGTTAATCAATAAATGACTCAAATTATGGCCAACACAGAAATCCCAATTTCAGAATTTTTTTCGGAAAACTTGATATCTCTAAAAATCTTTATCGCTGAAAGTTGTTGATCGATGCTATTCAAGTACAACAAACTTTTTTCCATTGGACACTCTATACACACAAAAAATCACGTAGATTCCTTAATTATTGAGACAGTTATTCCAAAATTAGTGGGTGGTGTTTTTATGTCACCCTGTACCTTAAAATATGAGTATTTTCTCTACATGAAAACTTCGAGACAATTGTATATTTTCTGTCCTTGCATCGTTGCAAGACAAATACGTGCAATAATACTTAAGTCAATCGGACACTTTGTTCATGAAGGAGATATTCACTCATCAACTTCACCTTTACATAAGGAACAAAATTGTATATATATATTGCTACATGTATGAATAGCATAAAAAGGTTGGCAGTGCTACATGTATGGGTTTAGGGATGGGGGTGCATATACTGTACATTAGAAACACCCTGTATATCAAATTAATCGTTTTAATTAATCACAAAAATGTGACGTCGATAATATCAACGCTTATATTTGTGAACATTTTCATTTGATTTTGCTATTTTATTTATTATTGCATCATTTAAACGAGACCAAGTGAACAAGTGATATATTGAATAATCTCAATTTGACTTTTATTTGTTTTAGCATTTGTGAAAATAAAAAACCCATTCGTATTGGAAGGAACAACACCTCCACCTCAAACGACTACAAAAAAGCAAAAGAAACGGAAACAGAAAAAGAAACGACAATAACAATAACAACGACATAAATTAACGAAGGATGTACTCGCTGACGGTTCATAACAAATAAAGAAAAATACATTTGCACAATGTCACAATAAAAAGCTTTACGCGACCGATCTAGAAATATTAAACATATCTTGAGTTAATAATACATGTTTAATTGTATGACTGAATACCACACTTGTTGAACAAAACTACACTTTATATTTGCTTGCTTTTAATTTGCTGTAAAAAAAATAAATGAATAAACAAAAGTATTACTTTGAACAGAGTAAGCATGCTTTTTATTAATTTAGTGCTCATGGATGAAATATATTCATTTTAGCAGAAGTATTTTCTGGGTCGCGGCGAATGGCATGATTTCCTGGAGTCTCTTCAGTTGCAATGTAACAGTATTGGGGTCGATTGGTGTTGTTCCACTACTGTCCTTGGCGGGGGCTCACTACGATACTGTACGACTCCCAGGGTCTCCTATAGAACGTCAATGGAGTGTGGTCACGAAGTGCGCACTCTATTTTTTAAAATACGAAAATGTTCAGTCTTAATTGATTCTGATCTTCATCCGCTATGTATCCCAATGACACAATCTTTACTAGTACATAGGGGTTAAGATGACTACTAGCCAATTAAACCCGTCAACCCATTGGTGGACCAAACCCGTCAACCCATTGGCCAATCAAACCCGTCAACCCATTGGTCAACTAAACCCGTCAACCCATTGGTCAACCAAACCCGTCAACCCATTGGTCAACTAAACCCGTCAACCCATTGGTTAATCAAACCTGTCAACCCATTGGTCAACTAAACCCGTCAACCCATTGGTTAATCAAACCTGTCAACCCATTGGTCAACCAAATTCGTCAACCCATTGGTGAAACAAACCCGTCAACCCATTGGTCAACCAAACCCGTCAACCCATTGGTCAACCAAACCGGTCAACCCATTGGTTAATCAAACCTGTCAACCCATTGGTCAACCAAACCCGTCAACCCATTGGTTAATCAAACCTGTCAACCCATTGGTCAACCAAACCCGTCAACCCATTGGTCAACTAAACCCGTCAACCCATTGGTTAATCAAACCCGTCAACCCATTGGTCAACTAAACCCGTCAACCCATTGGTGAAACAAACCCGTCAACCCATTGGTCAACCAAACCCGTCAACCCATTGGTCAACTAAACCCGTCAACCCATTGGTTAATCAAACCTGTCAACCCATTGGTCAACTAAACCCGTCAACCCATTGGTTAATCAAACCTGTCAACCCATTGGTCAACTAAACCCGTCAACCCATTGGTTAATCAAACCTGTCAACCCATTGGTCAACCAAATTCGTCAACCCATTGGTTAATCAAACGCGTTAAAAAAGATAATAAGGTCAAAAGGGATATAATGATACCCAATGTTAAGTCAAAGGTGTATATTCTCATGTTTAGTCAATGCACGCTTTTGCTGCAATCTCAATATTCTCAAGAGAAAATTCATAATTTGAATTCTACAGGGTGTCAAATGGCGTCGTACCCCCCTCCCCAGCATAAACTAGGAGTACATGATTTGCATTCTGTATATCATTGGAAAGAGCATTCAATTCTGGATAACCCAAGATGAGTCAGGCATTGCTACATATTTTCACATGAATTTGAAATCAATGCCTTTTTATTGGTTTTGATGAAAATCCTACAAAGACTTTTTTGGTATTGATCAATACCCTAGCAACAACTCCGCCTTGAACGCTAGTGCAAATTGAGCTCATATAAATGGATAAATTAGAGCTATTTATGGAAGCTGAAGTTGCAGAGAACAAAATATTCTAAATGTGTCATTCACAAGAACCTCAAAAGGTATTGAGATCTCTTGAGAAAAAACACTGCTATTGTCCACGCCCTTTTATCTTCATATCCAACCAAAAACTGGCAGCCGTGTTAAGCTGTACACATGTTGTACTTGTTTTTTATTCTGGTAAATGAATTATGACCGGGTGATTACTAGTTGGCGCCATTACGCCCCCACTAGTCTATCATCAATACATCTGTATCATACGTTTGCTTGTTAATTTCATTTTGTTAACATTTAAATACATCAGTATATTCTGTAGGTTTTCACACAACTGGCGAGTCTCATTCTAGCCGTACCCATAACCTACTTTCTATGTTTATTGGTTCGGTAAACATTTTAATCCCATTCATTTAAATCTATCGTTCCTACATCCTTATGCAATTACTAGCATACGTACATTCCTTTTTTTATTCGATGTGATAATATATGATAAGACAATACTCGACAGTATTTAGATATCAATCATGAGAATAAGGTGGATGATGTGAAAAGTGCATTTATTATTCCAGATGTTAAATACGACTGAGTGCGTATCTTCTTAGAATTCGGGATACTTACCAGTGAAAACCTCACCAATTAAATCAAAAGGATAATTAAGAAAATCATATTTTTTACTAATGACTCAATGATTTATTAAGAAGAAAAAATCAACTGAACATTTTTAATAAACAGGGCTAATTAAGAACAAAATGAATCTAGGGTGTTGGATAATCGTGTTATTGTGCTTGTTCTTAACAACAACGCATGCTCAGGATAAAAAAGAAAAAGATAAAAAGAACAAGAACAAAAAGAACAAGAAGACAACTACTACCACAACAGCAAGTGAAACCACAACAACAATTCCAACTACAACCGTAACAACAGCAACAATAGATAAAATTCCCGAGGATGAAGGAGAGATAATAAAGTTACGTATTCCAGGGGAACGACGAGCTAACCGAACTATTCCTGATAGTGAATTCAAAATCAGGGTGAGTATATCCATGTATCACTCTAGTCTAACATTATTTTATTAGAGGTAACACTTGCCACTTTTAACATTAGAAATACTGATATTGTTACAAATATATAAGTGTGCAAAATAGAGATCCAAAGTATGTTGATATTATAGAAGCAAAAAGCTAGAACTCCTTTCTGAACCTTTAAAATAAAATAATATCTCAGAACGCGAAGATGGATTCTTTAGTCGCCAACCATGAGTTCCTCACTCCCGGACATATTTCTCCACTCGCGCACCGAGTTCCAACATCGCGAACATTTTGTACATAGTACATTCGGCTACTTGGGATTCCAAGTTATATGTCAAAATGTCCAAAGCCATAGGACTCAGTCCTTTCACAGAACATGTCAAGGGGCGGGATCGCAAAGAAGTCTTCTGTTGTTGAGATCAAGTCTGCACTCTATTAAATAGTACATAAGTTTTTCAGTATTCCAGAATTTGACACTTGCATTTCAAACAAAACTTTTTTGAAAAATCTCCAAAATATATTTTTAAGTCTTGAAAGTTGGTAAATGAATGATGAAAACATATTTCAAATTTTACACAGGGGCTTTCACTTTCGTTTTCCACAGGCGTTTGTATGGGTTAAAAATGAAAAGATCCGTATTGTAATAAAACATATTTTTATTCTCCTTTTTTTATTCTAATTGCATCATATTAATGAAATTACCATTGTAGCAAAAAAATCAACAATAAATGTCAAAGTTGGTTCTTTATTCTGACATCTTCTCTTCATCGTACAATATGGCTGCCATTTCATGTACATAATTTAGAAACTGGGAATAAATATGAGACTCCCGAGCCTCCATTCACGGATAGTGTCCAAAATATATTGGAATTTCTCTATATAAGTATAACAATGTGCCAAGCACCGATTATCTCAGAGTTTTAATCCATATGATACTACCCGTAGCATTGTGTTGATAGAACATTTAATCATGTATATAATTCCAGATTAACATCGTAAATGGAATATTGAAAGTGGAGTTGTTGGGGGAAGCAAACTCAGATATGGAGGAAATATGTAAGATATTATATTCTGAACCATGGTAACTTGATTCGAATTCTGTTTCCTGGGCTATTAGGCTACAATAGCGTGTTAACTTAGCAAAACATTGCATGGGTTTCATTTCTGCGGGATACGACCATGATTTGACATGACACGTATTACTTAGAGGTTATGTCACTATGACGTGAAATATGCCTGAGTTCTCCCAATATAGGCCGACCTTGGGAGGCTCTATATTTGGGCAAGAACGAAGGCATATTTCACGTCATAGTGACATAACTGATGTATTACATGCCTTTGTTCCCATGGTTACTTTGTATCAATGACGTGACGTCATGATATTATCATGGTTATTAAAGAAATCTAATATCAAAACGAGGTAAGCGGGCTATATCGGGGTAATCGGGCAATATCGGTGGATATAGCTCGCTAACTTTCCCATTGACTTCCATACAAATGCTTCGCTAGGTATGTAATACTAGAAGTTATTGAACAGAACAATGGACAATATGATACTGTGGTGGGAAAAACTGTTGGCCAAGTTGTAGTTCTGCTCCTTCTTAGTAACCCGAAAAAAGTTTTAATTCATATTGATGTAACTGACCCATTTGATAAACATGGACATGTAATAGCTTGAAATTGTCTCTCATGTAGAAATACTAATTGCCGATTCAAAATCAAAAAGTGTAACTTGTACTGGCAATTACAATTACAAGATATTTCTTCTTTGATGCTTTCACCCTATAATAATCTATAATAATCAAATGTTACACACCACTTTAAGCCGACACATTTGTATAATACATAATGGGTCAAAACCTTCATATATACTTTTAATTTTGCTAAAGAATTAAAAAAAATTATGGAGATGCAGTTTAAGTCGGTCTACCAAATGTTTCCAACATGTCATGACAATGTTTTAAAAAATATGATGTCTTTTCTGTTTCAGTGTTCGACGTGATCAAAAAGAGTAAGTTAGCTAATATAATTGATTAAGATAATAATGTATGACCGAAAAAGGTATTACTAACTTGCAAATGGATCTCAACAGTTATTGTCATCTAAAACTGATTAAATTATTTACTATTGTATAATTGTAAAAAAAATTGTTGGCCATCTAACTGAGAATTTTTCATATACAGGGTGGGCCAAAAAAACCCACCCCCTTGCCATTATTTCTGATAAACATTTATTTTTTATTACAAAACAAACCCACCCCCTAGCCATTATTTCTGATAAATATTCATTTTTAACATGTACACCAATAATGATATATCATTTTAAAGATAATTTGATTTGCAACAAAATGATATATAATGGCACCATTTTCAACAACCACATATAGATATATAACCAATTATGTGACATGGGGGTCAAAAAACACCTTTTCATTTTTCATCGATTTTGCGAACAATAGCCTATTTCTACCAACTTTTACTGTTCAGTTAAAAATTGCCACATTGTCATGAGTCCTCCATAACCGGATATTATATATTGTTTTCATTCATTTTTGAACCATGTAAGCTCAATAAACATGTGTATGCTTATAAAACCAATTCATTTCTTCTTCAGTCTGTCCAAATATGGCTCAATAGACCCACCCCCCGACCCATCCTCTGATCGGATTATTCGCTTAAGACGCGGAAGCCATTGGTTGATGGCGTATAATTGATGGATGGATGCGGAAGTACCATTCAACTGCTAGTTATTCTTTCTTTTAGTTCCTCTACATCCCTCATAGGCTGGGTGTCTTTAAAGTCAAACTGTTCTAGATGCCCTCGGATATGGTAATCAACATTATTGGCATTTGGACTGTCAGTAAGCCATTTTTCCGGCTAGAGATGGTGTCATTTCGAATCTCCAAAAACTCCAAGGTAGCATTGGACCTGTGTGATGAAGCACTTTCCTATCGGAAAATGAAGTTTCTTTCACATGTTTTTTATCCTTGACGAGACCTTTTTTAACACCTCATGTCATAAACACTCAGAGTATAGTTTTGCTCCTTGTTTTGGGACTTCAAATATACCAAGATATGTGTATTTGACACAAAATATCAATAAAATTGTGAAAATAGTAGTGCAATTCATTTTATAGCGACGCAGTATGCCTTAAACATTTCCCAAACCTATATATTTTGAGACTATCCTTTTAATACTGCGTCCCCAGAATTCATAAAAAATGGTGTTCAAGATACACTACCCATGCAAGTTATTTTTGCATCTTGGAAGCCAGCCAGTATCTGTGTGATTTTATAAAAATTTGGAAATAATTTGTATAGATAGTGTACCTTGAACACCATTTTTATGAATGCTGGGGACTCAGTATTAAAAGGATAATTTCAAAATATATAGGTCTGGGAAAGGTTTAAGGCACACTGCGTCGCTATAGAATGAATTGCGCTACTATTTTCACAATTGTATTGATATTTGGTGTCAAATACACATATCTTGGTATATTTGAAGTCCCAAAACGGCTTAATTTCAGAAATATCCCAAATTTAAATTCAAAAATGACCGTTAGCTCCGCACCCTCCGCTCATTTGCTCCGCACCCAATATTTCCCACAGGCTCTGTCTGCATAGGGTGTATTTGGACAGACTGAAGAAGAAATGAATTTGTTTTATAAGCATACACATGTTTATTGAGCATGCATGGTTCAAAAACTGAATGAAAACAATATATGATATCCAATTATCACACTACCCTACCTCGATAGCGCATGCGCGAATTTTTTGGCTTTCAATCAGGTCGCTTTTAAGTATATCGACTGCTTAGTGAAAAGGTTAATACGTTTGGTGCTCGGAGTGAGTCAATATTGCTATTCGCTGAACTTCAGTGGTGCAATAGTGAAGTCCATGTTCCAAGTTATATGATAGTTGAAGAAAGAATGTAAATAATATCGATTTAAATTTTGAAATATTTGACACGTCATAGTACACGGTACACAGCTGCAAAAGTTGATCAATACAGGGTACGAGGAATGTAAATTGTTCAATAGTACAGGGAGCGAGAAAGTAAGCTGATTATACAGACATACTATGTCCCGATCTCATGTATATTTACGTTGCAAACAGTGAAAATAATGCTAAAAAGGCCGCCTGTTGATGCTTTGAGGTGTCATCAATTGTTATTTAATCCAAATAAAGTAAACATTATTTAGTAGATTTAGACACGGGCTTTTAGGTCGTACATGCATTTTAGTCATTAAATTAACAAGAACGCTAGATTATACGTGTTAATAGGGTATCAAATTGAAATAAAATAACGAAATTAAATATGAACACGTAAGTGATAAATTACTATCGGCTATCAGGATTAATGACTATCCGCTATTCAGAATAATTAAAATTGCGTGAACTACAGGTAAAGAATCTTTCTATACAAGGGGCGATCCATATATTCTGATAAAAATGCAATCATTTTGTGATTTTTTCACATATCCCTCTTATTTTTTCAGAAAATGTAGATTATGTAATTACACATACAATGCTAAAATATTATAGCTATATCTTAAATTATCAATGAGATAAGGTTGCCATGGTAACCTGTATTAAGGGTAGGCAGGTCAATTAAATTATAACATATAAATATCATAATAACTTGATATTTTAATTATTTTAAAGCATGCGGAAATCATGCATTTTTCTAAAAGAGTTTGGTATTGTTACTCTTTGTTTGTTGCTAAACGAATGTTTATATGTGGTCACTATAACATCACAACAAATCACAATAGCATTGTACGACAGAATGGGCCAATTGACATTACATGTTATGAGACACACCAAAAATCAAATTGTCAGATGAGGTTAATGTGGCTGATGCAGAGTGTGACATTAACTGATACATTAGGGAATACAATTAGATTTTCTTTTCTTTTAAGAATAAGTTAGAGGACACTGTCAGAGACATACATGGACTTATTAAGTGCATGGGCAAGGTGTTATATCTGCATAAAGAATCTATAGGTAGTATTGTAAAGAGGAAGGCATGGTCACTGTTGAAGATCATCCACAATCTGGTTGCAAGAAGACCTTGCGGACAGAGAATAATACTACGATAAATTGAGATGTTACTAATGAAAAGATAGCTATCCCACTGTATAAATTATCAAACAGGGGCAACAGGGGTATGGAACAGATCAATGAATAGTTGGCAATGACTGGAAGATGCGTTTGGTCTGCTTAAAATAGGTACCGAGGAATGATTAAATTAACATATTTATCTATTTTAGACGTTATAATTTAACCGACCTGCCTACCCTAAATACAGGTTACCATGGCAACCTTATTTCAAAATTAATTTAAGATATAGCTAAAATAGTTTAGCATCGTATGTGTAATTACATAATCTACATGTTCTGAAAAAATGAAAGGGATATGTGAAAAAATCACAAAGTGAGAGCATTTTTATCAGAATATATGGATCGCCCCTTGTATAACCCCTTGAATGGTCTAATTCACTACCGTCCTCAAAAACCGATCATTTAAAATATTTTGTTCAAAATACCATCATGTCACGACTTAAGAGCATTTTGTTCTTCACGATTTGCTGTAGAGGTGATATGACGTCGTATTTCTCTATTATTGTAAAAAAACTAATACCAGATCGATGTAGTCTTATATATGACGTGTTGAATGTCAGATGTTTTTGGATGGTATCTGCTCCAGTGATTTTGCATTTAATCATGAAACGCTCATCACAAGACACCTCGAAACAAACATTATCCTCCTTGAGGAAAAATGTTTCACAATATGTTATGCCTTACGGCAAAATAAAGATACATTCCTGGGACGACTTTTTTGCATCTTAAGATTTTAGAAAAACAATTAATTCACAAAAGTACAGTTGAATAACATACTGGAAAACGTATCCACATATAACACGATGACTCGCAGTTTAAATAACAGTTTACTGGGGTTTTGTTACATATCAATGTAACATTTTCGAAGGGAAACTTACATGCTCCCTGTACGTTGACAGATTTACTGAAATGTATCGTGTATTGCATTGAGTTTTGCTTCACTGCGCCCACTATTATCTATCTTTGCCTATAGTGGTTTTTTGCCAACAATATTCTACAAACTGCTTGATGAATCAATTCTATGTCTGGTAGAACACTAGAAATAAATGTAAAATGTATTTTACGTTCAGAAATATGGAATTAAACCCACGTCCTCCATTTGCAACTTAGCTGTACCCTGTTTCCCTTTTAAACGTGGTCACGTGGTAGGGTAGTGTGATTATAAAACACTCATGACAATGTTGCAATTTTTAACTGAACAGTAAAATTTGGTAGAAATAAGCTATTGTTCGCAAAATCGATGAAAATTGAAAAGGCGTTTTTGACCCCCATGTCACATAAATGGTTATATCTTGAGCCAGGGTTGTTGAAAATTGTTCTATTATATATCATTTTGTTGCAAATTAAATTATCTTTAAAATGCTACATGTTAAAAATGAATATTTATCAGAAATAATGGCTAGGGGGTGGGTTTGTTTTGGCCAACCCTGTAGTATATCATGGTTCCTTTATTCCAAAAATGAATAAATAAAAATGATTCCTAGACTGTATTGTGTCTCTTTAATGCATTAAATTAATTAGATTAAATGCAAAGGGGTTATATAAACGGGATGTTTTGGAAAAGGGTTTATTTCGAGGGAAATGCACACATTTCCCGAGGGATAAACCCTGTATCCAAAACTGACCGTACATAACAGATGGGTCACATCTCGGTATATCTTACTTTTTAAGGGTCCAACATTTAAAAATGGATCATTGGTATTCTAAAAAGATATTGAAATAGCCCCTTACATTAATCTCCGTGAGAAATTACTTCTTGAACGTGATATTTATGGTTTGTTTTTTAGAAATTATCAAGGAAGTACGGCCGTTTGTAATAGAAACTGAAACTGAGACAACACCACCAGTCCCAGAAACCTCAACACCAGAAGTCACAACAGTAGAAGAATATATTTCTACAAAGAAACAAAAAAATAAAAATAAAAAAAATAAAAGAACGACTACAACTACAACTACAACTACGACTACGACTACGCCACCGGCTGCTTGAAGTAGATTTCTAGCTGTGTTATGAATGTATGCATTTATAATAAAGGAACTTGTTTTTGGAATATAAATATATGTTTCGTCGATACGATGAATTTCCCTTTTGAATCACCAGAATAGGAATTGGACATGGTTGGCACGCTTAATTGCGTCCAATGATACCACGTACCCTGAACAAAGAACCTATAGCTAGTAAAACAGAAACTTACATTTGTAAGGGTCTGTAAAGACATATATTTCATCTTTTCCGGTATTATAAGATGGAGGATTTTTATTTTTTTTCTAGAATGCATTTTATTTGATAATTGATTTATATCTAATATGACATCCCTTTGTTGTTTTTATTTAAAACATAGATTTTCATACATATCCTTCTCATCCATGATAATTAACAAATACTGCGATTATATGATCTAGTGCAAATATTTGACCTTTGATTTTTAGGATCAGAAAAACATGAATGGGCATTTATTGCGTTTTCCTTATTTCAATATGTGTTCTGTTTATATGGTTATAAATAAGAAATAGATCTATTACATATTAAGTGAGCATTGCAATATTAAAATATGCGTGCCAAGATATCCAATATCCAAGGAATAGTGACTTATTTCATTTTGAAAGAAGTCGTTTTTCAGAGCAGAAATGCTTTGTAGTAAATTATGTATTTCTGACAATGATCGCCCCATGACATCAATATTCCATCTTTTAATGCAAGTTGGATGTAGTGTTGTGTTTTTGTTCATAAGTATGACTCTAACGATTGCCCCTTAGGTGCAACTTCATGATCAGTGTCCATTTGGGAACTTTCTAATATCCTGCCATCATGCCATGTATTCCACCAATTTAGCCTCCTGGTGTTGAAATGGTAAATGCCTACTCGCATCTGGGTTATTCATTCTACATACAACCCGTAGTCCTTTTAGACTAATTGTAGTTGAGGAATGTTCTAAAAGAAAATTTGGAGGTATCGGAAATAGTCAAGTTACATTTTCTCCCCCATTACTATTTTTTCTTTACAGGTAATGAAAATAGAAATTCAAACATATAGAGTCTTTAACAGGACGGTAAGCCCACGGGGGAAAGATTCCCAAACTTATGGAGGGGAGTGTATAATATCATAAGTTGTTCCAATAAGTATAGAATGAAAGAAGCAAATTAATTAACGAATCATAGATAACCCCATTATTGGGTCCATAATAGGGTATCATTATATGTCATTACAATATAAGGTTGCTACAGTTAATTTCATTTTGTAAACATAAGACGTTGGGATAGTGTGCAGGTTTCCACATCCTTGGAAAGTATCTTATTAGTCGTACCAATATACAATTTTCTATGTTTGCTGGTTTGTCCGTGACCATTCGACAAACAGTAATAATACTAACACACTAGTCTTACTTCAAGACCTTGGACTATCTACTTTAACAACCTGTGTTGTTGAGCCAGGTCCACAGTCTTGAGGAAAGACTACTTACACATATATTTCGTCCATTTATTCAGTGTTAGTGTGTAATAAAATATGATGAAGCAATACTCGACAACATTTAGATATCAATCATGAGAAAAAACTAAATGATGTAAAAAGCGCATTTATTATTCTAGTAAACAGTAAACATATTTCAATTTTGGATACTTACTAGTGAAAACCTGACCAATTAAAAAGGATAATTAGGAAAACAATATTTCTTAGTAATGACTTAATGATTTATAAGAAGAAAAATCAACTGAACATTTTCCAATAAACAGGGCTAATTAAGAACAAAATGAACCCTGAGTGTTGCACACTCGTATTACTTTGCTTGTTCTTAACAACAACGCATGCGGCTAAAGATAAAAGCAATACCACCACACCAATTGCAACGACAGTTCCCGAGGATAAAGAAGATATAATCAAGATACGTGTTCCAGGGCAACGACGAGCTAACCGAATTATTCCTGATAGTGAATTTAAATTCAGGGTGAGTATATAAAAGTTTGAGCCAAATCTCCATTAATGCAATCTGGCAATGATAAAATTCTTGAAATTCTTGAAATCTTGTTAATTCTTGTTTTTTTTTCGTGAGAGCTTAAGGGATTTGCATATTAAACCTTTAATGACCTACCTTTCCTTCTTTTTTAATAGCCTCCCGTTATTTGAATTCAGTGAAACGTTTTCCACAATAAAAACTTTGATATATACAGTTATGTTATTTAAATCATTTCCCACGACTTTTTCAATTTCCCAAGCCTTGGGCCAAATCTCCATTGATTCAATCAGGCAATGATGAAATTCTTTAAATTCTTCTAATCTCGTTAATTTTGTTTTTTTCGGGAGATTTTAAGAGATCTGCATATTTAACCTCCAATGACTTACTTTTCCTTGTTTTAAATAGCATATTTGAATTCAATGAAAAGTGTTCCACATTGATAAAATTCATAAAAACTTGGTTTATTCGTTCGACAACGTAAATTTTCATGATTTATCACAATGCATTTTACATGTAAGGGAACATGGGGCAAAGCGGCCCAAAAAATTTAATTTTAAGTTGTTCTGTACGGGGTATTCTCGTATCTGTCAATGATCGCGCACTTTGATGTTCCACTTTATTAATGGTTTGTGGTTTACATTTTTCGAGTGTTTTATACTTTCCTAGGACTATCTTCTGTGATTTTTTAATGGTCAAAGATATTGTCGAGAGTGGGGCAAAACGGCCCATGGGTGGGGCAAAACGGCCCATCCTCTGTTACATGGGTTTTGAAACCAAAATTAATCAATTACAAGACTCGTCCACAAACATCTTATCTCAGACGTTCAAACCTTTGACAGATAAAGCTTTCTTAACCCCTCGATAATTCTAGTCATTCGATATGTGTCGGAAGGAAATAAGGCACAAGCCAGATGTTAAAATTGTTACATTTGAAAACCAATTGTTCTTGCACAATAAGATTTTTGTATGTTATAACATGTGTGGGCCGTTTTGCCCCAAAAACATGTGAATTTTCAAATAGACGTCATTTTAATTTGCCTAATATTTGAAGCTCGAAATTTTTACAAATAAAGAATAAATGTGCACACTCTATGAAAAATGTTAAATCAAAACGATATTCTATTGTTGCCGGATTTTTTAGAGATTCTCGTGAGAGGGGTAATTTCCAAAAAAGAGGGTGAAAAGTAGAATTACCTCTTACGTAAAGCGAGACGCTGATTGGTTAAAAATGGACGGTCGAGAAGGTGGCAGATATTTCAAAATTCGATTTTGTGACTTTTGAAGAACCATCTTTTTATAGTTCAAAAGATATTTCGATGGGCCACTTTGCCCCAGAGGGCCGTTTTGCCCCATGTTCCCCTACTACCCATACTATGGCATTCTTGTTTTAGGCAATTTCATCCAACACCTTTTGATAAATCATGAAATCAAGTGACTATTGCTTTTAAGTAGTTTTAATATGGGGAAGTCTATGGCAGTCCGGCCCAAACAAAACAATTAAAAACAAGTAGTGACATCTATTTATTCAGTTACAGAAACTCCCCTATTGAAGTAAACGAACAGCACGGAATACCACACACCTCGATGCTCGTTGAGTTCTATCGAAGTTGCACCTTTATTTATTTGATCCATAGATAAAAAATCCGGTGGGAATTATGTCCGATGTGTACATTTCGGCATTTGGAACATGTTTTGTAAATGGCCATGTGACCATCGGAAATAGACCAATGAAGGAAAGAACATTTGACAAGGATTAATTATGCCAAATATGATTCTAAACCAATGATGAATGTTAAGATACATCTTCAGACAGCAGGATTGATTGAGTTTAGTAATGATGTCATTATGTCAGAATATTCAAATAGTCATTCATTTTTATTTCGCTTAATAGTATCAAGGGCTTATCTAATACCCGGGGCTCAGTAACCCCCCTATCACACCAAACTAGTTCTTACCCGTTCTTGCCAGTCCTACGAAAACGTCGTAAAACCGGCTCAATCTGTCTGTGGTCGGGAAATATGTCTAAAATAATTAGCTACTTCGTTCATAAACAGTCTTCAATTCGTCCATCTCATTCGCAGTTCGTTCAGGTCGCACCACGTCGGTGTGCAACGTCGTATAACGCGTCCCTTAGTCTAGAAGGTCATCATGACCTGATTACAGAACGGTATGGTCGCTATCGAATTTTGAATCGATTCAAAATTCTAAATCACATTCCCTGTCCGGGAAAGTCCATGAAGTTCGTAAAAAGACGTAGAACGTTGTAGCTACGTTCATTCCGTTCGCACACAGTTTAAAACCAGTTTTGAAGAACGCAGTGGCAACTTGCTTGGTGTGATAGCTATAATTTTGCTAACTCGCTGATAAATACGTCCCTAATCAGTTTAAACCCGTTTGCAATTAGTTCTACCTCGTTCTCAATGCGTCCTCAGACAGTTCAACTCGTTGTAAAAACGTCCCTAGTAGGATTCAAGTACGACGGTTCCGTTCGTAGTACGTCCAGCTCGTCGTTAGTAGGTTGTCATTCGTTCTAATTGTAAAACGTGACGACCAAGATAACATTTTGAGCATGTTCTAAGTTCTAGAGGACCTACCCGTTCAAGTCCCTTCGATGAAGTTTGTAAATAGACCCCAAATGGTTCTAAAGCTCTGGGGGGTTCCCTCCTCTTGTAGTGAAGGGTTAGCTTTCTCAGACTTAGCTTGGCACCCTTTTCAGCACCGTTTTGCGCTCATTTTACTCTATTTCATTTTGAACATAGGTGGTAGTAATCTGCAGCACATCTTGATTTTCTTCTGATTTGATGTGAGTTAGAACTGATGTTCGCGTTGGTGGAAGTCTAGGACGCCTGCAGTTGTATTCATGAGCTTTCATGGGTATCTTTTGCCGCCATTAGATATAATTTTTGATAATTTCAGATTAATATCGTAGATGGAGTTTTGAAAGTGGAGTTGTTGGGAGAATCAAACTCGGAGATGGAAGAAATATGTAAGATGTGTGCAATAGTATTAGATTCTCCACCACGGTATCTCGATTCTGTTTCTTATCTAAAGCTAGAGGCCTAGGCTACCTGATGTGTAAACCTAACAAAAACTCATGGGTTACATTTCTGCAGGACCCGCATGATATGATTTGACACTTATTAATAGAAGTAACTGAACATTACATGGACAATATGATACCGTGGTGGGGAGTATTGTTAGAAAATAGTTAAAAGTTGTAGTACTCATTCCCATAGACTTGGACATGTTGGACAGTCTTGAAAAAATCCCATGTAAAAGGAAAATTGCCTTTTAATATTATCTTTTGATTTTGGATTTTTCGTACTACTTAAAATAGGTGAGATGCCATTTTCTTTGATGTTTTTACCTTGAAGTAACTCGTAATGCCCTTTACAATGATGCGCAACACTTGTACCTGATATATCTGCATTTTACAGAGCGGTTCGAAAAACGCCAATACTTAATTTTGCTATAATTTTTTAAGCATTCTCTAGAGTTGCTGAATAAGTTATTCTCGAAATGTCGTTACTGCATAAGTGAAATAATCTTCTCTTCTGTTTTAGTGTTCGACATGATTAGAAAGAGTAAGTGCACTTTTACTACATAGTAGCCTGATTTGTTTGATAAAACTGAGTCAGCAATAGTAAACTTAAAAATGTATGCTCTATGTGGATCTAGGCTGTAATATCGTTACCTTCTAAGGATCCAATGCAAAAGATCGGTTTTTGGTGTTCATTTCATACTTTTTTTTATCAAAGAACAACTTTTTCAACAGTATTTGAGTCTGGCCATGGGAAAACCAGTCTTATAACAAAAATTAAAATTGTGCTACAGAGCCAAAAATGTGCCCAAGATTAAGAGGAAATGTGCTAAATTCAAATCCGACTTTTTGGTCTGTGTGAAAAATTGTTAAGACATAATTAAGCCATGGCTCATTTGAAAGGTCGCTTTGTGCTTTTTATAACATAAACAAAAATCAGAATATTGAAAAATCTGTGATAAGATCCCTTTTCCTCTGGCCTGGCTCATTTACAATTTCATACAACTGCATGTATTATGTATGGGTATATACACGCCCAATTCTCAACACGTCATACAAACGCAAGTGAACGACGGGCTTTTGGCACCAAGTTTGTAACTACTCATTTATTTCAACGTTTTGACAGAATATGGGCCTTTCCCCTAAGAAAAACCGTCCATGCTACGCAGAGATGCCTCTAGTATAGCTACGTCTCAATATTTTTTTGAATACGTTCTAGAACTTCTCAAATTTTCTAGAAAGCACGGCAATTTCTTGAAAAATTACAACAAAATCCATCATATTTTGGTCATCTTCATCCACGGCGTTGCTATGGTAACAAAGTATAGATATGCCATATTTACTTTGTTACCATAGCAACGCTGTTACGGATTCAGAATTGCCGACTTATATATCCTGATTGCATTATCTATACTATTACCTTCCATTTGATGTAAATTTCATCAAAATCTGGGTACTATGACGGAAATAGAGGCCAAACATTGAAAAGAGCATCTAAAAGTGGGGGTGGTATATTTAATTGGTTACCATACCAACGCCGTCGCGGATTCAGAATTCCATTTTTCTTTATCAGTATCACTTCTAGTCTATGAAAGCATGTGTCGCTTAGTTGCCTCTAAAAAGGACACGGAACCTCTTATTAGGACTTTTGATCCCAGACTATTAGAAGAAGGACATATGAGCTACAACATCATGGTGCACGTCGTACACACACTTCAAGTCGTACACTTCCAACTGAAATTAATTTAATTTCTCTGAATTCTTTCATTTGTTTTGGAAAATGAAGGGCCTGGATGATGCATAATCATTTTATTAATAATATAGTCATTATTGAGACGTAGCGATACCAGAGGCAACTCTGCGTAGCATGGGCAATGTTTCTATGAGGGATAAAGTCCCATCTGTCATCACGTTGAAATGAGTATTTGCAAACTAAGCGCCAAAAGCACGTCGTCCACTTCCGTTTGTACGACGTGTTGAGAATGGGGCGTGATATACAGACTCTGAATTATCCACACTTCATATACCCACACGTTATGGACCCAGAAACCTAATATAAGTAGTAATGGAATAAAACGAATTATTTAGCCAATGGCCATGCAATCCAAAATAAACAAAATTATACGGAAAGTATGGCCCCTTACATTTGTTTTCACTGGTAACATGGAAAAACATGATAAGTATGCTCTCTGTTTTTAGAATTTATCGAAGTAGTTCAGCCGTTTGTATTAGAGGCTGATACAACAACACTTGTTCCAGAAACTTCAACAAAAAAGAAGCCAACAAATAAGAGAAAACCGACCACTTCATGAGCTGCTTGTCATTGATTCTTCATGCTTTCATAATAAAGGAAAATTATTTTTAGAATATAGATGTATGTTTGATTTTCTGTTTCTCGCATATTTAGGGGGAGGGGGCGGGAATTATATGTCAAAAATAGAATTTCACTCAGCTTCAACACTATTCATCGATGCAGTGAATTTTTATTTTGCGTCACAGGAAAGAAATTGAATAAGGTTAGCAAGCTTTATTGCCTCCATTGATACCCCGTTTATCCCTGAACAAATAATTATCTTGATTTAAAGGGTGACGCATATCGTTTAGCAAATCGAACGCTCGTTTCTGGTGTTGCTCACCGTTTAGTATAAAAGGCCCGATCCCGGAATAATACTCAAGGGTTCACAGGCTCGAGGTCGTTGTGTCAACACCTCTAACTGTTATATAGCATAAGTATATTATAGATCGTCACATATTTATAAAACGGTGATTTTTATTTTGACAAATCAATTCCACATTTATGGGTGAAGTTTCAGGATCTTCTATTTGTGTATAATAAGGAAAAATTGACATCTAAATTTCCCCATAACGTAATAGCACACAGCTTGGTATATGAAATATCCTATAAATGAAACAAAGCAGTTCTAATACAAGGATTTATATTGGCTGTTGTACATATTCTTTGAACGCAATCACTCTATGGATAATGTTTTCAAAATCATTATAAACGGATTACTATATCTCAAAGACAATTTCAATAAACTGGATTTTACAGAACTCCCCTTATTTCTTAAAAATGGACTGATCCAGTCGATTCGCCTGGAGCCGCCATATTGTTTTTATACGGGATGCTTATCGGAACCCTTTAAGAACAAACTTAAAATTCTAAAATGCTCTTTGGACCGTATGTAACAATATATTTCATCATTCCCGGTATTAAATGATGCACTATTTTTATTTTGTTTAAAAAAATGTTTTATTCACTTATTGACACTTAACATGACTTCCCGGCATTGTATTGTTATAGTTTTAACAGATGAGCATGATAAATTTTAATCACGGAAAAAATATGTAATATAATCTGTTAATTAAATAATTAGATATGCAATCTCATATACATATTGCCATGAATAACATGTTGACATGCCTTGCGTTATTTGCCTTTATAGGAACCCTGTCAGTGTGCTAATTTTAATTAGTATTTTGGATTATAAGCACTTGCGATACTTCTATATACGATTAACTCTATGATAAATGCAAAAGTTCGCTGTTGTAGTTATAATTATTACAGTAACAACATTGTAAAGTTGTATTTTAAAGTCATACACAAATCAGTATCACGTACAGAATGAACGTGAAATGGCTTATGATCTCGTGCCTTATCGTAGCGTATATAATGGTTGTAGAAGGCTGGAAAAGCAAATATGCTGGTACAGAGTTCAAAGTCAGGGTGAGTATATGTTACTAGGAACTTTGGTCGTGGGTCTATAATCACTCCAAAATAATTACTCCATAATGTCAGGTATGTTAAGTATCTTTTAATCAAATTTTAGTATCACTAGCAAAAAAACTACTGGGCTGGTGTAACAAAGTATTCAAAAGCAAGTATCCCTAAATCAATTGTTGCAACGATAGATATATACTATAGTCATAGTGAGGAAACAATAGACTTTATGAAGTCTCTCTTACGACAGTTTTGGGGAAATAGAGATGTCTAGTGTAGATATTAAGTATGCCGAAAAAAAATTATTTCTGTGGGCTTCTGACACCGGTGGTATATATAATTCATGGAAATTTCCACTAGATTGCAGGAGACGCAATGTCCGATTAATGTTAGACAGAGACTCATGATAGTAGAGGAACACAAATTGAATCAATTCTGTTAAAGATTCCACCTTGACCTGTTCAAAGTCATACAATGTGATACTTGGCCCATTATAGATGCATCCGAGTGTTTGGCTATATATCATATTTAATGTTAATCCACTAAAGAAGTAGGAATGGGACGCCTAAGAGTTTTAGTTACACTTGACGATGTAACGGGCATCTGGTCAATAGTAGTAATACGTTGAGGATTTCATGAATTCAAGAGAAAATTTAATAAACACGTTCACACAACCTTAACAAAAGCAAGAAACTGAAATATTTTGAATCGATTTTTAGATTAGGTTCGACGAGGCTGGACAAGTAAAAATAAAATTGTTAGGGCCAAAGAACAAAAGGCAGAAACAAAAAAGTAAGAAATTGAGTATTTATCATGAATATGCATTCAAAAAGTTCCCAAAGAAATCTCTGAAGGCTATGAACTATCAACAATGTCATGGCCTCATCACAGCAAGGCGTTCGAATTCTTAGCTTGGAATTTTTAATGATCATTTTCTCAGACTCTAGATAGTGTTGGACATTTTCAGGAACACACTGTAAACTTATATTTTGATTAAATATTTGCTGCATGGAACTTATAATTTGGTTGACAGTTTTGAATGGTCGAGGAACAACTTGTTTCATCTATATGGGTTTAAAAGTTCAGTATGTCATGTTATGAGATTTATGGGTTTCTTCCAAAAAGTTGAAACTCAGGCATCAAAAAGATGTTGACAGATTAATAGTTTTCCTCACCCAGTGGTTTAATGAGATTAGAGATTAGAGCTGGGAACAAAGAACGCTCAACGCAGAGTTTCAGTGATCCAGCCAGTGATAGATAAAACATTCCCTCTGACCGGGTCATAGCTTGTGAGGTGCCCTGGGATACTGGGGTCAACTTCCAGAGTCTGGGGTTTGCATAAGCCAGCTGAATCGCTGATCTGCTCTGTGTTGTTGTAAGGCCATTAATCATTTTGATCACTGGTCACTTTGAGTTTAAAAACCTGCACTGGTAAAGAATTGGACACTTTTCGGCTTGGCTTTAGATTGTGAAAATGTATTGTAATTTGTAACTGTAACTAAACTTTAAAATTATTAAATAAATTATGAGTATTAAGGAATCGACTAGTTTGTCCATGGGCTCTATCAGGTGGTAGAGCCCATGGTTTGTCATTCTTTACAAAATTAGATAAACTTTTAACAATGGATTGGACCGACCCAGGGGTCCAACAATAGTTTGAGCAAAGTAAGATGCATGAGAGGACAGAACAAACCTTTTGATAACTAATCCGTTTCATAGCTTCAAATCCCCAAAATCACAGCCCATTCAACATATCGAGCATGATTATCCAAATAAATTCCTGATTTATTGTATCAGGCGTATAAAAAAGGCAACAAACAAATAAATCGTAAAACCGCAAAATGATCAGTGATCACTGCACATATTTCACCCATTTGCCATGAAATCACATAAATATTTCTTCTTTTTTCAAGGATATGTCATGTATTTACATTGAATAATGGTTAGCTAATAATCATTGTTTTGCACAGTGGGTCAAAAATTGGTTTTAGACAAAAGAAAAGTCAGCGCACTGGCCTGGTGCTGGACATGGCAAAAAAAAGTAAAATTGATGACAGCGTCTACATTGATTTCATTCAATGTAATATGAAGCTACAATCATTTTCAAAGATATGTCATTTTTATGCATTGGGTCATAATGTGCTGAATAATCATTCCTTATAGATAGTGGGCCAAATTAAGCTGAGGATTAAGTTTTAGACATTGCAAAAACCAATGCACATGCCCATGTGTAGCATAAACAGTTAGGTATTCATGCTCATAGTCACATATCCCTTCACATTTCTTTGCATATAGAGATGGGCTCATCTCTCCATGTTATGCAGTCACCTATGGGTTTCGGGCGAAGAACACATATGTTGGTGATTCTTCCTCGGTCTGTTGCAATGTTGTGGAGGGGTGGTGAACACTTTGTTTCTGAGATAGCCCAAGAGGAAAAGGCACAACAAGTCAGGTCAGGAAATCTTCCAATAGCACCAGCCAGACCCGCGAACTGACTCTTGCAATGTTTAAATTGAATGATTATTTCGACAACCACGACTACATGTAAATAAAATGACTTATCATTTAAAAGAGGGGAAACATGGCTTCATGAATCAGTAAGTGAAATTGATGCAGTCATCGCTGGTTTTCTAGATCTGGTTTTACGATTTATTTGCTTTTTTGATACGGACTATATATAATATGCTTGTAAGCACAACATTATCCAATTAAAAGTAAGAAAAACAACATCAATGTATGGTAATTAATTGTGTTTTTTGTTTATTTCAGTTTACGATTATATCAGAAAAAGTGAGTTTAACTTATTATATAACGAAACAAATTACAATATATAGTTTCAAGGATCAATGTACTAAACACTAAACACACTAAACTAGTTCTTACCCGTTCTTGCCAGTGCTACGAAAACGTTGTAAAACAGGCTCAATCTGGCTGTGGTCGGGAAATATATATGTCTAAAATAATTAGCTTCTTCGTTCATAAACAGTCTTCAATACGTTCAAGTCATTCGCAGTTCGTTCAGGTCGCACCACGTCGGTGCGCAACGCCGTATAACGCGTCCCTTAGTCTAGAAGGTCATCATGACCTGATTACAGAACGGTATGGTCGCCATCGAATTTTGACTCATTTCAAAATTCTAAAATGCACTCTCCCGTCTGAGAAAGTTCATGAAGTTCGTAAATAGACCTTAGAGAGTTGCAGCTACGTTCATTCCGTTCGCACACAGTTTAAAACCAGTTTTGAAGAACGCAGTGGCAACTCGTTAGGTGTGATAGCTATATTCGTTCATAAGCAGACTTTAAGACGTTCTAAGTCAGTTTAAACCCGTTTGCAATTAGTTCTACCTCGTTCTCAATACGTCCTCAGACAGTTCAACTCGTTGTAAAAACGTCCCTAGTAGGATTGAAGTACGACGGTTCCGTTCGTAGTAAGTCCAGCTCGTCGTTAGTACGTTGTCACTCGTTCTAATTGTAGACCACGAGAACATTTTGAGCATGTTCTAAGTTCTAGAAGACCCACCCGTTCGAGTTCGTTCGATGAAGTTTGTAAATAGAGCCCAAGCGGTTCTAGGTACGTCAAGTCCGTTCGTACACAGTTGAAGCCCGTTTTCAAGAATGTAGTGAGAACTAGTTTGGTGTGATAGTAGGGTTAAGTAACGATACACTGTACCGTTGTCGTAACAAAGGCTTTATGACTTTGGTGATGGCATAATTGAAAGCTTACATCCCAGAACCTTGTTATAAACACCAGAGTTACTATCCTATGTTCTATATGCTCAATTGTCGGCACCCATTTTGGAGAAAATCTAGAATTTCCATATAAAACTAACAGGGCCGTTATGACTTTGGTCATAAAACCGAAATATTCGACTGAATCCTAGACATGGCAACAATAATTTTGGCGGCCATTTTGAAAAAGGTGATAACACCCAAAAAGCTACACTCGCTACAATCCTATACGTATATACTAATATTATAGGTGCATACCTGGCCAAAATATATTAGTATTATTATTCGAACATAGAACAACTGTTATTAATATCATGGGCTTTCAAGATGACCTAATTCATGAAAATCCCCATAGTCCGTCATTTTAGGGAACCATATTGTGCCATTTCTTAAAATGGAAACAAAATCAGGCAATGAACGAACTGCGGTTGTCTTTGTTTTAGTGTATAATATATTTACTTTATTCAACACATTAACATCTATTTCAGAATTAATAAAGGAGCTGAATCCATTCATTTTGGAGACAACGACGGCAGGCGTGACAACCAGGACGACAAACTAGGTTCCTGGAAATTAGAATAATGTAAAGGAAACATGTAAAATACACAATACAATTTTACCTGAACGATTTGTCAATAAATGTTTATAAATATAGGAAGAAATACATCTCATAAATGTGGTGTGGTTATTATAACTCAAACTATTGATTAAGAAAAGGCCTCATTATCTTTTAGGGAATTTTACATCAGAATGTTATAACGCCGCGGTATCCAAACTGCGTGCATACTATGCACGCAGTTTGTAACACTGACAAACTACACGCATGTCGATCAACATTGCATCATACAAGTGTTTTCAAACGACATTTATTCTGCATTGTTTTATAGTTTCATACATCCATTCGGTGGAGAATATATGATGCTACCATGTGAAAGCGAAAGTTCTGTCTAGATGAACGTAGGTTTTAAAATATAAGCAGATTAATAAAAAAAATGGTCATCTGTTTTTCGATTACCGACACATTAGTTAGTAGTTAGTAGCCGAGACAACACAAGTCCCAAGTCTGTATATTTACTAAGACGTCTCACTTTTCACAGAAATAGAAAATACTATATTACTTGCAGCAATCCTGTATCTTTCAGTATATGCAAACAAAAGGGCTGAATAAACTTCAAACTACGACAAAAAGACGCAACACTGTATATTTTGAACACGAAAGTTCCTTAGGAACCTTATATTGAGATAATACCAGGAAACAATCGAGTGCTACTTGTAAAGTAAGCCAGTCTCCACATAATAATGCCCAAAACGGTCCAGTAAGTGAGGCTCTTCCCCGGAAAGGCAATAAACTTTTGGCCATAGGAACTAAAGAACTGAAACTTTCAAGACCGATTGAAAAACAGAGACAGTATCATAATATTATCATTTTGGGGACACCCTGTACATGTAGTGTCCCCGTTTTATTTGTATACTTGTATATGATATATAGAATCTACGTCAGATTAACAAGATGAACTAAGCCTAATAGCTAGGGATTAAATGTCCAATTGTATTTGTCACATATTCATATTTGTTAATCGTTTTCGAGTGATTAATGATTTGATATCTTTGTGACGACTGTTTGCGCTGGACAGTATCTGCATTAATACTGATCAATCAAAAACTGCTTTATAATAATTTCAGACTGTATTGGCCTATTTTTATTTAAACTCAGGTAAGGGTTGCTATCATTTTACGAGAGGACTAGATTAAACCAACACGAAGATGTTGTATACGTAATATATAAGAATAGGTGATATATGCAATCAGTAATTGCCTAAAACTAGGATATTGTAATTAATAACATCAGCATCAACGCACAAACTATGGATTAAATACTATTGCATACTTGTGAATATATTGGAATACTAAACAAAATATTGTGGCTCACTATTTTCAAGCTGCTCACCGAGCCCACATGAAATGATGACCAGTTTGAATAAAATGATGACGACACAACTTTTGGTGGTGACCTTGTGCCTTCTTGTGCTGATGTCATTTATCTCAGCGTCGCCAAGATTTGGAGATTCAAGATCCGGAGTGAAGAGTGACAGGAGGAGAGGTGGCAGATTGACAAATCCAAAACCAGCCCCCTTCAAGGGGGGAACACAGAGCAGTGGATTGAGAATGAGTGTAATTCAAAAATAATGTAACTCAGCAAACTGAGATAAAAGTTATGATTTCCCAAAGTTTCGTTCCACAAAAATAGCACATTATCCCTTATAAAAATTAAATGTAAGCTTAATGTTGATTTTAGATAGCTTTCGCATAACAGGGAATAGTTTGAAAAATGTAATTGATTATTCATTTTCCTCAAATGAATTTCATGAATAGAAATACATTGAAAATGACTTTTTTTTAATTTCTTTTATAAATGATGGTGTTTATATTTATGAAATAATTATGCAGTGAAAAATACGAATAATCGAAATGAAAGACTAAATCACTAGTATCTGTAAAATGGGACAAAAATCATATTTCCATGAAATAATTGTTGAAATATTGTTACTTTTACTAAATCTAATAATAAGATGAGAAACCAACGTTTTAACATTTGATTTTATAAATCACTGGTGATCCGCTCGATTACGCTGGTTACCGAAACGGTTCGTTTCGGTAACAAAATGTCGGAACGCCGAAGGTACGATTTTTCTTTTTTCCTTATTTCACGCGTCGTAGGCAGAATCCCCACGACATTTTTTCTCACAAACGTATTTCAGTATCATATGTTTTAGAAAATGTGCATGTTTGCGAAAAAATAGCTCAGAATACAACACAATTGTCGATTTAATTCCTCACTTAAGTTACATAAACGGTAGGGGTTAAAAGTGCAGATCTTAACTGTTTTTCGAAATGCCGTTTATGTAACTTAAGTGAGAAATTAAATCGACGATTCAGTTGTCCTCTGAACTATTTGTTCGCAAATGTGTACATTTTCTTAAACAAATGATACTGATACACTTTTGTGATAAAAATGTCGTGGGAATTCTGCCTACAACGTGTTGAATAAGGAAAATAGAAAATCGTACCTTCGACGTTCCAATATTTTGTTTCCGAAACGGTTCCAGCGTAATCGAGTGGATCACCAGTGTAACTGTTAAACATGATTTCTTTTCGGCTGTCACACGATTAACAAAAGAGGGTATTACATTTTTGATGTTCAAAACAAGGCTAACTCATCTATAAAAGTACTGTAACCATCACAGGAGAATATCAACTACTATCTGGTTGTCATATTTCCCATTTTGTGATTGGTTGAGCAAGCATCACGTGACAAAAATGTCTGGAGTATTCTTTCCTGAGGCCCGGGTATACAGTCATTAATAAAAAATCAGTCTTATTCTTATCAATAAAAACCAGTCTTATTCTTATTCAATGTAAGTAATATAGTAATATACATGTATACACCACACATTACCAACTCAGTACACTAGGGGACTTTTTAAACATTTTAAACATATTCCTGGGCCTCAGATTCTTTCCATTTGATGCTTACTGTTTATTGGTTATAAGTGAGCCTCGTTTTGAAGAGCGTACATTGTCTTACCTCCGCTTGAAGCACGAACTCCAATGCAGTGTCTCGGTATAGACACTGCGGCGGGCAGACGAAGCAAATCCCCAAAATTTGGGGAAAATAGTTCCCCTTTTCATCGCATATGTGGTCAATTTTCACACAACTTATAAAATATGTATTCATGAATGTTCCCAAACATTATTTTGTCAAAATATTTCAAAATTATTGAAAAATGAGAAGAAATCACCGCGGAAGGAATTCTGAGTAAAAGTTTTGTTGATAATAGTTTACCGCACGTGTTGTTTATTAGTTAACCAATGAAATTGTCTAAATACAATCACGCGACCTGCACATGGGACTAGAACCAATCACGTCAGTTATTTATTACGAAGTTACCATGCTTACGGTGAGATACCTGCCCGCCGCAGTGATATATCACTGCACGAGAGTTCGCTTGAAGCAGTCTGCGCCAGGTTCGGGATTACTCCACAGAGGGTGCTAGTGACTGAAAAGGTAGAAGACAAAAAATTAAAATTGAGATGTTGGTTGACTGAAATCAAGATTTATCAGTGCACTCGCCAGTGAAAATGTAGATTTTATATTTCATTTTGTTTATCTTTTGTGTATATAATTTTACAAAAAGTATTACGAAATGATTCGGCTCACTTCAAATATTTGACTTTTTGTGATGGTGATCTTGAGTTTTTAAAATTCGGAAAGATGGCGCAAAAAGCGGTCACATCTTTTTTCTCAATGGGTGATCTATGCAATTTTTTTATTTGATTGGGGACGTATGGAGATTCCCCGTGGTATGTGGGGTTATCGGGGGGGGGGGGGGTTCACTCCAATATACTTCTTAATACTTATGTGCCGCCCCAAAGACCCCCTTTTTGAGCATTTTTCCCATGTCAATTTCCTCTCAAAATTGAAGGTTTCGATGTTTAATTCCTCTGAGACTTATAATTGACAAAAAAATCAACTTTTCCAGTGTTTTGTTCTAAAAAATCAACTTTTCCAGTGTTTTGTTCCAGGCTTCAACAACTAATTAGACTATTTAATACATTTTTCTTTAGAAAAACTGAATATTGACTTAAAAAGGGTACTTTTTTAGAAAATTTTACATGTTTTTTTCCTCTCAGATTGGCCAATTTCCATGTTTTATGCTCAAAGCCAAAATTGGCTATGCTTCACATACCTACCCAAATTATTTGGAGTGAACCCCCCGGGAGGGTTATGTAGCGAAAATCCTAGTTTTTTCATAATCAATCCAAAGATTTCAATTTGTTTCCCATTGGATTGCATTTTGTCTGTGGAATTGTCCCTTCACTGCTTTGGCTCGGTTTATTTTTGACTCGCATGCGCATACATTCGGATTTTTTTCAAATTCAGATTGAATTAAAGGAGGATTGGTAGCCAGAATGCAACTTCGATATCCTCCACAAAGCTAGTAGCGCCAGTCCTGGAGTCTGTATTTCTCACTTCAAAATTTGAATCGCAAGTTTTGGTCTTGTTTCCAAATAAAAATTCAAAACACACAAAAAGTGATCAAGATCATTAGTGGGTTAGTCAATGTTCATTAGTTTAAATATTTCCAATGCTTATTGTGAATTCATAGCCAGGTAAATGTCAGACAATAATGACGCCAGCTTTGTTGGAAAATATCTTCATTCTCCTACAGCCGTAAAAATATACAGGCACGATCAGCATTTTCGCATCATTTGGAGATTAAAGAATATCGAGTTGGAACTCTGGCTTCCAAAAAGTTCCAATCCTCCTTGTTGGATTGCGTTCCAATATATGATCCTACGAGAGAACTCCCCTACCCATTTAGGCATTCTGATATTAAATCATTACATGCCGATAAAGTAAATGTAATTACATGCCTTGTTATATACTTAATTTATCAGCCCGAGAATAAAATATTTTCGAGAAGTTGTCGGCATGACATACAGTAGTACAAGCGAATCTAAAATAGAAAACCGGTAAAAGGAAAAAAGTCAATTTTTGCGCATTCTCAAAAAACGAAATGGCGATCCTGGGGGCAGATTGTTCCAACTCCTACTGTCCTACATTCCGTTTTAAGTATCCCTCCTCCAAGACGAGCGTGACCCTTTAATTAATTATGCCTGAATTAATTACACGAGCCTCGTTCTCAAATCTCAAGAGTAGATATTTCCTTCAATTCTATTTTTGAATTTTCCTTCTCCCTTGTTGGAATGTTCAGAATGTGAAATATAAGGCGAATAATAATACAGATATTTTGATCAATTTTCAGGACACTATTTACTTGTTTCACTCTAAAAACTAATCATGAAAGATGCATCTAGATATTTTCTTCAAGAGAACGAACTATTTGAATAGTGTTTCGTGATGTGATGAGTGTTCGACCAAAAATAACAAACATCACAGTAAAATAATGATGATGAATCGTTTCATGACAGGAAGAATCAAATGAGATGTACTCAAGAGGAGACCACTTCATATAATGAATAATGTATATTTTATTGTTGCAGGGGAAGATAAAGGATGGAAATTTCATCGTTAAATTAGCCGGACAAAAACCTGTGGGTGGGTGTCCAACTTTTTTATGACAAAATATGTTTTCACTGAAGCAAGCATCAGGCATACACTCCCCTCCATGAGTTTGGCAACATTTGCTCCCCCATTGAACTACGTGTTAAAGCCTCTTTACGTTTGAATTTTTATTTATTTACCCTGCGATGAAATTACTTATAATATCAATGGAAACGTAACTTGACTTTATTTCCAGTCCCTCCAAATTCTCCCAATTTTTTCCTCAATTACAATAGGTCGAAAATTGATAATAAATTTGATGAATTTTTGAAAACAGGAAACTTTGGAGGTATTGGAAATAAAGTCAAGTTACGTTTCCATCAATATTATAAGTATTTTCATCGCAGGTTAAGTTAATAAAAATTCAAACGTAAAGAGGCTTTAACACGTAGTCTAATGGGGGCGCTAAAGTTGCCAAACTTATGGAGGGGAGTGTATACACATTCATTAGCAGTATTGTAGCTACCTGTGATGATTGTAAATTTGCAATAACATTGATAGACGATAGGAAATAAGATATCCAACATATCTATTAATTAAGCACTACATTTTAAAAGTGAATGGTTGTCAAACTTTACATGACACCCGATTGCTTTAAATAATGGGTTTAAGGACGTTGTTGGATTGCTATTTATTGTTTACAACTATCAGGATTTTATATCTCGTTTATCTAGATAATATACAAATATTTCTTCCTAATTTCGCTGAGTACCTGTTCCCGGGACTTGTTCCTGTTCATCTTTCTATGATTCTAGAGACGATTGTGTTCCTGCAGTCCTAAGGACTAAAGGAACACGCCTCGTAGAATCGTTGAAATTGCGGGAGGTATTCACTGAAAATAGGATGAAACATGATGTTTTTTATTCACTGTTAAATTCCCCATTCTCTTATTGGGGATGTCTAATAAGTACAAAGAAAGAAAATTGAATAAAGAATTCAATTCAGATTTAAATTTCACTGCACGATACTCATAAATTGGTTTGTAATATTGGACGTAAATCGCTTCAATAGGTGAATTCACAGTGTTGAATATGCATTTTTTGCTATCGTCACCTGTTTGTGTGGTCCCGGTGTGTGGGTACCCTATTTTTGTCACGTATGGTGTAGACAAATAAGAGAGTGTGGAAAATGACAGTGGTATAGTATGATCATTATAAATATCCTGTATGTAATATAATCTTTCTTTTCTTTTCAGTCTTCGATATGGTTAAAAAGAGTAAGTATATGTAATTTGCTTAAATGCTCATTTAAATGGGAAAATATTTGGCAGCATTGGTGCTGGTAGGGCCAGAATACATGGAAACATATATAGCAGCCACTTACCCTACTATCACACCAAACTAGTTTTCACTACGTTCTCGAAAACGGGCTTCAACTGTGTACGAACGGACCGGACGTACTTAAAACCGTTTGGGGTCTATTTACAAACGTCATCGAACGTACTCGAACGGGTAGGTCCTCTAGAACTTAGAACATGCTCAAAATGTTCTCATGGTCGATACGTTGGAGCTGGAGCTGGACGCACTGCGAACGGAACCGTCGTACTTCAATCCTACTAGGGACGTTTTAACAACGAGTTGAACTGTCTGAGGACGTATTGAGAACGAGGTTGAACTAATTGCAAACGGATTGAAACTGATTAAGAACGTATTTAAGACTGTTTATGAACGAGTTAGCAAAAATATAGCTATCACGCCAAACAAATTTCCACTGCGTTCTTCAAAACTGGTTTTAAACTGTGTGCGAACGGAATGAACGTAACTGCAACTTTCTAAGGTCTGTTTACGAACTTCATGAACGTTCTCAGACGGGAATGTGATTTTAGAATTTTGAATCGATTCAAAATTCGATGACGACCACACCGTTCTGTAATCAGGTCATGATGACCTTCTAGACCAAGGGATCAATTCAACATAAAACACCATCGGAATGTAACATTGAAATTTTGAACCGTGTAATACTTGAGCAAAATAGAGCCTCCAAGTGCGCTCCTTCGTGATTTTTAAATTACCTCTTCTGCACCAAGGTTCCAATACACCGTTGGAAAGCTGAGAGTGTCAGCTTTAAGAATCCAACCTAGTGTTAATTTTGGCCTCTATCTCTACAAGGAAACAAAGGTTTTTCAATCGGATTGTGTCATACTGTTAGAAAATGATTTATCTTTAAAATGATATATACTAAGTTTAAGATATATTATATGAATCATTCATCTTTAAATTTGGGTATTGTTTTTGGCCCACCCTGTTTATAGCAAAGTCCAATTGATTGGGAGATTCAAAGATCAAACTCATTGTTTCAGATCCATGTGCAGTAGGGGAAGTGATTTTAGACAGCCATATGTTGAACCATGAATACTATCTAGGCATAAATACAGTGATTTTTATTAAAATAATTTGTTTTCTTTTAAGTAAAGTACCCACGATGATAAAAATATCAATCGAACAATTCGAAAATTTATGAATAGGGACCCCATTTACTCAAAAGATGATCTTCTTTTTCTGGTTTTTATTGCATGAAAAGATTATTCAACAAGGGGTCTAAAACTTCTTCAAACGTAGAATGGTATCGAAAGTCTAGTTTTGAAGATATCAATTTCCGATTACCAAAATCGTGCTGAAAACAATGGATAACACGAGTTTTCTCTATGGGAAAATAACATGGGATATGTGTTTTTTAAGTATAACGGATTTCAATACGCATCCTCTTAAAAGAGACCGACTTGGGCAAGGCTACCTTTTTTCAGAAATCGTTAATATAGTGTAGACGAAACTTTTGATATGTTTAAATTGAGAAAAACAAGATCCTCTTTTTAGAAAATGAGCCTAACATTTTTAAAAGTACAATGATGGGGTCCTTACCCATAATTTTTCAGAGAGTTGGATTGATATTTTACTATCATGGCGACTTTACTTGAAAGAAAACATATTGTTTTTATAAAAAAAAACCTGTATTAATGGCCAGAAAGTACCTATGGTGAAGGATATGACCGTCTAAAATCACTTGCCATATTGCACATGGACCTTTACGCTTAGATCTTTCACCATGTGTTGTACATAAATGTTGCGTTGCCTAACAAATGAACAATATGTACAAGATTGTATTGTTTGTTTGCAGAGATTGTAAAACAGACCAACCCATTTCAACTTGTGCCTGAAGAGGATTAAACAACAACGCTGGCGAATAAGACTAGTACATGTATATACCTCGTCGCAGATTCAAACTATATTCTGACTTGATCAAGGACATTGTATTTATTATTTACTGGATATATTTTGTATCAATACAAATCAGAGATGAAAGTGATTTTTTAATTGTTTTTATTTTATTTTCTCTCATCTATTCACGTTGAAAATGAATAATAGATCAGGGGGGAAGAATCAATAAAATCAGAATGATACAAGTACAGTGCATATGCATCTTTCATGGAACAACACCTTATTTTACATGCAAATTAAATGAGAGCCTATTTATCTATTAAGTTAAATAGTCCACGAGAACTGTCCCTCCTACGAAATCCAATAATTTCTGATATTCCAAAAGCTCGAATTTTGCATCTTTATGGTGAACTGCTTTTGCCTATAGCTAATGCTACATTCGCTATCACACATCGCGATAGCATAACTACATTTGTATTTAATTGAAATCCGATTTCTCAAATGAGCTTTTCTTGAATGAAAGTGATCACCTGAGAAAATTTGGGCATCCACGGATGGAACCTTGAATTATCTATTAAGGAATTATCCTTCAAAAGACAGACCAGGATGCGATCCTACATTGATAGCTGGATAGCTGATACCCCTCCCAAGATAAATAATTTGCAAACTTCATATTTTAACAAGTGATCGCCCTTTTACGATTCTCATTTCAGTAAAACTAAAGGGAAATGCCTTTCAAAGACATTCATAGTCAATTGGGATGACAAACCATCAAGTAGGCCAAGGGATCTCTATGCCCCCATTTCATTTACTTAGTCTCTCCCCCTACCTAGTAGATCAAGTGCGGTACATAAAGGTGCAGGTACGACCCCTGTTCCATCCCTTTCATTCTCTACTGTGTTTCATAATGACTGTCCTCACCAATTACCAATCCTAGATGACATACATACATGTACCTCCATGTGGTATTACATCAGATGAAAGCTGGTTCAATTCTGGACTTTGATTTACTCGTTGCTCAGGAGGTTTTACAACTTGTAGCATATCTCTACAAAAGGTGTCCATTTGATATCTGGCATGCAATTGAGTAGCCACATTTTTTAAAAATAGCTGTGTGTATTGAAAGCAATGATAACCAAGGCTCAGAACACTATCTTGGGGCAGTAAGGTACAATCCTGGGGCATTAAGATTTTATGTTAAATCAATTGAAGATATTACCAACATGGTATTAATTTATTATGATAATCGTGAACGGTACCAAGTTGGGGCAGTAAGGTACAATCCTGGGGCAGTTAGGTACAATCTTGGGGCAGTAAGATTTTATATTCAATCAATTGAAGATATTACCAACATGTTGTTTTAATTGATTATGATATACATAAAAGGTACCACGTTAGGGCAGTGAATTGTACCTGCTACTATTCCATTCATATTTATATGAGTTGGGCATAAATACTAGGTTAATCCGGTAGCCGACAGGCGTTGGTTGCATTCGCGAATACAAGGTTAATGATACATTTGCATAATACTTTCGTCAGAGTTAAAAGATATGTAGCTTTATTTCAAAATACTACCTGTTTCCCTGGGAAATAAAGTCGTAATTGTCCCTCTTGAAATCGTAAATACTCTAAAAATCGTATTGGGATCGTATTTACCAAGAATTACTTTCTTGGAAATGTAATTATAATCGTAAATCTACCCGGGACACTAGTAGTAGTTCATTTCAGAATGACCATGGTGCTTCATGTGGTTCTTGCACCATTGCAGTGGCGTAGCGTGGGTATTTTGTGAGTACACGCCACGAGTGAGAAGCGAATGGGCGGAGGGGGTGGGGGATTTGAAAATGGGTTTGCATTTGGAGCTTTTTGGGGCGTTTTAAATTACGAACACGACAAATATGGACTAATAAAATCTAAATTATTGCCCATTTTTAAGCATTTTTAAAGTGTGGGGCATTTCAATATAAAAACAAACTTTTCTCTACGCGTTTTATGCGTATTATGACACTACGCCAGTGATTGGAAATGATCCTTTTTCAAATATTAGAAAATCAAAATTTAAAAAATATTATTGAATAAAAAGGTCATTTCATGGTTGATTTTCAATGGATTTTATTCCATGGGAAATATGACATTGACCTCGGTTAATTATCATATTACCCTGGAATAAAATATTGAGAATCAATCATGAAATACTATTTGTTCAGTGATATTGGCAGAAATTCGATCGCAAAACTGAAATATTTTTAGGAAAGTTTAGGAAATAAATCTCCGAGCAAGCTAGGGAGGTTTGTGTCGTACTGGATTGAAGGAGAAAAGCTGCAACTGTCGACTGTGTGGAGTGTGCAAAAAATTGATTTTATATCAATATATTAATGGAAAATTGATTGTTGTATCAAAGAGCAAAAGTCTTTTCTGGGTCACCGCGAATGGCATGATTTCCTCGAGTCTTCAGTTGCTAGGCAACCATACTGGGACCGATTCGTGTCGTTCCACTACTGCCCTTGGTGGGGACTCGCTACCATACTGTATGACTTCCGGAGTTTACTAAAGTACGTCAGTGGAGGAACCAACCACAGTCTCACAATCTGTCTCCGACAAGAGCAGTCAGAGAACCAACCCAAGCCAAGGACCGGGTGTCCTGTAGTGACAATGATCAACAACTCCGTACCTGGGGCTCGAATGCGGGACCTCCGTATCCCACTACATTCGACCACAAAGTAGCCTCTTCGCCACTAGGCTACCCTGCTTAGGTCAGGACCGCTAAAAAATAATGTAGTTGTTATAGTTATTTGCTTAGATAAACATGATGATGTTAACATTTCATAATCGATTAATCCCATTTAGTTTATCAAAACTGACCAACGATCAAGGAAACGCAATGAACCAAACAACTCGTGCAAAAGTTATGTCTACGGAAGTCTATAAAGCCTTGTTACAGATAATGAGTTTAGCATATAACACAAAGATCCAACTACTGGATGAATATAAGGAACGAAAGTTGTTAAGTTGCATTTGTGCTAAAATGTCAATTGTGTCTGAAAGAAATGATAAGGGACCATGTGCTTCTGAAAGCCGATGCGTGAAAACATTATGATATTGAGTTGTTCAGATCGGTCAATATAACTGTGAGAAGGAATAGATAAATAAGATATCACATGTGAAATTTAAATCCTAGACACATTAAAAAATTTCTACTGATAATTTTGTGCTTTAGTTCTGTTTTAACACTGTTAAATGCAAACATAATCAAAGCCTTTTTCACATAAATTGATATTCGTAATTGTTAAAAGCAACCATAAAACAGCAAAAGACAAGTATGGAATGTCCCTTTATCCTCATCGTGAGATATCACAGCCTTCTCTCAGTTTCCTTTCTAGAACATCCTTGTGCATTGCCAGAGATGGTCTGAGTATCAGAATGCTTTATCCTTGGTCCAAGAGTATTTCACTTATTTTCTGAATTGAGTGATAAATGAAGTCCTCTGAATAAAGAATGTGTTCCTTTAACGACTTGACCGCTTGACCTCAACAGATATTGATCTTCAATGACAGCTTCGTTGACCAAATCAAGACAATTATAATTTCATATTTCATCTTGGACACATGTGCATATCGCCTCACTGGTGCGAACTTCCAGGTTTACTATTTTTTCTTTTGGTCATGTATACATTTTTCAATTTGTGACAACAATGTCACGCTTTGTCATGGTTTCGGGTGATAAGGATTAATAGCAATAATAATTTACTTTGTATAAACATCTAATGGGATAGAAAATATGCATCCTGTATGTATAGTAAAACTTAATACACGATTAAAACTAAGGTGAGTCGGGTCAAACTGGAGAATAATTAATTGTCACCTATCTAAGACGAAATCTAACTTTAATTAAGGTAAGTGATTTATTTGTTACAGTATTGAACATTTTTTGTTTCAGCTTTATTAGGGTCACTTGCATAGAACTATTTTGAATGGAAGCAGTACACTAAATCTGTTAAAATTTTTTTTTATCTCTCAGCAACTTGAGTATCCTTTGGAAGAATAAATCAAAAATGCATGAAATGATACTAAATATTGAGAAAGAACAATGGAGAAATACTATTACTTATAATACTTTCTACCAACGCCGCGAGTTATTGGATAGAAACTCAAGTAAACGTTATATAGTATTTTCCTTCTTCAGACGAATCTTTCAAATCTGCAATTCACTGAAGCAGGTTATTTATAGATGTACGATCATCATTTTGAAATTTTCAAACTCCGTCTTACATCCAAGTGTGAGCGATGAAATGGTGCAACTGTGTACTGTATAATGCAGTCTTGACTGAATACCTTAGTATTATCTTACATTTCATTTGTTTATTTCAAGCTGGAAACCCATAACTAGAGATGATGACAAAATCGTCGATGATCATGATCATGTGCATTTTATTATGGATGGCACTTGTTACAAATGGGATTCCGTCACGTCGCAAAAACAACACTAGGACTGTAAAAAACAGTGGATTGAAAATGAAGGTTAACGATTTATTCAAGGGAAAAGTCAATATCCGGGAAGTTACGTTTCGTTCAGTGTAGTGAGCTGTGGGTGCATGCATATACAGGGGGGGGGGGGGGGGGTCCCAAAGATGAGCGGTGGTAGTGTCACATTGGATAACCAATGACAGTCTTTTGCCACTGAAATTGATCTCAGAATGTTCGCTCGAGGAGGATTGGCTCCCAGGATGCAATCCCGATATTTTCAAACAATGAATCCGATCATTGGAGGACGTCTTGATAAAAAAATCGAGTCTTGAAACAGACGCCATTTTTCACTTCAGAATTCGAATCGCGAGTTTCGGTTTTATTTCCAAACCAAAAATTTCAAATCACACAAGAAGTGATCAAGATATTTAGCTCAAATATTTTGGATCGCTGATGAGTTATAATGTCAGAAAATTACGACATTGGGATTTTCAATGTTGATATCGATCAAGGTTAAGGTATTTTACTTCCCTTACCGCTTTTGTTTGTCCGAACTACTCAGAAGTGAGTAGGTAGTTACCAGTTTCACCACCAGGTGGCTAATTCGGGCAGATGCTATGGGGGGGGGGAGGTTAGAAAGTTTCCCTTAAGTTACCCTTAAATGGTTTTTTACACCCTCTAAAGG